CGCCAGATCCAAAGCTTCAAGACCGACTATGCTCCGTGCACCATCACGCAGTACGTGTCGGAGCGAAGCGGCATGCAGGTCGTTGTGGCCGACCGCAAGGGTCCAAAGATCACGGGTTACTTCACGCTCGCCACCGAAATCTTTGACGACTCTGGCGCCCCCCACACGCTGGAGCACCTGATCTTCATGGGCTCCAAAAGCTATCAATACAAGGGCCTGCTAGACAAGCTGGCGTCAAGGGCATACTCAGGTACCAATGCCTGGACAGCGACAGATCACACCGCCTACACGATCGACACAGCCGGATGGGATGGCTTTGCGCAAATTCTCCCGGTATATCTCGAGCACATCATCGTGCCTACCATCACCGATGAGGCCGTCACAACTGAGGTCTGGCATGTCGATGGAGACGGCAACGATGCTGGTGTCGTGTACTCCGAGATGCAAGCCGTCCAGTTCCAGAGCACAGAAATCATGGAGCTCAAGGCACGACGAATCATGTATCCTGAGAACGTTGGGTTCCGCTATGAGACGGGAGGGATGACCGAGGCGCTGAGGGTCCTCACGCCAGAGCGTATCCGGGAGTTCCACAAGGAGATGTACCAGCCTCGCAACCTCTGTCTGGTCATTGTTGGTGAGGCAGACCACGACAATCTCATCAATATCCTAGACGAATTTGAAGAAAGTATCAAGGACGACATTCCCACGCTCGACACCCCCTTCAAGCGGTAAGACTGCTCTCCCCTACACGAACCAACCTTGCTAATTCCGCGTCTAGCCCCTGGATCGACTCCGCGCAGCCACCAGAGCTCAAGGAGACAGTCGTCGAGACCGCTGAATTCCCAGAGGAAGACGAGTCCATGGGCGAAATTCTCGTCGGTTTCTTCGGTCCCGACTGCACCGATGTCACTGCCACATCTGCCCTCAGCATCCTCCTGACGTATCTCTGCGGCTCATCTGTTTCCATTCTCGAGAATGTCATTGTCGAGAAAGAAGAGCTGGCTAGCTCAGTTTCCTACTCATGGGACACCCGGCCGAGTACCGTCATCTGGCTCATGCCCACTGGCGTCGCTACCGAGAAGCTGGATACGGTCTACAAGAGACTCATTGAATTGCTCAAGGAAGTCGCATCCAAGCCTCTGGATATGAACTACATGCGCGAGTGCCTGCTCCGCGAGAAACGACGTGTCATGTTCCACGCCGAGATATCGGAATCTTTCTACGCCACGAACATTATTAGCGACTATCTATTCGGAAAACGTGATGGATCAACGCTCAAGGACCTCAAGGGCATGGACGAGTACGACATCATTGAGAAATGGACCGACGAGGATTGGCGGGCCTTTTTGCGCAGGTGGATGTCCGACAACAAACACGTCGCCATCTTGGGCAAGCCTTCGTTCGCCATGGCAGAAAAACAGAAGAAGGAGGAAGAAGACCGCATTGCCAAGCGCAAGGAAGAGCTCGGAGAGGACGGTCTCAAGAAGCTCAAGGAGAGACTGGAAGCAGCAAAAAAGAAGAATGATGAGCCCATCCCTGCCGAGGTTCTTGACCGATGGAGCGTCCCCAGCACAGAGTCCATCCACTTTATCGAGTCCGACACTGCTCGATCAGGGTACGCCCGTGCTTTGGGCCTCGGTGAGGGCGGAGCGCAAAAGACTCTGGATGCAACGACGTCCGGCAAACTGCCGCTCTTCATCCAGTTCGAGGATGTCCCCAGCAGCTTCGTCCACATCACCGCCCATATTGGCACGTCCGGGCTGCCCATGGAGCTGAAGCCGCTCATTCCCATCTTCATCGACAACTTCTTCAACACGCCCATCAAGCGCAATGGCGAAAGAGTCAACTTTGAGCAGGTCGTCATGGAGCTGGAGCGTGACACTGTCAGCTACAGCTTGAGCTCGGCTCGTTACCTTGGCGACGCAGACGGCCTCATGATCCAAATGTCAGTCGAGCCGAGCAAATACGCCGCTGCCGTGGAGTGGATCCGTACCATGGCCTTTGATGCCATCTTTGACCCCGTCCGCATTAAGGCTGCTATTACCAAGGCTCTCGCTGATGTGCCGGAAGCCAAGCGAGACGGTCGCGACATGGCCGCCGAGGTTGATGCCGCCATCCACTTGGAGCGGTCCAGTATGCCCGTGGCCAAGCGCACTCTGGTCAAGGCTGTCTATTTGAAGCGCCTCAAGAAACTACTCCAACGCGAGCCCGAGAAGGTCATCGGATGGTTCGATCAGTTGCGCACCCAGCTTTTCAAGTTCGAGAACATGCGCTTCCTTGTCACGGCTAATCTGAAGACTCTGCCAGAGCCTCTAACTTCTTGGGACGCTCTGTCATCCAGCCTCAACGCCCCCAAGGATGAGAAGATGATCCCCATTGTCAAGCCCGTCGCTCTCCTCAACGAGGAAGGTAGGAACCCCGGGAAAGTGGGCGTTGTCATCGTCCCTATTACTTCTATTGAGTCGTCTTTCACCGTCAGCACGGCTCCTGGGTTGTCGTCCTTCTCAGACCCCCAGCTGCCCGCCATGATGGTCGCTATCGGATACCTCGAGACTGTCGAAGGTCCCCTGTGGAACGCAGTTCGCGGCGCTGGCTATGCCTACGGCTCATTCTTCAGCCGCAACGTCGACGCTGGCACGCTGTCGTACAGAGTGTACCGCTCCCCCGACGCGGCCAAGGCTATTGCTGCCTCACGCGACGCTATCCTGAACATTGCCAACGGCACCGTGCCCGTCGACAAGCATCTTCTCGAGGGAACTGTCAGCCAGATTGTGACCATGTTCGCCGATGAGCAGTCGACAATGCCCAGCGCCGCGCAGCAGAACTACATCCAAGCTGTTGTGCGTGACTTGCCCAAGGATTGGTCCAAGCAGATCCTCAGGAGAGTCCGAGACGTCACGGTGGATCAGATGAAGAAGGTCATGACGGATATCATCATGCCCTGCTTCGAGCCGGGTAAGAGCAATGTGGTGGTTACATGCAGCAAGTCCATGAGCGAAGTAAGTTTTCCTTTTTTTGTTTTACCTGAGTGTAAGAACCAAGGTCTGACATTGTCCCAGGGATTGGAGAAGGCGTGCAAGGCTGTGGGTTACAAGGTCCAGATCAAGGAGTTGAGTGACTTCCACGACGATTATGGCCTCAGCGCCGGCGACGACGACGAGGAAGATGAAGACGATGAGGAGGAGGAAGACTCCGAAGGCGAGTCGGGTAGTGAAGACTCAGATGACTCGGACGCAAAATAGATGATAGTGCCTCAGATGATTGAGTAATAACGAACCAAGATCAGGAATTTATTTTGCTTCTCTTTCAACTACTGTACAAAATTGGCCATTCGTATTGTGACCTTGTGCTCCAACTGCACAAGATGCTGCACGTCTGTCACGAAGTCTACTTCTAAAGCTCGTCCCTGCCAGAGGCCTTGACGACACCCTCCTTCACATCACCATCGAGCACCTTCTCCTCACCGGTCCACCCTAGAGCCTTGAGTCGCTCCGTGACGTGAGGGTGCGAGAAGTGGTACGTGGCGTAGATGGGGTCAGCATCAAGGCTGCTCAGGTTCTTGGTGTGCAGCCTAAGGAGGGACTTGGCCAAGTCCTTCGACATACCGAGATCCTTTGCAAACTTGTCCGCCTCGAACTCGTACTTGCGCGTGACCATGTTCATGCCCAGCTTGACGAGCATGTCGAACGGCGCCAGGGTTTCGTTGAACAAGAGGAAGCCAATGATAATGGGACGCTGGGCGATGAACCCGAAAGACGAGTAGAGCGAGCTATTGTTGATGAAGACGGAGAAGAGGGTGAAGACGTAAAGCAGATGCCCTTGCGAGATGCCCATGAGCTTCGTCGTGTGGCCCATCTTCCAGTGTCCGAGCTCGTGGCCCAAGACGGCCTTGACCTCATCCGCGCTGTGGTCATTGATGAGCGTATCGTAGAGAACAATGTGCTTCTTCCAGGGGAGACCAAAGAAGTAGGCGTTGGAGTGAGCACTGCGCTTGCTGCCGTCGATGACCAGGAGCTCGTGAAGAGGGAACTTGAGCTGCTCAGCGAGGCCGTCTACCTTGGTCTTCAACTCGCCCTCCTCGAGCGGCGACAGCTTGTTGAACAGAGGGAGAATGAAGGTCGGGTAGGCAGCTGTCATGAAGACCTGGAGACCAGCCGCGAATGCCCAGAGATAGAAGAAGAATTGGTTGCCCGTCTTCTGGATGATCTTGAGGAAGCCAGCGAGGATTGGCGGCAGAACGACGGTGGTGATGAGATTGGTCTTGATCATGTCCGTGAAGAAAAGGGCCGGGGTTTGCTTGTTGAAGCCATATTTCTCCTCCAAGACGAACGTGTAGTACAGCTGGGACGGAAGGTTGAGCACTTGCTGGACAGCGAGGAACGAGAGGATGAAAACGATGGAATGGCTCAGTTCGCCCGTGAAGCGCGCAGGCGCCAACCTGAGGAGTAGATCGCCCGTCAGATCCCAAAGCTTGGGAAGGACATCGAACTGGTACACTGCGAGGTTCTGGAGTAGGTCCCAGAGGCCGTTAACCATAGAGAACTTGGCCTTTGCGCGGCCGTAAGCCTGAGACTTTTCGAAATCGGCGGTGGAGACTTCTTTAGCGAGGACCTGGGGAGGAGACGGGCGGTTCAGGACACGATATTGACGGAACGTGAGGAACGATTCGAAGACGTAGTGGCCGATCGAGAAGCCCATGATCAGGCGCTTCCAAGGGAAGAGCGGGCGATCGAGGAAGCGCGCCAGGCGCTGCCATAGTTAGCAATTGGGGCTTTTGGTATGGATATCTGGGAGCAAACCTGCAAAAAGTCCATCATGGCGACGCAAATGGAACAGACTGGGGAGGGTTGGTGTTGGTCGTGTGGAAAGTAAAGAAGCTCGCGTGGCCTGAACGACATATGTCGAGCCTGGCCGCCGCGGCGCGGGAAACCGCCCGCATTCTTATTAATACGTAGCGCAAGGGGTCAATCCTTCACCCACATTACTTCAATCTTACCGCAGCCAACGTTCTCCCTTGGCTTACAGATATGGAAATACTCGGAGGTTCAATTTCCTAGAAACTCCCGACCTCACCACTCATGACATGGGCATTGGATGCGATCTGGCTACGGGTGTAATAAGGCCTGGTCCCAACGCCAGCATTCACTGGAACCACAGCCACAACGCATTCACTAGCATCGACGGCTACGTTCTGCTCATGGCCGGCCATTCTCCAACGCAGTACCTCAATGCAGTCCCACGTGCACGAGCTGCACTCCTGGCGGCCTGGGGTACGACCTGGCTCGCACCAGCGAGCTACAGGCCGCTCAGAGAGGGTCAGTTCATGTTGGCAAGACATCAGTTAATCACGCCTGGAAGTGTGCAACGAACAAATACTTGCGTATTCATCGTCTTCTAGTGGCCATTGACGCTAGGCTGGACCTGTTGGTGAGGTGGCCGTTCTGGCCCATAGACCGGCGCGGCCTGGCTCCCAGAACGGACCTCATCCTCTGTATCCTCGTCGTCTTCAGCCTCATCAAACTCGCTGAGCTCCTCCTCCTCCTCGGAATACTCGCTTTCCTCCTCATCGCCCTCGCCCTGGGGGTGCGGGTCGTTGTAGCTGTCGAGGGTGCTTGCCAAGTTGGGAGGAACCTGCCGGCCTTGCTGCTGCATGCCCTGTATGATGCTCATGAGCTTGTTGCTCTTCCGGTCGGCCTCGTCGCTCTTCCTTTTCCACTCCTGACGCTCCTCGGCCATGCGGATAATGTTGGCGTTGGTAGCGTCTTTATGTCTCTTGAGGGCGTCGTTCTCCTTCTCCAGCCGCTTGCCCTTTTTGGACATGTCCTCCATTTCTTTCCGGAAAGACAAGAAGAGATCATTGCTATTGTTCAACGTGTCCTCGACCTGCTGACGCATTAGTCAGAACTGCGAAGCTAGCGCATCAGCCAACTCACCTGCTTGAACTTGTCGACATAGATATTGAGCTGATTTCTCAACTCCGTCTCCGTCTTGGTGAATGCCTGGACCTGGCTTTGCAGTTGGCGAGACTTTGATGACTCCGCTTCGGCATTCTTCTTCTCCCTCTCGTAGCGCGACATGTGATACTGCACTTCCAGCTCCTTTGTCCGCATGAGGGAATGGAAGTGTAGCTCACGTAGCTCGTACTGATCAATGAGCGACTTGAAGCGAGTTTTGAAGCTGGAAAAAGGGTCAGCCGGTCAAGATCGCTGAGTGCAAGGGCCCCAGCGCCAACATACAGATCCTCCATAGCTATGTCGACCACCTGCTTCTTGGGCACGTCTCTGTCCTCTTGGCAACCCTCAAGCCGGGCAAGAACCTGCGCAAAGCGTTCATCCGATGCGCTCTTGGCATGCACGTGTGTCGTGTAGAGTTCCTTATTCTCTGTCTGGTACAAGCGCCAGCGTCAGCGCATTTCACCGGGCGGCTGCATTTCAATCCCTACCTTGAGCTTGTTGTTGTCCTTTTGCAGTTCTCTGCACAGCTTCTCGAGTTTCTCCTTAAGTTGCACTTGCTTTGACAGATCCGAGCGGCTGTTGTCGCGCTCCTTTTGTAGCACGTCACCTCGCTTCCTATTCTTCTGGTTTTCGCGGTCGACCCGGCGCATTTCCGCAAGAAGGTCGCTGGACTTCTTCATCAGAAAGTCGATCTTGGGCACATCGTCCATCTTGGCAGTTTGGTTGATCATGTCGCGGTGGGCACGCTTAACCTCACGTTCTATACACCATCAGACTCGACATCCATCATTGCTTCTCGCGGCGCTGACGTACCAATCTCCGCCTCCTGTTCCTTGTCCGCTGTAGCATCTTGCTCCAACTGGGAGATCCTGGCCTGGAGAAGTCGTGTCGCCTCATCGCTGCTGGCAGGGCCGCCGGAGGCCTTCTTGGATTTGGCCGATCCCTTTCTGGAACCGGCGCCGGCATTGTGAGAAGCGTGCGAGGTCTCATCATGTCCGTTGGACAGGGCGTTTTCGGGGTGATTCGCGGGCATGTTGGGCATCTGCTTCCATCCAATTCGTCACGCGGGCAGGCAAGTCGAGTGTTTAAGGCGCGCGAATTCCCAGACTGAACAATCGCGGGAGACCAACGACCTCAAGTCTGGGATTGCGCAGTCGATGGTTTCGGTCGTCGATGGATATGTTTCCGTCCTATTTGGAAGACAGCAATGGCGGTGCTTATCCCTGTAGAGGCCACATTAGATCCAAGCCAGCACAAGCGCGACGATTTCTAGTGACGCTCGCCCACAATCCGCCGCAACGTACCAGTGTTCGATATCCCAATATCTCGGCGGCTAGGAAACCGTCGTCGTATGACGTGGTGCACTGTACAGGTCGATTACCACGCCCCGTTGAGTGGGTTTCGTCGTCAAGAACCACCTAGAAGGAAGAGGTTGTGGTGGTTTTCTCAACAGTGGTGATGCAGCGACAGACTGTTAGCGCAATATCAGCATTTGGTAAAGGTTTAGCACTGGACAGCATTGCACACTATCATGTCCGGACTAGCGGCTTAGGATGGGGCCGAAGTATACTCCACACCCACGAGGTTACTAAGCAGCCTCTTGCAGGTGCGACAGGGTCCATGGTCTTTTTATGCAGGTGCGAGGATTCCTCGGCGTCATTCTCTCGATACCCTCTGTGCAACCTCAACATTTCTTGTATTTCTATCTTGTTGTTGTATCTCTTGTACTTTTCTTTCGCTTTTGTACAGTAAATCCAGAATGTTGCGCAATGCAGCAGCGACAGCCCGCAAGGCTGTCACAGACCTGGGGCAGTTTCCTAAGGCTGGCGACAAGCTCCATGGCTTCACTCTCGTTCGATCGAAACACGTCCCCGAGCTCGAATTGACCGCGGTGCACCTTCAACACGACAAGACAGGCGCCGACTACCTCCACATTGCGCGTGACGACAGCAACAATGTCTTCTCCATCGGCTTCAAAACTAACCCCCCGGATGACACTGGCATCCCCCATATCCTCGAGCACACAACCCTTTGTGGAAGTGAAAAGTACGTTGGCGGCCCCAGACGGATTGCGCGCAGACCACTGACATGCCCAGATATCCGATTCGCGATCCTTTCTTCAAGATGCTGCCGAGGACTCTGTCCAACTTCATGAACGCGTTTACCGCATCGGATCATACGTTCTATCCATTCGCCACTACCAACGCCCAGGATTTCAAGAACCTCATGTCCGTCTACCTCGATTCGACACTCAAGCCTCTTTTGAAAGAGTCGGACTTTACGCAAGAAGGTTGGCGAATCGGTCCCGAGAATCCACTGGCCGAGGACCCGGAAAGCAAGAAGCTCGTGTTCAAGGGGGTGGTCTACAATGAGATGAAGGGTCAGATGTCCGACGCCGGCTATCTCTACTACATCAGGTTCCAGGACCATATCTTTCCGGCCATCAACAACTCGGGCGGCGACCCTCAAAAGATCACCGACCTGACCTACGAGCAATTGAAGAACTTCCATGCCGAGAATTACCATCCCAGCAACGCCAAGGTCTTCACATACGGAGATATGCCGCTCGCCGATCACTTGAAGGAGGTCGACGCTCGTCTTCAAGCCTTTGAGAAGATCAGAGCTGATCGCAACATCCACGAACCGGCAACGCTAGATGGGCCTCGGGAGGTCACCCAGTATGGACCCTTGGACCCCCTGGTTGCCTCGGACCGACAATACAAAACCTCTGTATCCTGGGTGACTGGAGATACTACGGATGTCTTGGAGTCCTTCTCCATTGCGCTCCTGTCGACGCTGTTGATGGACGGTTACGGCTCACCCCTGTACCGAGGCCTTGTAGAGACTGGTATGGGAGCCGACTGGAGCCCCAATGCAGGCTACGATAGCGGGGCCAAGCGTGGAATCTTCTCGATTGGCCTCACAGGCGTTCAAGAAGCTGATGTGCCGAAGCTAAAGGGGCGTATCCAGGAGATCTTGCGCGATGCTCGAGACAAGGGTTTCGACAGGACCAAGATTGACGGTTCCTTGCACCAGCTTGAGCTTGGCTTGAAACACAAGACGGCCAACTTTGGCTTCTCCATGCTGAACCGGCTCAAGCCCAAGTGGTTCAACGGCGTCGATCCCTTTGATTCGCTGGCATGGAACGATACATTGACCCGCTTTCAGCAGAAGCTGGAGCAGGGTGGTTACCTCGAGGGCTTGATCGACAAGTATCTCCTGAACGACAACACTTTGACGTTCACTATGGCTCCCTCTACCACATTCGGCGAGGAGTTGGTCAAGGAGGAGCAAGAGCGCTTGTCGTCTATGATCAAGGCAGCCGAGGAGAAGGCTGGCAGTGCCGAAAAGGCCCGCGAAATTTTCGAGAAGCAAGAGCAAGACCTTTTGGTTGAGCAGAACAAGACCAACACCGAAGATCTCAGCTGTTTGCCCACTGTGTACGTCAAGGATATCCCCCGGGTCAAGGACTCTGTGGTTGTCCGCGACGAGAAAGTGGGCAACACTCCTGTGCAATGGCATGAAGCCCCAACAAACGGCCTCACGTATTTCCGGGCCATCAATACCCTTGACAACTTGCCAGACGACCTCCGCGAGCTGATCCCGCTGTTCACAGACAGCATTATGCGTCTGGGAACCAAGGACATGACCATGGAGCAGCTCGAGGATCTAATCAAGCTGAAGACTGGAGGCGTGTCAGTGGGTTACCACTCCACTCCTTCCCCTACGGACTTCCAGCAGGCCAGCGAGGGCATTATTTTCACCGGCATGGCTCTAGACCGCAACGTCCCCGCGATGTATGACTTGCTCTCCAAGCTGGTTCTGGAGACAGACTTTGACAGCCCCGAAGCTGCCCTTCGCATCCGTCAACTGCTGCAAGCATCATCAGATGGCATTGTGAACGACATTGCATCTTCGGGCCATCGGTTCGCGATGGGCTACGCCGAATCTACGTTGACACGCAGCGCGTGGCTGCGCCAGCAAGTCGGTGGCCTTTCGCAGGTCAAGCTCACGACACAGCTAGCAAGTCGCCCCGAGACCGACTCACTGGAAGATGTCATCGGGAAGCTCAAGAAGATCCAGAGCTTCGCTCTTGCGAATGAAAACATGCGCACAGCCCTGACCTGCGGCTCTGAGAGCGCTGCGGCCAACGCTAGCTCCTTGCAGTCCTTCATGAGCAGTCTGCCTGCAGGCGGTGTAGCGCCCAAGGCGTCAGGGCTCACCCCGTTGCCCAAGGATAGCAAGACCTTCTTTCCCCTCCCATACCAGGTCTACTACGGAGGCCTGTCCGTACCGACAGCATCGTACACGTCCAAGGACACGGCGCCCTTGCAAATTCTGTCACAGCTTCTTACACACAAGCACCTTCACCACGAGATCCGTGAGAAGGGTGGAGCGTATGGCGGCGGGGCCTACTCCCGAGCGCTTGATGGCCTCTTTGGCTTCTATTCTTACCGCGACCCAAACCCTCAGAATACTCTGGGCATCATGCGCAATGCAGGCCGCTGGGCCCGGGACCGCACGTGGTCTGATCGCGACCTTGAGGAGGCAAAGATCTCTGTGTTCCAGAGCGTCGATGCACCCAAGGCCGTCAATCAGGAAGGCATGGCCAAGTTCCTCTCTGGCATCACGGAGGAAATGCGCCAGGAGAAGAGACTGCAGTTGCTCGACGTGAGCAAGGAGCAGGTTCGCGACGTGGCCCAGAGGTACCTTGTCGACGCCGTGGAGAAGGGCGACGAGAGGACAGCTTTCTTGGGCGAGAAGCCTTCCTGGGTTGACAGCTCGTGGGCTGTGAAGGACATGAACATCAAGACGGGCGAATGATCTGTAAGATAATATCGGGACGGACGTATATAAAGATAGACACGGTACATAGACATGACGCTACTCACTCTCGCCTTGATTCCCGCCTTTTGGAACTCTGCTTTGAGCACGCGTTCAGATACGATACGTCTTACTGCCTCTTCAATGACAGTAAGGCCACAGAGCAACGCAAGAAAAGAACACCATCCCTGAGCGCCTCTCCTCCGTCTTTTGTCGGTCTTTCCTGGCTGCGGCGCTTCGGCATCAAGCTGGATGGGCTGCCAAGTTGGTGGAGGTCTGGAGGCACTGAGGGATACTCGCTTTCTCAGAGCCGGACTCCTTGAGCTTTGGATTACTGGACTAAAAAGCCGAGAACATGCATTTCATGAAGAAGAGAAGAAAGCCAATCAAAATCTAGATTGGAAATTGTATATCCGCGTCCTGAGAGTTGCGGTGTCGATGTTCATGAAAATGCGGTCACGTGCTCGACCACACCCTGCGTCTCGAGCCTCTAAGAAGGCATCCATTGGTCATGGGCGTCACACCGCATATGTTGCAGATGTTCTAGAAATGTGGCAATTGCCCGTTCCTGACTATCCTGCCAAGGTCGCATCTGGAGTGAGACAAGCCAAGCAAAGAATTGATTAAGATGCACGGAACCTCGAGGCTTGAGGATCATCTTGCTTGCTCAACTGCGATAATTTCTTGCCCCGCATACGTCACCGTAGCCACAATTCTATGGGGCCTCATAATGGTGACGAGGAGCGCAAGCAGACTTAGCAGAGAGATAAAGAACATAACTGCATTGAATGAGTGACGCAGCGAGTTGTCTGGGTATCTAGGACCAGTCCTTTAAAAACGGCGCATTTGTGGACTGAACTTAGGTGACCGGTGGGCGGGCAATGGCCGTTGGTAGGTGCGCTGCCAAAACACGGTGACGTGCCGTTCGCAGTCTGGCATAACTATTTTTATGGGCTCCCGGGACGCTTACGCTGCGCTTCACTTCAACGCCCAGCGGGCTATCCGAGGGCAATTGTCCGGGCTCTCAGCCTTGCTCGAACTTGAACGTCAGATGCTGCCCAAGTCATAAAAGGAAATTACAGCAGGTGTCCCAGTGAGTGCCCAGCGACAGCGTTCGGGGCTAGGGCATTTAGGTTGGGTGTCGAAGAATTTGTTGGTGGTTGCAGGGGGGAACGGGGAAAATTTTGTGTGGCTGACGCTGGACGCTGCCTGGCGGCCCTGGCCTGGCCTTCGGCAACGGAAGGGGAATGGACGCCTAAAACGCTGATCCGTCGGGAAGCCTCGATCTGTGCGCCCACCGCCAAGCAGGAGGAGCTTTCACCACTCCCACACTGCATTCAATAAATTCTATAGGTAGCCCCCCCTCCAGGCTCGCTCTTCTTGACTTTCTGCACCTCACCAAGGAACGAACCCATTCTCGTCTTCTCGTCAAGACTGACTAACCGATTGTCAATACTCTCCGACTTATTCGCCCCGGCGAATCGCATCGAAAACTTGCTCTGGAGCCAGATCCTAGGTGAGTCGTTTTTCGCAACCCCTCCACAGCATCCGTCTCGACCGCCTCGAGGCGCTTGCCATCCATTGAGGCGCAGGTCCGGCTTGCTGGAGGCCTCGATATCCTGACAAAGAACCTGGCACTAACCTGAGCCCTGCTACAGAGCTACACCTCACCGACCCGACTGCCTTTGGTCGTTTCAAAGGCACCACCGCCAACACGGCTTTCTGGGCCGTTACGTTTGTCAGTGACCGCGATTTCAGCCTGCGCAAGACCAGCCACATCATCAACGCGATCCCCCCTCCACCTGTTGCCGCTGAGCGACCGTAAAGTACTCGACAACCTGCACTTCAACTCAGGCTCAGGCCGCCAGTCCGAACAGGATCCGTTCTCCGACACCCGTCAGCTGCCGCATAGGAGGAATCTTGTGTCTCTTCCTCTCGTAGAGGGAGAGTCGAGGAGGCCTCGCCAGTCCATTGAGGGTTCAGTCTGCTATCGCTTTCGACCGCCCTAAGACCGCTTCAAGCCCCAACAAGCTTTTCAGTCACCAATACCACCCACCGCAACCACGGATATGGTCATGGCAGCTGCTGCACTCGAGCACCATGTCATCCCTGATCATCATACGCTGATGAGGAAGAGGCCTTCCATCGTGGAAACTCTGATTCATCCCAGTGATGAGAATGCCCCTCAACCGGTCAACCCCAAGAAGCTCATCGGCGAGGCTCTCCACCAGCGTGTCGAGGCCATCGACCACGAGCTCTGCGATGCTGGCGAGGAGGACACCTTCTACGTCGCCGACCTAGGTGACGTGTACCGCCAGCACCTCCGCTGGAAGAAGAACCTGCCTCGCGTCAAGCCCTTCTATGCGGTCAAGTGCAACCCGGACCCCAAGGTCCTCAAGCTCCTCTCTGAGCTTGGCACTGGCTTCGACTGCGCCTCCAAGACGGAAATCGAACAGGTCCTGTCCATGGGCACGAGCCCCGATCGCATCATCTACGCTCAGCCCTGCAAGACAAACTCCTACGTTCGCTTCGTCAAGTCTGTCGGCGTCAAGCAGATGACCTTTGACAATGCGGACGAGCTCTACAAGATCGCCAAGCTCTACCCCGGAGCTGAGCTCTTCCTCCGCATCATGACGGACGACACCTCCAGCTTGTGCCGCCTGAGCATGAAGTTTGGCGCCGCCATGGACACCACTGAAAGCCTCCTCAGCTTGGCCAAGGACCTCGACCTGAACGTCGTTGGTGTCAGCTTCCACGTTGGCTCCGGTGCTTCGGACCCCATGGCTTTCTTCCAGGCCGTCCGCGATGCCCACACTGTCTTCCAGCAGGGTCGCGAGTATGGCTTTGCCATGCGTACCCTCGATGTGGGTGGCGGCTTCACTGGCGACACTTTCGAGGACATGGCCGCCGTCCTGGACGGTGCCTTGACCGAGTTCTTCCCTGCTGGCTGCGGCGTCGATATCATTGCTGAACCTGGTCGTTACTACGTCTCCTCGGCTTTCACCATTGCCTGCAATGTCATTGCGCGCCGCACTGTCGAGGACCCCACCCTCGACGGCAAGGGTTACATGATTTACGTCAACGACGGTGTATATGGCAACTTCTCCTCCATCATGTTTGACCATCAGAACCCCGTCGCCAAGATCCTGCGCGCCAGCGGTCAAACGCTCTACGATACCCCCATCGCCAACCCTGTACCCATCGCCGAGGGCGTCGAGTACTCAGTCTGGGGTCCCACCTGCGACGGCATCGACCGCATTGCGGAGAGCATCCGTTTTGACGCCATTCTGGACGTCGGCGATTGGCTCTACTTTGAGGACATGGGTGCCTACACCAAGTGCTCTGCCACTCAGTTCAATGGCTTCAGCAACGCTCACGATGTCATCTATGTCTGCAGCGAGCCTGGTGCGGAAGCCCTCATTCGGCTGTAGGAGACTAGGGCCGACTTTTGTTCAGCCCACGTCGGTCCGCGTCAGTACACGAGAAGAGTTGGACCTGGAATAGGAATATACTTCTGTCAACTTAATACTAGAGCGAATACAGACGATTGAGCGAACACTTGACTCCGCAGCAACTTAGAGGCTACGCCTGGTGATTGTTCGCGGCGATCGGAATCGGCCGCTATTGTTGCCGACGAAACGATCTGCTGTGCAGGGTGCGATATGCATGCATTTGATCTGTGCAATATGTCGTTCGGTTTATTTTCAGGAACCACGTCTCATTGCATTGGCAATCTGCCTATGAGAAGCGACCGTTCAACATGGCATTCAGGGTTGCAGCGGTGCAGGGTAACGCAAGTCTTTGATGCTATATATCTGGCCAACCTCTTTCATGTTGACATTTGAGCGTCCGCGACGGTTTCTAGAGACGCGATAGTGTCGCCGAGGCTCACATGTCCCAGGCAGAATGAACAAACAGGAGGCCCTGAAATAGGCTGTATAGCCCGGAAACACGAAAATTGCTGTGCGACCATGCGAGCTGGGGTTGGACAACAGCAGCCGTTCCTGAGATCCGGTCTTGTCCGCATCATCAGCCCACGCAATTATCCGGCAGCCCGCCCCATCATGCAGCACGAACGACATTCTGATTAAGAAACAACCGCACGAATCAGGTGCTTTGACCCCAGCCTCTCTCCGCACTGAAGAGATCGGCAGACGTAATACTATCGGTACTTGGACACCCAGAAACCAAGGCAACATTCGGCTGGGCGTACGATACCCCAAGTTCCCAACGTGCCGCGCCCCGGGGGCCTGACCATTGGATAATAAGGTTAAAGTGCCGATATTTGAAGCGGCGTGCCCTGAATGGATGGGTAGAAAGGGGTAAAGGCGAGCTACGGGGGCAGCCATGGCCACTCATTATCCGTGCAACCCCGACTAGGTATAAGAAGTACGGACGAGAGCGGCCTCTTGTGAATGTGGTGTCTCTTTGAACTACCAAGCTCGCCGCGCGTCTTCCAAGATGAGGTCCTTCATCCTTTCCCTGGCGCTGCCGCTCGCCAATGCGTTCACCATCAACGTCGCCTCGTCCGGTGGTAATGCCACTTCTGGAAAGCAGTATGGTTTCCTCCACGAGGACATCAACAACTCTGGTGATGGTGGCATCTATGCCGAGCTGATCCGCAACCGAGCCTTCCAATACTCTGACGCGTACCCCTTGTCTCTGGACGGCTGGCGACCCGTGGGCAACGCAAAGCTCAACACCAGCCGATTGGATGAGCCATTGAGCGATGCCCTCCCCGTCAGCGTCAATGTGTCCCCCCGCAAGAGCAACTGCACGCCCAGGAGGGGTGCGGCCGGCAATGGCAACATTGGTCTCTTGAACGAGGGGTGGTGGGGAATGGCCGTCGAGGAGAAGACCTACACGGGTAGCTTCTGGGTATATGGTGGCTACGAAGGTGTCTTCACGGCCGAGCTACGCAGCGACCTCGAGGAAGATGTCGTGTTTGGCAGCGTCGAGATTGAGAGTGAGGCGCAAGAGGGCAAATGGGTCGAGCACACCTTTGAGCTCGTGCCGGAGAGCAATGCACCCAACAGCAACAACACTTTTGCTTTGACCTTTGACCCTGCTGTAAGATTAATCACCCAGAAGGCTTGGATTGGAGTGATGGCAGCTTCTGACCTCTGTATAGGGCCTTACGGATGACTCTCTCAACTTCAACCTCATCAGCCTTTTCCCGCCCACCTACAAGAACAGAAAGAATGGTCTTCGTGTCGACATTGCCGAAGCACTCGCTCAACTCCACCCGGTTTGTCCACATGTTCAATCACGTTGATCTTACACTGACAAGCATAGTCCATGCTGCGATTCCCGGGCGGCAACATGCTCGAGGGCGAGACCAACAAGACATACTGGGACTGGAAAGATACCCTTGGCCCTCTCAAAGATCGCCCTGGCTTCCCAGGTGTTTGGGGCTACCAACAGACTCACGGCCTCGGACTTGTCGAGTACCTGGAATGGGCTCAGGACATGGACCTCGATATTGGTACGATAATTTATTCGCACCTTCGGCAGAAACTTTCTAACAAGCACAGTGATCGGCGTGTGGGCTGGCCTTGCCCTGAACGGCGATATCACCCCCAAGGACGAGCTTCAGCCTTTCATCGACGACGCCCTGAACCAGATTGAGTTCATTCGCGGACCTGCTGACTCGACCTGGGGCTCGGTTCGCGCAAGCCTCGGTCACCCTGACCCATGGCCTCTGCACTACGTCGAGGTGGGCAACGAGGACTGGCTCGCCGGTGGCGACGCGGGCTGGGAGAGCTACCAGGAGTACCGCTTCCCCATGTTCATGAAGGCCATCCGCGAAGCGTACCCAGACATCACCGTGATTTCCTCCGGCGCAACCAGCGATGGATACGACATCCCTGCCCCCGGCATCGGCGACTACCACCCTTACCGCGAGCCTGATGCTCTTGTCGAGGAGTTTGACATGTTCGACAACCAGCCCATCGGCCACATTATTGGTGAGGTCGCTGCTACGCACCCCAACGGCGGCATTGGCTGGGACGGTGACTTGATGCCGTTCCCGTGGTGGATCGGCAGCGTTGGCGAGGCAGTCAGTTTGATCGGCTACGAGCGTAACGCAGACCGTATCCCAGCGACATGCTACGCCCCTGTCCTGCGTTCCATGGACAGGTGGCAGTGGGCTGTCACGCTGGTCCAGTTTGCTGCTGACCCCAAGCTGACGACCCGCTCCACCAGCTGGTACGTCTGGGAGCTGTTCGCCGCCCACCCCATGACGCACACTCTGCCAGCCGAGGGAGAGCTCGACCCGCTCTTCTACGTGTCAGGCACCAACGAGGACAAGCAGTCGTTCATCTGGAAGGCAGCCGTCTACAACACCACGGACCATGCGGACGTACCCGTCTCCCTGTCCTTTGAGGGCGTCGAGCCAGGCACAAAAGCCACGCTGACGGTGCTGACCAACATTGAGGGCGACCCGTATGCATACAACGACCCCCACGAAGGCAACAACATTGTCGGAAGCACGGTGACGACGGTCGAGGCTGGCGATGACGGCGCCTTTGAGTTCGAGCTCCCAGAGCTGAGTGTTGCGCTCTTGGACACAGCTCAGGAAGACGTCCAGGCCAGGGACACAATCGATGCCAGGGAACCGTCAAAGAGTTGGAGGGCCTAGTCGTGTTTGTATGCAAGCTTAGGGGCTGTCAGACTAGGCACCTCGAATCAATGAAACCCGTTGCATTCATATAAACTGCCAGTGTAGTTGAAACGTTTCTATCCCATCTCCCATGTCCTGAGCGAAGCAACCGTGAACGCCATGCTGCAATAGTAGAGGACCAAAATGTCTCCTGCCTAAGTAATATAATATCAGATAAAAGCCGCCGGGGGATAAATAAGAATGATCCTGGACTTCCAAAGCAGACGAGGCAATTAACTTCCGCGGAACAAGAATTGCATGTCTTCGGGCGTCAAAGATTCCATGGCCTTGGAATCGCCATTCACCGTGGAATGAATCATGTTCGTCTTCTTTTCTTGGATCAGAACCATTCGACTTTCCACCGAATCTTCGATACACAGCCGGGTGATTGTGCAAGGACGAGTCTGGCCGATACGGTGGCATCGATCAGCCGATTGCCATTCTGCAGCGGGATTCCACCAGCTACCAAAAGATTAGCTCACTTCAACATTGGACCATGAATTAGCAGACTCACGGGTCAACGATGAAGACGCGGGATGCCTCAGTCAGGTTCAGGGCCACTCCGCCAGCTTTCAGCGAAACCAAAAAGCATTCAACATCCACGTTGTTCATGAAGTGTTCAATCGAGGCCTGGCGCTGGGCTGGAGTCATGCTTCCATCGAGCATGACAGTCGTGATGCCGGCACGACGGAGGCGCCACTCAATCAACTGCAACATGGTGGTGAACTGCGAGAAGATGATGGATTTGTGGGTAGCGTTGTCCGAGCGGAGCTGATGTAGGTCATGAACCAGAAGCTCAATTTTTGACGAAGAGGTCCAGTTCTCCATCTTGATGCGATTGATAATCGACGATTTCTTGACGTGGTTCTCATCCTGTTCGATCTCTGGTTGCTCCAAGTCGATAGCCAGGGGGATGTGGCATCGCGGGCAGTCAGGGGTATCAGTAGATTTGACGTATCCAGCGACACAGGCGCGACAGAAGTCGTGCTTGCAGCGACTTTTGACCGTGTCCTCAGCTGGTTCGTCGCAGATGCAACAAATAAGGACATTCTGCCCACCATCGGCGTTCTTCTTCAGGATAAGATCCGGATGATCCGCGACTTGTCTCATCTGCATGATGAGACCAAAGATGTTGGCGTAGTTGTTGAGCAAAACACCTTGGGCCACGTAGGTATCAAACTTGCGTTGGCCACTCGTCATGATGCTATTGGCAAAATCATTCTCTTCCTCGCCAAAGAATTGCCGGTCAATCTGAATTTCTTTCACAGGCAATTCCATCGAGTTGGTATGGTCTTTTTTGAGGCGCCGGAGCATGATGCGTTCAGTCATGAGGCGAAGCTTTTGGAACGCCTCTCGGCCAGGCCCCATATTGCCGTATTTCTGGATGGGGTTGAGAAGCTCCTGATTGAAGACCGATACATGCTGCATGCCCGAGTGGTTGCATTGCGAGCATCTTCGCTCCTCATCCATCGACCACTCCATCGTCGAGCAAGGGCATTGCTTGCACAGGTACGAGGAAAACGGCTTGACGTTGAGAAAGCGTATAAGCGAGAAAAACTCACCAATGCGGTTCTGCAGAGGAGTACCTGTCAAGCACCACCTGTAGTCTGTCTTCAGAGCGAAGCAGGCTTTCGCAGTCATGGTGCTACGGGTCTTGATGCTGTGTGCTTCATCGAGAATGATCCGATGGAAATGTAATGAGTGGATTACACTCTGCTCTTTGTGAATGCCAGTTTTGCGCGTGAAGCCTTTTTCTTGCTTCCGGTACATGGACTCAAGACTGTTGTACGACATCATGATGACATCGTACTTCTTGAGTTCCTTGATGGTGATGCCTTTGACTTGTTGGTTGGTCGCGTGGAAGACGAATGTTTTGAGGGTCCCATCAGTGTATGACTTGATCTCAGACTGCCATTGCATCAGGGCAACTGGAGGAACCAGCACGAGAGACGGTTGCTTGGCTGGATAATCAGACATGATGAGCGACACAGCCTGTATGGTCTTTCCTAGACCCATCTCGTCGCCGAGAAGGCCGCCTTTCCATTCCTGCTTCTCCATCTCTTTCATCCAAGCAAGACCTTCAAGCTGGAACGGCTTCAGTCGACGTGAAATATTCGGTGGCTGCTCAGCTTTGCCAGCATTAATGACTGGCTTAGCCCGCAAATCATCCCACATTGTGAGAATCTCAGAATGGTGTTTTTCGAGCCTGTCGCGCTCTTTCCGAGCCCGGCCGACGTGACGAGACCTTACATATCCTCGTCGAGTCTCTGTGATGCGGCGCACAGGGGCATTGGAAATTGACTCCGAATCACTAGTAGGAGCGGAATCCAGCCCCGAGCCGATGGACGATATCGCACTAGATTCCGTCGCAGCGTAGCCAGGGGGCAGATTATCAGACTCGGCACTCAGGAGATCACCGGACAATTCTGCTCCAACTCCGGGGTTGATGATAGCCGCGCGCCTCTTACGGGTAGCGCTCAAAGGCATATCATCCTCCGAATCGGCGTCTGAGTCGGCCTCTGAATCTTTGATGTATTCATCATTCTGCAATCGAAGGGCCAGCGCAGCATCATCATCAACATCGAGCTCGCTGTGCGAGGTCTTTGCTTTTTTGGAGGGGTGGCCATTTGTGACGGATGAAACAGTAGAGGTTCTGCCGCGCTTCGTAGTGGCGGATGGATTCGAAGCTCCCGCTTTCTGATCATCGATGTTCTGAAGTTCCTGGGCGATTTTGTAGTCAACAGCGCTGTGAAACGAGTCTTCGTCGTCTTCTTCTCCTTCGCTGTCTGCAATGGTCGTTCGTGGCCTCATTGCGTACTCGCTGTTGTGGTCATGGCGCTGTCGCGCAGGGCCGCCGGACGGGATCCTGACCTCAATGTGTGATTTCAAGGCTTCTGGGATGTCGGCGGCAACCGGAGTCGGGAATTTGCTGGTAGGAGGTGTAGAAGGGTCGCTTTCCGATGTATCGTCACCAGTGACTGGTACTGACGAGCCTGCCTCGCTCATAGCCGTGGTGGAAGCAGATGCTCGACCTGACCTTCGCGTAGGGGTGGGTCTACCTTGAGGTGTTGATGAAGTTGATGTAGTCGATGCCAAAGACTTGCGAGGCCTACCTCGACCACGTTTGGGCTCCATCGGTGTGGTAACTGTCGAGTGATTAGGGCGGTAGTGTCATGGGTCGAGCTGGGAGTCTACTTACGCTCGTGAGCAGTTGCTGCTGCAGGAGCTGCAGTGCTGTTGCGCTTTGGTCGACCTCGAGGCATCATGAGTGACTTTTGAGAACCGCGAATGTGGTCCGACTGCTAGGCGTATTGGAACAACTGAGCTAAGTATCGAAAAATAACGAGCGTATGTGATGGCACGCCGTGACAGCGGGCTGGAAGAGCTGAGTGAGTCGAGTCTGAGTGTCTCACGTATGAGCTCAATGACGATGAAGCGACAGGGGTATAAATGAGTTGGAATGCCACCTTGAGCGCACTCACAACTGCACACTGCTGTGATACGTGAGGCTCAAGAAACTTTGATGTGGGAAGAGAAAGGATCTACGCCAGAGCTGAATGCAAAGTGAAGACTTGCGGAAGGCGCCTGAGCGTGCACTTTGACGGAGCGCGACTCGCACAGATGGAAGGCTCGAATCGCCACATTCACTCACTTTTTCCGTAAGGTACCAGGGGTTAGACACAGTGCCTGCATGACGCTGAGAATCGGGCGTCGCGACGGCACGTGTGTGGATTGGTGGAGACGCCTGATGTATTCGCACTGTATTTGCACATGTACCCGCACTTTTGCGCGTGAGAACCGTGATCAATACAGTGCGGATTATGCGGAAAACCTTGCAGGGGTCTGAAGTGAGTCACATGACGGCGCGGCAATATCGCGAGCGTACAGTGCATGCACGGCGCGCCCTCCCGCCTACTCAATCGCCACCGGGGGAAAAGAAACGACTAGCGTCGGTCACTTGTTCGCCCTTTGCAGTTGCGAAGGCCGAGAGCTGCTAGACTCTGACAAAACGCGCAGCCGGCTGCTGATAAATACTAACCTTGCCAAAGTAGAAGACGCAAGATAGGTACCGCCAGACAGATCTGCCGCATTCTGGTGTTCCCTCGCCTTGACCCAGTCCATCACCAGTCTTTCTTATCAAGCAATGTAGGTCCTCAGGACATGATGCGGAAAGCACAGTTAGATGCTTACATATTCACAGGGCGCGACCTCGACGAAACCAAAGCGCCAGCGGCAGCAATGATAACGACGGCCAGAACCAGACTGTGAACGGCAACGACGGTAGCAACGGTGCTCGTAATTCACGTCCCACGCGTAACATCACCGGGCCACAGTCTGCCCTGACGGACTTCCTGGCCGTACGTTTACGACCGCCGATAGTTTGGCTTTGCTGACCGTCGTAGTCTCACAATATCTCAGCTCGTCAAATCCGTGACGATGCTGACCGCAGACGACAAGCTGTCGCGCAACAAAACTCAAGTGAGACGAATGGCACCTCGAATGCGAACGACGATCCCACTCCGGCACCTCTGCCACCTGCCCGCGTCGCCCGTCGGCAGTCCACGCGAGATGAAGGCGAACAAGAAACCCCTGAGAAATTGGCGCAAAAAGAGAAGGCTCTGGCTAAGATCAAGGCTTCCAAAGCTTTCAAGAAGCGCAAGAAGGATGCTGATGAGGAGTCCGACTTTGATGATGACGAGATTGCCCGGGCCATCTTTAACGAGCGTCATGCGCCTCTGCCGGGACAGATGGAAAACTGCGAAATATGCGACAAGAGATTCACGGTAACCCCCTACTCCGTTCAGGGACCGAACGGCGGTCTTCTCTGCGCGCCGTGCGGACGACAGATAGCCAAGGAACGACAGGGCGAGAAGCCTAAAAAGAAGGCACCTCGAAGACAGACGGCTGGTATTGGTTCTCGGAGAGCAGCCCAAAGCCGTCTCCTGGATGGCAGCGTGGGAACTCTGAGCCTCGCCACTCTATGTGTGCAGACTTTGGCCAAGAATGTCGAGTTGGCGGAAAGTTTGGGAGACCTGCCAGAACACCTGGTCGACAAGATCGCACGCATTTTCTCAAAGCGGCGACTGCTTAGCCCCGATACCTTGCCCCTGTTCCTCCAACCCTCTACGCAAACGATACACATTTATGATGGGGCAAAACTCGGCGAGCAAGAGTTGATCAGCATCTTCCAGATCGCGCCTGGTCTGAAACACTTCAAGGCGAGATGTGTGGTACAGTTCAAAGACGAGGTCATGGACTACGTACTATCGCGAGACACGTCAATGGAGAGCTTCTACTTGCATGGAGCGAACCTTCTGAGTGAGGATAAACTACACGAGTTTCTCCGAGCTCAAGGGTCCTATCTCCGGAACTTACAGATTTACTATACCGACAAGCACGTCGGTGACGAGACCATCGGAGTTGTTCGGGAACACTGTCCGAACCTCAAACGCCTGAAAATTGAGCATAATCAGAAGATGACTGACAAAGGTGTGAAAGCTCTTGCCAATGTCACTTGCCTCGAGCACTTGGGTTTACATCTGGATAACAGTCCAAGTTCTCCGGCCATCAGAAAAGCGGTCTCTGGTTCCGGACCTAATCTTAAGACGTTGTCGCTCAGCATCGTGCCTAATGCGGACGACAGTGTGTTGGATGCCATCCACATGACATGTCGCTCCCTCTCGAAATTACGCATCACCGAAAGCCACTTGATGACGGACGACGGATTTGCCGCACTCTTCACAGGGTGGCAGAACCCGCCTCTCACGTTCATTGACCTAGAAAAGTGTCGCTACGTGAGTGCTATGCAGCCCAGACAGAACGATGACCTCGTGGGTCTCTGCAGCAATGGATTCAAGGCCCTGATGGCACATTCCGGTCCAAGACTGCGATATCTAAACGTCCATGCTTGCCGTAACATTTCTCGAGAAGCATTCGAAGAGGTGTTCGACGGCGACTCGACATACCCCGAGCTGCGACGTCTGAAGATTAGCTTCTGCGAAGAGGTCACTGATTATTTGCTGAGCTGCATCGTTCGGTCTTGCCCGAACATCAAAGAGGTCAACGTATTTGGCTGCATGAAAGTGAGAGATGTCCGCGTGCCTCGAGGCATCATTCTGGTTGGTGTGCCGAATGCGCAGGGAATGATCACAGAAGGAAAGCATTGAGATGGCCGTTTCAAGAATATCTACTAAAAAAGCGCCTTTCCTGACTGCGACGCATCTCGCATGCGTAAAGAGTTCTCGGCGAGTTTTAGATCGGTCTTTGAGATGGCGACTGGCGCATTGGGCGAACGGAATATGCTGGACGAACAGCATTCTTATGATTTTAGACGAGACTATACCCTATTTATGTCATGGCTTCTACAAGTATCTCATTTCGGGCTTGTTGGTGACCGTCTGGTTATGATTACATCTCTATGCTCCAGACAAATCACGTATGACTTGAATCTTTGTCAAGAAGACTACGAGTATAGTTCAACGGCCACGAGCAATACAGTCGAACCACTTTCGTCAATACGCAACAGCGGGAGAAGGAAACAACCCTGCACGAATTGCTTGTTCCCCTCGCTATACGTATCTGGCTGACGAAGTCCGATCGGACCGCAAAGGTTGCATCCGGGGGAAAATCCCCATTGGGGTCGCGTGGGTGAAAGAATCCTGTTCTTCGATCTGTGTGTAGCTCTCCGGCCTGACTTGAATGCAAGCTTTCGATATTAACTTTGCGCAGCCATATTAATAACGCAAGAACAATATCACCGGTCCACCGGCCGACTGTCAGGGGCGCCCTTGGACAGTTGCGTCATTGCCCCCAAGGTGCACGGGGATCGTTAAGCGCTTCTGAGGAGCTCTCATGAGAGTCGTGAATCCGTGGCATGACTGCCGGACACAGCTGGACTGTCGTGTCTGCAAAAGCGTTCATCGCAAGACAGTCTTCCTTGCAGCTCGTCCGTTGGGGTCGTCATGAGTGCCGGTATACTCGAGTCCTTGATTGAAGTCTGTAATTCTGTACTTCGGATGCCAGGCTTCCCCGCAACAGCATGGTCAATCACGCGACAAGGTCCAGGGCTGGGGTCATGGTAAATCGTTGCCCAGACGGCGGTGCCAGTCCCGCTTCCTCCAAGCATGCCGAGGCATCGCCAGTCTTCCATGAGGAAAATAGCCACGTGCACACATCGACTTGCGCCCAATGGAACAATGTTGACAGGATCTCAGGGGAGCCTTGAATGCGCCGTCACGGCGTCAAAGTTGCTGTGGGTAGTCACCCCTGGCAATGACACTCTTTACAGCGCGATTTGGGCTATGATCGCAGTGTTGCATTTGCGATGGGTCAGCTGCAAGGTTGTTATATAATGCCTGGGTACGCATAAAACGTGATCGATTCAGCCAGAAACATTCAAAAAGAGGTGACCGTCCAGCTTGCCGCCAAAAGCATTTGCTTGTCTGCCGTTGTCCAGCTTCCAATCCACCATTATCACCATGGTACCCTCGCCTGCTATTGCAACAGCCTATGCTCTGGCCAGCCTTTTGGCCGCGGTCAATGGCAGTCCTCTGCAACAGAGATCTCCTGATGATGTCCCGGACGGCTACTATGTGCCCATGTACTACCCAGCGCCGTTCGGCGGCTGGGTCGACTCGTGGGCAGAAAGCTATGAGAAGGCCAGAGACTTGGTAGACCAGATGACCCTAGCTGAGAAGACAAACATCACTGGCGGAACTGGCATCTTCATGGGTAAGTCAATCATACAGATGAGAGCTTCAACGCTAACTTTGTCCAGGGTGAGCTTGGTGGTCGGTCATCCGTGAGAGTTGAAGAAGCTGACTTATATGCCCAGACGCTGCAATGGCAACACTGGGTCGGCACCTCGTGTAGGTTTCCCTCAGCTATGTCTCAATGATGCGGCCAATGGTGTTCGTCAAGCGGACAATGTCACCACCTTTCCCGACGGCATCACTGTAGGTGCCACGTTTGACAAGAAGCTCATGTACCAAAGGGGCGCCGCGATTGGCAAAGAGGCCAGGGGCAAGGGAGTCCATATTTGGCTGGGGCCCGCCGTCGGCCCCATGGGTCGCAAACCCAAGGGCGGTCGTAACTGGGAGGGCTTCGGTGCGGACCCTGTTCTTCAGGGTGTTGGTGGCCGCGAGACCATCAGGGGGCTACAGGAGCAGGGTGTGACCGCCACGGTGAAGCATCTGATCGGCAACGAGCAAGAGATGTATCGCATGTATAATCCATTTCAGTATGGGTATAGTGCGAATATAGACGACCGCACGCTGCATGAGTTATATCTCTGGCCGTTCGCAGAGGCTGTCCGAGTTGGCGTGGGCGCCGTAATGACCTCGTACAACGCGGTATGTAGTGAAAAGGCAATCCTCATCGCGTACGACGAATTGACGTGAACAGATCAATGGTTCTGCTGGCAGCCAGCAACCATATCTCATCAACGGTCTCTTGAAAGATGAGCTCGGCTTCCAAGGCCTTGTCATGTGCGACTGGGTCTCCCACATGTCTGGCGTTGACTCGGCCCTCGCAGGGCTCGATCTAGACATGCCTGGCGACACTCAGGTTCCGCTCTTCGGGTCCTCCTTCTGGATGTACGAGATGACACGCGCTGTTCTCAATGGCACCGTGCCCATGGAGCGCCTTAACGATATGGCAACCCGTGTCGTTGCAACTTGGTATCAGATGGGGCAAGACAGCGATGACTTCCCCAAGACAAACTTCCACACTCTGAGCAACGACGCTGTTGGGGATCTTTACCCCGGTGCATGGCCTGCATCGCCAAAGGGTGTGATCAACGAGTTTGTGCAGGTTGCAGACGACCACCATCTAGTCGCCCGCCAAATCGACCAGGAAGCCCTCACCATGCTCAAAAACGAGGACAACCTTCTGCCCCTATCGGAGTCTCGCCCTCTCAAGGTTTTTGGCACAGCCGCACAGACCAATCCAGATGGTCCAAACGCCTGTGCGGATAGGAACTGCAACAAAGGCTTCCTCGGTCAGGGTTGGGGCTCCGGGACTACCGACTACATGTATATAGACGATCCCATTGGTGCATTGGAGGATCGAGCCGGCGACGTGACCTTTTACAATACCGACTCCTTCCCAAAGGTTGACGAGCCGACAGAGGACGATGTTGCCATTGTCTTCATCACTTCGGATGCCGGCGAGAACAGCTATACTGTGGAAGGAAACCATGGCGATCGCGATGCAAGTCGTCTCTTCGCGTGGCACGACGGTGACAAACTCGTCCAAGATGCAGCCGAAAGGTACGGGAACGTCATCGTCATTGCGCAGACCGTAGGGCCTCTCGAGCTGGAGGCCTGGATCGATCTACCATCTGTCAAGTCTGTTCTCATCCAGCACATGGCCGGTCAGGAAGGGGGTCTTTCGCTGACAAACGTCCTCTTTGGCGACGCGTCCCCTTGCGGACACCTTCCGTACTCTATCACGTACAGCGAGGACGACATGCCGGAGAGCGTGACCAAGTTGATCGACAGCGCCTTTCTGAACCAGCCACAGGACACCTTCTCGGAGGGCTTGTACATCGACTACCGCTGGCTGAATGAGCAGGAGATTAAGCCCCGGTATGCATTTGGCCATGGGCTGAGTTACACATCTTTCTCCTATGGCAACGCGACCATCGAGAAGGTGACCCAGCTTGAGACCACGCCGCCGAGGCGCCCGGAGAAGGGTCCGATACTGGAGTACGCCCAGTCCATCCCAGAGGTTAGCGAGGCAGTCGCACCCGCAGGCTTCAGCAAGATTCCTCGGTACATCTACTCTTGGCTCACCCAGACGGAAGCCGAGAACGCCAGCAAAGATTCGGAGAACGAGTACAAGCACTATCCGGAGGGATACACCTCTACACAAAAAGAACAGGGACCCCGAGCTGGAGGTGCGCAAGGAGGTAATCCGGCGCTGTTCGACACTGCGTATACTGTCTCCGTAACAGTCACAAACACTGGCGAGGAGTACGCCGGCAAGGCTTCGGTGCAGCTCTACCTGCAGTATCCCGAGGGCATCGACTATGATACGCCTCCTATCCAGCTTCGTGATTTCGAGAAGACGGGGACCTTGGAAGTCGGCGAAAGTGAGACTGTCGAACTGACCCTCACCAGGAAGGATGTAAGTGTGTGGGACATTGAGATGCAGGATTGGGTCGTTCCAGAGGTCGATGGAGCGTACAAAATCTGGATCGGGGCCGCAAGCGATGACCTTGGCGTTGTCTGCCGCGTAGACGGATTCGATTGCGAAGACGGCGTGACAGGGCCGGTGCAGTAATGTCGTTCATATACAGGTACATTGAAGAGTGCGTGGTCTCTCCCTCTATCATCCGTAGCTTATGCAATATCGTACACATACTGCCCACCCCGTATTCCCTAGAAGAGCCATTACCCCTGAGCGAGGTCTTTCCTGCCCTTGATCTTCCTCCTCAGTAGAATTCGCCTCCCAGTCTTGCTCCTCAACCTCTTCAAGAACCCAAACCGCCTCTTCTGTACGAGTCGCGTGTGGTTGTGCATAGTGTTGCGCGGACCGCAGCGGATGGTCCCTAACGCAGGGTGGGAAGTGATTGCTGATTTGGGGACAAGATCGACTTCTGCGGCGACCGATGGTGTGAATGATGGCGCGGTAGTTCGGGGGAGAGCGACTGTTGGTCGGTGCGGGATGAGGGTTGTGAAGGTCCTGGAGTCGTTAGCCGTCAGCTTCTCGCGGAGGAAAAGAGAGACGCACCGTGGGCTGGCAGCGCTTGTGCGCGCAACGCGCGGTAAGCTGCGCAGAACATTCATCGTGGTGTTGTGGTCGCTTTGTCGCGTGTCGTTGGAGTAGAGCAGCGTTTGCAAACGTTTGCATGGCAGTCAGGACCTGAGGCTTGGGCGGTTGAAGAAATTTGGATCAGTCAGCAACTGATTGGCCCACACGAGTTGGCAGGTCTGGTGTTTCGAGGCCTACCCTACACCTCCTCTCATCCCCACCTGAACACCCAGCTCACCTACATAGTTGTATAGCGCATTCGAAATCGCATATCATTATACTTTAACGATTGATTAGATTCTATTGCTCGTAAACATCCCTGAATGTCTATCGTACTCATATGCGGGTTCCTACGGAGGTTCATCTTCGACATTCAAGTATTTTAGACTTGAAATTAGAGCATGTCAAATTCATGGTCTCTGGTTGATTTTGAATTGCAAACATGTCTAAACAAATCAATCCGTGAATTTGATCTCATCCCTCATACTTCCATACGGAATCTGGATCCAATCACCCAGAGCAGTGTCCCACCATGGCTGCTTCTGCAAATCGTCCAGCGGCATGACCATCTTGTACTCTCCAAAGTAGTTCTTCTGGCCCTCCTGTCGGAAGCCCAATCTTTCGAAAAGCTTGCGACTGGCCACATTGCCCTCCTTAATCTTGACAAACAACGCCTTGAGGCTCGCGCCCGAGACACCGTCGGCCTGTTTGCTCATCACGTACTCCTCCAGGATGAACCCCATCTGCACCTGGACGTACACCAACAGGGCCATGACAGCCGCCTTTCCCATGCCTTTGTTGCGCCACTCATGGTCTGCGATCATAATGTCAATCTCGCCCACGAGCCAGCCCTCCTGGCCACCCTCCGCATCCCACGGATGCAGGAAGAAGTTCACATCGCCGACCATGCGCGACATGCTATCCAAATCCAACGTGTTCATCCTAATGAAAGGAATGTCGCCCCGCCCGTCCAGAGACCGGTCAATGGGCTGGCACACGATGAACGTCAGCTTGTCGGCCGAGTTGCGCCATGAGCGCTGGTTCTTGTACTCTTCTTCGAGGGACAGCGGTTGCGACGCCGTGGCTGCTTGAAGTTCCTGAAACTGTCAGTACGTAGCCTGCCAGCGCAGTGTGTGTGTGGGTGTTCACGTACCGGGTCGGTCATCCAAGAGTGGTACTTGCTCACATGATGTCCCTCGTAGGGCACAAGGAGCACCTTGCTACTGGCAACAGCTGATTCGTTAGCGAAGTGATTGTCCGAGAAGGTGCTACATACTTGTTTTCGAGTTCAACTTCATGGCTGTGGACTGGAGGTTGGAAAAGCGACTTGTGGTGTGTGAAACTGAAGTTGGAATTGAGTTGAGGCTGTGAGCCTATATAGAGGGGCACATACTCAGCGCGGCGCCGATGATGGCGAGTTGGTGGTGGGGTACTAAGTCTTGGCTCGACGCTGTTCAATACAATTACCTGCTTATCTAAAACGAGAGCGTGCTCCAGAACTCCCCAATTCCTACTGAAACCATCCAAATGCTGTACAAGATATAGCCGCGGCACTTGTCCATCGATATCATACACTGGTAATCACACACACGCACACCTGCTGCCACAGCATTCACCACATCAAATGCCCCTTGCCTTCTCCAGCCGAACCACGCCAGGATCCGCTATGACCTTTTTGCAAAGTGCTTGAGTGTGGCATCTCGGGAGTTAGATCGTGGCTTCTTGGCCTCCGTCGCTGCGATAGGCGGGAAGATTGTGTCGTACTGGTCAGGCCTGCGCAAAGCCTGTATCTCAGCTTGTGTAAGTCCATAATTTCTTTCAAGGCCCGGTCTAGCCCATTCCAGGGTCCGGTGCTCAAGTGGCACTTTGAGCTCGTCGAGAATGCGAGCAGTCTTGGATGGCATGATGGGCTGCAGCAGAATGCAAGCGATTCGAAGTGCTTCGCAAGCCTTGAAGATGACCCAATTCAGCATGACAGTCGCGTTCTCGTCTCCGCTCATGGCTCTTTTCGAGATATGCCACGGCTCAGTGTCACTCAGGAAGCGATTCAACTTTGGTGGAAATGTTAGTCGGAATCTCATTTAGCGCAGGGAGGGGTTCAAACCTCTGTGAGCAGGTCAGTGACCCCTCGGATAGCGGAGGGAATGTCATGCTTGTCCATGAGCCCCGCAAAGTCCTGCGAAACCCGACTGAGGGACTCGTCGAGAGCCGTAAAGTGTAGTTCCGGTCGCGCTTTGTCGTTGAGGTGACGGTGCGTCTCGAAGACGCCGTCACAGTAGGCATCCACCGCACTCCTCGTAGACCACGCAGTCTTGCCTTTAGGGCGTGCCACACGATAGTAGGCGTTGCCCAAGTTCGCCTGAAGCTCCTTTGTGTATACAGTATGCACGAGGTCGTTGGAGTAGTCAGTGTCGCGGTGCAACGAACCGTTCCGCATGAGAAAGTAGCGCAAGGGGTCATCACCCCAGCGCTGAACGGCATCGAAAGGATCCACAACATTGCCTATTGATTTGGACATTTTTCGCCCGGACATTGTCCAGTGATTGTGACAGAGGATCTTCTTCGGCATGGGGAGCCCCAGCGCCAAGAGCATCGCAGGCCAGTATACGGCGTGGAAGCGGATGATATCCTTGCCGACAACGTGCACATCCGATGGCCACATCCCTTTGTCAGCGGCGTCCGGCGAGTCCCAACTCGCTCCGTACCCAGTGATTGTCAAATAATTCACCAAGGCATCAACCCAGACGTAAATCGTCTGGCTTGGGTCGTCCGGGTCTTGTATACCCCAGTTCAAGCGTTGGTAAGGCCTCGTCACAGACAAATCTTCCAGATTATGCTCGACCCAATCGCGCACTTCGCCCATCTTGCTCGCTGGCTCAATCCAGGTAGGGTTGTTGTCGAAAAACTCGAGTAGCATATCCCGGTACTTGGTCAAAGGGAAGAACCAGGTCTCTTCCTCCACCCACTCAACCTTACTGCCGGTCTCGGCGCTGACCACGATCTTCTGTCCTGTTTGTGGGACGATGGTTGAGTCCACCAGCTTTTCGGGGTAAAAGCACTCGTCTTCCACGCTGTACCAGCCCGAGTGCTTGCCTTTGTATAGACCAAGGTGTGGGGTAATATCTGACTTCATCTTGCGCCAGAATGTTTCGACAGCCGCGTAGTGCTTAGCCTCCGTGGTACGTATGAAGACGTCGTCACTGATCCCGCCACTGGCCGCCAGTCTCTTGAATTCCGCAGCATTCTGATCGCAGAGCTGTTTCGGTTCGATCTCGTGACGGAGCGCCGCTTGCTGAATCTTCATGCCGTGCTCGTCCGTCCCGGTGCTGAGAAAGGCCTCCGACCCCTTGAGCTGATGCCATCGCTTGAGCACGTCGGCGAGGATCATGGTATATAGATGGCCGATATGGGGGGCTAAGAGGCGTCAATATCGTCCAGACTGCACCAATAGGGCATCAGTACCTCCATTGACGTAGAAGATCGGTGTCGTTACATAGTATGGCTTTGAGGCGGAAGGGTAGTCAAGCTTGGATGCTTCCTGCGCAGCAGTCGCGTAGCAACATCGTGAGGACCATCTGGGCTGAGGTCGGCTGCGCAAGGCCCCGAGCACTGAACGGCTTGCGCGCGGCCTGTGGAGAGAGCGCAAGCCATAAGATAACATGGTGCTCGATGCTCGATTCTGGAAAGGCAGTGTAGGCCAGATCAAAGTGTTTGTCGCGAGTAGCTTGAAATTGTTACGAGATACCGTGTGGCATGCGCACAGTGCTAATCGCGTCCGGTCTCTTACCGTCTAATGTAAAGCAGTTATACATCATGCAATGATACAAATTTGGCAACTGAGCCATACAAGCAGTTATAAACCGAGGCCACTTTTAAGCTGTGAGGGCTCGCGAAATTTACTAGGCAAGACTGACAGCTCATCGAGGGAGCGAGTTGGGATACCCTACAGTGCGCAATTCACATCCGATAACGGTGCAAATCGTCATAGGCAATTAGTTGCCTTCGCTGGAAAGAAATAATTATCACAATCACCGCGACGCGTAAATCTAAACCTTCGAATCCTGCCGAGGATACTTCTTCCAACCCGGTCCAGCGACCACACTCGATCTCTACTTTTCATAGACCCGCCTGTTGGTAGCAGCCCACGCCGAACCTGAGCGCCAACAACTTCCGGGGCCAAGATGGCGCCGCCAGACCACGACACTCAGATCAAGGTGTCCAGCGACGGTACGAGATTTCAGAATGCGAGAGACCCACGCTGACCACGACGACAGCCGCAGAGACCTTTGTCAACCGCTACTACGATGCGATCAGCCGCAGGGCGCCCATCCTTCCCTTCTACGTCAACTCCACGACCCGCTACACCAAAACGGCCGACATCTCTATCAACGGCGCCGTAGTCCCGACACCGGCAGATTACTTCAATCAACTGGCAGAGCAGTCTAACGGACACCCGGTCACCTACGAAGTCGAATCTTTCGATGCCCACGTCACCAACCCATCGTTCACGTACGAAATGCCCGAAAATCTCCCCATTAAGGAGAAAGCAGAGAGCAAGGGCGAGATGATGAGTATCTCGGTCTCGGTCATGGGTAGGGTGCAATATGGAAAGGGCAGAGAGGCGCCGAAAAGGATGTTCAACGAGTCGTTTGTGCTCTGGCCGAACTGGGAAGCGATGCAAAAGAACCCACCAAAGGGCATCAAGCAGTGGCTGATCGCATCACAAAACTACAGGTCATTATAGAAAGGTCAACTCGGCGTACGGAATCAGAAAGAATACAATGATACCCTGGGAAGGCAGATGTCTGTCTAAGTAGCCATTGGCGGCGTTGGAAGCTTGTGGTGGTCCATTGGATCCTATGGATGACTGAGGTGTTGGACGTCACGTTTGCGAATATCTAATTTTGCGACAGACGCAACGTAATCCACGTGAAAATAGAAGAGCGCAGGACGTGATGGGATATAATTAGCCAGCTCTCTGTGAGACGGCGCAAACCACTTCATTCAAGGTCTAGGGCGAGCCAAGCGCACCAGTATTCCTTCCACACAGAGCCTTGCCCATCGAAGCACCAGACAACAGCACATTGACTGGCATCAGCTCCGACCCATCTGCGACTTTCAAGCCACATAAATTGGTGGGCAATGTGAGGGAGAAGCATCTGCGTCCATTGTGCCGTCGTGAACAATATCAAGGTGGGGCAGACAACAATCAAGCAGACATCTTGAAGCTGTACCGTGCCTACAACCCCGCCAACCCTTCCGGAGCCATGTACCATGCCGCCCAAAAAGGTTCCCCAGAAGACCGGAAAGCTCGATCCAGTCTGGGCCAAGCCTGAGGATCTGAAGAGTATAATACATCGCCTCTCTTCGACCATGTCGCCCGAGCCCGCTGACCATCTGTAGAGCCCGAAACTGTCGGCGAGCGGACCCAGCAACGCATCAACCTCTCGACGCCATACCATGGCAAGGATCTCAATGACCTTACGGCCGACGAATTGAAGATCTACTCGCACACGAATCTCATCAAGCCCATCAGTGAGGGGAAGATCAGCCTATCCGTAAAGGCGGAGCGCGAGTTCTGGAAGGTTGTCAACAAAGAAAAGCTGCCCATCCGCCACGTACGAGACAATTACGACTGGGGTAAAGACAAGAACGGCAAAGACATTGCATCATATACCATCGAGGAGCTCAACCAGCGCAAGGTCAAGCAAGCGCGATATCGTGCGCTGTCTCTTTTCTCGAGACAGTTTGTTCATCTGAGGGACCAGGCGAAGAGGCAGGGGGCCGAGTTGGCTGAAACACAAATTGAGGACGAGCGGAAAAGAAGAAGAGAGATGGCGGCCTTGAAGAAAGACTTGTACGGGGAGCTCACGGCAAAGCTGGTGCAGGATCCGGTCTACGATGACATTATCCCAATTCCCATGGAGGAGCCCGAGAACGCTCTGGCTCGGATCGCTTATCCCGACTTTTATGCTGAAGGTAGGCACATGCCGTTGACCATCCACTCGCCTCCGACTAATGGTCGCAGCTATCTCATACCTTCGCGCCGTCATGGTGGCCGAGGAATATACCCCACGATGTCTTCGCATCACCGAGCACGTTATATCTATGAATCCAGCGCACTATACGGTATGGCTCTATAGGTTCAAGATCATTCAGGTCCTGGACCTGCCCATCCCCGACGAGATTGAGTGGCTCAACGAGGTTGCCTTGAACAACCTCAAGAACTACCAAATCTGGCACCATCGCCAGCTCTTGCTCGACTACTACTACCCAAAGATCGCCGACGACGAGGACGCAGTGAAGAAGCTCGCCAAGAGCGAGATCGACTTTGTAAACCAAATTCTGGCAGAGGACACCAAGAACTACCACGTGTGGTCATACAGGCAAGACATTGTCGCCAAGCTTGGCATTTGGACAGTGGCGGAGCTGGGGTCTACTCAGAACATGATTGAGGATGATGTGCGAAACAACTCAGCCTGGTCGCATCGATTCTACCTCGTCTTTTCCGACCCCAGTCAGTCAACAAAGGATGCGTCGCCGACGGAACACGACCCCAAAGTCCCGGAATCCATCATCGAGAGGGAGCTCAAGTATACACGAGACAAGATCCTGCTGTCCCCCCAGAACCAGTCCTCGTGGAACTACCTCAGAGGCGTGCTCCGCAAAGCAGGCAGAGGCATGAGCACGGAGGAGGGCTTTGCATCTCAATTCGCGGAGTGTCTAGGCGAGGAGGGAGAAAAGGTCACGAGCTCGCACGCACTTGAAATGTTGGCTGACGCGTCTGTGGAAACAGGCGATGCCGAGAAGGCGACACTTTGCTTCACGAGACTGGCCAAGACGTGGGATCCTATCAGAGAGGGGTATTGGCAATACCGCATTAGCCAGCTCAAAGAACAATAGGAACTTATCCGGCATGAATGGAAGCTGCAGCCCGGGTGCGCTTAGTATGCAACGTGGACAGTGCTGAGCGCTTTGTTGCTGGGGCGTCGCTTGCGCGGGTGCAGCTGATGAACCAGGCGCTTGGGTCGCATAGGCGGTCTTGAGTCTTGACGCCAGTCCATGCGGACGCCAACTCCAATCTTCTAATAAGCACTTGGCCACGTCAATCTGCCTACAGGCGCACTAGAGGAAGCATATTTCAACCTTTTGATTCGCGTCTGCACTACGGGCCCTTTAGTCATGTCCCGCTATCGAGTAATGTCCTAGCTTGGCGTAGTGTTGGTACGATGGTGTCGTGATTTGAGGAGGTTTGTTCATGTACGTCATCCGCCTGCGCGCCGCTGACGACTGAGTAGGTGCAGATGGCGACTGCCAGCCCAGTCTCTGCGTCTATCAGACTTTCTACCCGACATCGCCAGCTTCGCCAACCGTGATGGTTGCTTTGATGCAGTACAGGTGCGTGCGTGCAACTGCAACAATGAGGGGTCGTGCGTCCAGTATGCTCGTGATGGCTGCCTAGTCAGGACCCAGGACAGACCGAACCAGAACACTGGGCCAGGCTGGTGGAGCCGGAATGGGCGCTTGTGCGCGAAATGCGCTGGCATGCGAGCAAACACCACCATCTCGAGCCATACCATGCCGTTTTGACCGCTTCTTGGGGACGTTGCTGCAGACCCTAGTGGAGGTCCGTTCAGCCAGCCAAACGAAACGACCAGGTAGCATGCGTGCTACCCAACCAGACGGGCCGTTTGCGTCCCAGCTGCTCCAGCTGCTCCAGCTGGATGGAACCAGCCCGGACCACAAAGGCTACTGTGCCTAGTATTACCGTATCGGCACCTCCCATACACGACCCGACGACCGAATTCCCGGGTCGCCGCAGGTCCATATCCAGTTTGTTTCGTTACCCAAGCACCGGGCCAGAACAAGCGATAGTCTTAAGCAGAATCAAGCACTTGATGGATCTCATGCCGTGGTGGTTCTCCAAGTCTTGACACCCCCCCTCTCCGTGGTCTGGATCTTGCGTAAGTTGCGCCCACCGTCCACACCTGCCGGGCTGGTTGGTGACTTCTTTACCTGCAGAGAATCTGCATCGGGCTACCCCGTCCACATGGATCCAGCAGATCGGGCCCGACAAAGTTGAAGCCGACGGGGAAGCAAGTCGCAGGATTATAATAAAACCGGGCACTTTTACGCAGTCACTACTACCCCCTTGCGCGTCTACTACGTATTAGGGCTTTTTGTTCCCCTTCTCTCGCATTCGCCCTCGACTCCTCGTCCCTGATCCTTGCTATTCCTGCAGCGCATCGTCCGTGAGAGACGCTGTCATTTGCTAGTGACGGATCCCACTCCACAGACAACTCATCGAACATCGACCGGCGTGTGCAGTGCACACCCTCATCAAGAGCCTCGCTCAGACCAGCAAACGCCCACGACGGTGGTAAATTCACGCGCTGCTACCAAGCTTCGTCGCTCTAGTGCTGCTCCAGGAGATCGAAAAAAGAAGGCACAATAGCAGCTGAACAAACCGGGCGGTCATACTCTGCCTCAATAGCATTGTTATCAGCTCACGGGCCTTCTTTTGTTCAGTGAGAAAGGCAGCTCGAGCTCCAAGTCATCGGATAAAAGCGCCTGAGCCTAACGCCACTTATCTCAGAGACGCATCACCTTTGTTTCGGGCACAGAACCATCGGTCGTTGAAATCGACTACAAGCTTCGTAGCGGCGCCAGATCTGGCACATTTCCGGATCCGGCGAGCTAGGGGCGTCGGGGAACTCGTCCCATGCTTTCACGTGCATCTTCATTCCTACCGAACAGAAGAGACAAGTCGCAGGCTTCGAAACGGCATCCCGAATTTGGTGGTGCAGCCTTTGGGTCGACAAAATGGGAGACCCAGGAAGATTGGAAGAGGGCGGTGCAAGAGGAGCGCCTCTGAGTATCAACCCAAAACCCGCAAAGGATCAAGCTACGGCAGTACCAAATCCATCGACAATGCAAACAGCTGCCAAGCAAGGGGATCAAGACTTGCCAGTCACAATACCAGAGGTTAGTCTGCGTGGGTCGTTTGGTGATTCGATGTTAAACGGGGCCAGGCTTCCGGAAGGCGTCCTTCAGGGGACAGCAACTCTGATAAAGAGTCATTAGGGGTGAGGTCCCTGCTACACTCGCAATGGGACACAGCTGAACGGGATTAGGAGAAGCACCTCAGAGAGACGCAAGAGTTGACAGCCGATGTGATGAAGTATCGGGTCGAGAATGGGCGAACCTACCATGGCTTCAAGGAGCATCGTACGTTACCTAGCATCACGCTGTGTGGCAACGTGGCTTACAAAGGGCGCAGTGCGTTATGTACTACCCAACGACGAGGTGAGTCCGTTGTTGCTACGTGAGCTCGCGAATGGCACATGCTGATCACCATTGTCTCGCAGTCTGAAAAAAGGCGACTAGGTATGTTGCTCCTCGTGGAGCCGGGTGGAGCAACCTGTCTGACAGATCAGACGTGCAACATTACCTCACATATTTAACGCTGGAGGGTAGACTGTATCTCTGCCCAGCCGGGAGAGACCGGCCCATACGGACGTGCTTGGATGCCGGCACAGGGACAGGTTCCTGGGCGCTCGAGTTCGGTGAGTTCTTCCCGCGCATGTCCGGTAGCTCCGCACGCTGCTAACTCTGTCCAAGCCCAAGAACATCCCGATACAGAGGTAGACGAACTCACAGGTGACTTGGAGACCACGATGCTAACATCACGCAGGTCATCGGCATTGACATTTCGCCCATACAGCCCGAATATGTGCCCCCAAATGTATGCTTCCAGATCGACGACGTGGAGGATGACTGGAATTACGACGAGCCCTTCGACTTCATCTTCTGTCGCATGCTCACGGGCGCCATAGCAGATTGGACTCGGTTCTTCAAACAGTCCTTTGCCAATCTTGAGCCGGGCGGCTGGTGCGAGGTCCAGGACATTGTCGCCCCCATACAGTGCTCGGACGGCACACTGGATCCCGACTCGCCGCTGGCGACCTGGAGCCGCGACCTTTTGCGGGCGACACAGCTTGCTGGTCGGGGTATAGACGGGGCAAAGTTATACAAACGCCAGATGGAAGAAGCTGGGTTTGTGAACGTAAAGGAAGAAATCTTCATCTGGCCCCAGTGCCCCTGGGCGGACGATGACTACTACCGCATGCTGGGTCGGTGGGCGGATGTCGCCATCACGGGAGGGCTCGAGTCGCTCAGCACAGCCTTGTTCACCAGACACCTTGGATGGAAGAAGGCTGAGCTAGATGTGTACCTGACGCAGGTCCGCAAGCAGATGAGAGACAGGGGGGTCCATGCGTACTGGACAATGTAGGTAACATGAACCCCTGCGAGACGACAAAGTTGCTAACACCAGAGGCAGTTACATGGTTTACGGGCAGAAGCCTGAGTAGAAAGCATATTCATGAGTGACTGAGAATTACGAGCAATGATCTGCATGACAAAGGCGTCTCACAAAATTACATAGAGGGATGGATGGCATATGATAATTGCATTTGCATACCTCCTATTCAAACTGGATCACAGACGAATTGATCAATAGTGCTGCATGGATCCCTCGAGCTAGACGTTTTGTGTGATGAACTAAATTAGCACCGTAAGGTTATTCTCTACCAGTGAGTATTGGAACATGAAACATCGCCCACACGATTCCCACCGAGTTCTCCCATTTCCCGTTTCGTTTCGCATTGTCTAAGCATGTCTCATCGACTCTCGACTCTCCAGAACTTCCAGCCTTCCCGCTCACCACTCGAGCCATGGACGCCCACCAAGCGCTCAACGCCTTCTGTTCCCTCAGCATTGAGGAACTTGTCCAGGTCAATCTCCATGCCACCCTCTTCATCCTCGTCCATGCCGTTTTTCAGGACGGCAGGCCACAGTACACCTACGCCATCGCCGCCCAGGGTCGTCTCGAATTGTTCGTAGCCCTCGTCGTCCAGCTGCGTCTCGAGCTTGGCCATCTTCTCGGGGGCGACGTCTGGTTTGAGCAGGGTGATGGAGCAGCCACCGCCGCCCGCGCCCGTGAGTTTCGTCCATCCAATGCCCTCATGATCGACCAGTTCCCTGATGCGCTCCAGCCGCGGATGCGACACGCCGAGCGCGCTCAGCAGGCCGTGGTTGATCGAGAACAGCTCGCCCACCTTTTGCAGGCAGGTGTCGTCCTCCTCGTCAAACTCGTCATCCTCCAAAAGCTCGGCGGCTTCGCGTGTGATGCGGTCCATGGCGTCAAAGATGTTGCCCACGAGCTTGGGGTGGCGCGCCTTGAGGCTGGCGACCTTCTGGACCTCGTGGTTTGTCGACTTGGCCTGCTTGGTGTCCACCAGCAGGAGAGGCAGCTCTGGAAAGTCCCACAGGGGCTGAACGGCGGGGGCAGCCGCCAGCGTGCGCTGGAAGAGGACCGCCTTGCCCTGTGTCGAGACCGTGTTGTCGAGGCCGGAGGGGGTGCCGTGGATGCACATTTCGGACACGAACGCCCACCTGTTGATGCGCTCCACCTGTAACCTGGCCTCGTCGTGGGGCTGTTCTGGATGGGGACCGGCGAGTGTTCGCAGCTGGAGTAGGAGGGCCGCCGACATGCAGACTGATATCGATGCGCTGCTCCCCAGGCCCGCGCCAATGGGGATTGTCGAGCGCAGGGTGTACAGACATCCCGGGAACGATCGCGAACCGAGCGATAAGAAGAGATACAAGAATGCGGACGCGGAGCTACGGTGGATCTTGCGGATTTCTTCTGATCGGTCCGGCGAGACAACGTCTATGTGTGGTTGAAGCGCGGCCACGAGATCGGGATCCAATTCCGTCACCAGCGAGTAGTACGTCTTTTTCTTGTCGGGGTGGTGGAAAGCATCCCACGGCAACTCGTCGATGCTCCAGGTGTGTACAAGGTCGATATCGGGGAATCGGAGAGAGATTGTTCGCTTGGACTTTGAGAGGGTCGTGACGTGGAGATAGGAGCGTAGGGAGATCGCCGCAGCAATCGCAGCCTTTGTCCCAGGTTAGCCGAGCCCTCGTCTCGAGGTCGCGCAACTCGCCTTGCCATGCACCACGGAGTGTTCTCCCCAGACTATGACCTTGCCGGGTGCGGAGACCATGAAGGCTGGTGCCATTGGACTGGACTGCTTGCGCTCCATCTTGATGCGATGCGATAGGGAGGGGCCGTCGCCATTGAGGCTCGCGTTACCGTTTGTAGTGGCCGTCATATCGACGGGGGCGCCCATGAGCAAGTCGCGCAAAAGAATGTCGAGAAGATGGGACGTCGGGTCCTGCGTTTGGGGGCGGCGGACGAAGGGGTGGTGGTGGTTCGCTGATCTCGAGATTTGGGTAAAGGGGAAATCCGATCCGGTGGTGGGAATGCCGCTACTGACTTGCGGGTCGCGCGAGTCGAACTCTGAGTGATCTGGGGAAGTCTCCGCGTGGGGAAAGCGGCGGGCAAAAATGAACAAGAAAGGGAATAAAGCGAATGGAACGTGAGTCGGAGCGGTTCAAGACACTGTGATATCACAGCCTCATTGCGTCGTACGATGTTGCGTGGAGGGACATGGAGCCTTGGGTGTAGTAATTTCAGACTAAGACCAGATGACGGGCTTACAGATTGGGATCGTGTGGGGTAAGAAAAACGCCGACACTAGGCGTGCCAAAATGCGCCTTTTGCCTTCGGCGGGTTTTTGACCGGACTCCTGGGTTGCATGGACTCCCCAGGGATCTGTTTATTAATACGCTGCGTGGCATGCACATCAGAGGATGTGATGCGAGCATTGTTGTCCATCAGGCTTAGTCAGGCCCAGTCGGTCTTGAAGCGCTCTTGTGTGACAAAGCACAGTGCCAGTCGCTCGTGGGATGGGTGCCAACTTCGATGACCAAACCACTACCATGAGGGGTGCATGCGCCCTGCATGGCGCCCAGGATTGTCCTTAGGCTATGCCTGAAGCGGTGCGACGATGAGGCTAGGAACTGAATGAGGATGTGTCCAGTGAAGCTGGGACGAGGGAAGAACGAATTGGGAGTCCGCCGTGTTTCCGTCCTGTGTAATGATACTGGCGGCGTTTCATACAATTGTAGCACAAGCCTAGCAAGGGCAGTAGACAATTGCTCGTCAGCATATGCCAGACGCGCGTGGACTATTGCCTAAAAGTTCAGGGTCCTGTAACTCCTCTAAGTTAGTGTAGCTCCAGTCCTCGTTCATTGAGAGGAATGCCGCGTAGCTCATTGTAGCCTTGGTCTTTGGATGGCTGCATAACAAATGGATGGTTGGTCGTGTATCTGAGAAGTCGATCAGTGGTCTGAGCCCGTGTCTCGCACTCAAGTAACGTTCACCACCCCTCACTCTCGCCGGCAACTTGAACTCGCACACTACGAAGTCTCCATCAACATGACTGTCACCGAATTTGCGCTACTCAAGCTGAGCGACGCGTACGAGCCTCTAGAGCTGTACGAGCTGCTCATGGAATGCTTCGAAATCCAAGATACCTGGGTCCGCAAACACCAGCCTGAATTGCGCGATCCGCACAGCGATGCAAACCTCAGCAGTGTCTACGTTGACAGGTCCAGCACACCACACACGTTGCTCATCACTGCACAATGGAGCTCGCCAGAGGCGCATCACCAGTGGGTCGCTAGTGAGGAGAATCAGATGGGATTTGCGGCAATAAAGAAGTTTCTGGCAGAAGGCGAGGACAGCATGGTGTTGTTCCACATGGCACCCGCCGGTTTGCGCCAGAAGGGTGCGCCGCCAAAGTTTACGGGACAAGGGACATTTGAGGTTGAGAGAATCTTCATCCGGGCAGAAGAGAGGCCCGCCGTGCAAGAAAAGTACCGGAAGTTGGAAGGGACGCTGCTGGATCTCAAGATTGAGGACCCGATATGGGCGGGATGGCGCCTCGAAAAGGAATCCCCCGAGACTGACGAGCTTGTGGTCTTCTACTCCCAGTCCCAGTCGCCCCTCGGCCGCACAGTCGAGAAGCTGGACGTTTCTCACAAGAAGCAGGTCCTGGTATTTGAGCACATCATCGGTTGACTGGGTGCACAATTTTCGCGCGCTGACAAAACTCCGTATTTGGTGGTTTGTGAGGTGGACTTTTATTTCGAGTCGTGGCCTAATGCAAAGGGTACCCCGAGACGCCCATTCATCATGATATCCGTTCCCGCCGCCATCGTGGTTCGTTTAGTTCTTCTTGGACACCTCCGCAATCGACAGGTCTGTAGCCTATTAGCACCGCATGCCGCCTGCGCAAAGAGAGTGGGACGCACTGGGAGGGAGGCTCTGCTTGAGCTTCTCGGCCTTCTCGGCGTCCTTGAGCACCAGGGTGTACAGGTGCTTCTGGCAGCGGACCTTGAACTTGACGTTGCCAACCTTCTTGTTCTTCTTGATGCGCGCGGCTGTTGTACCGTTAGTCCCTACTACCAATGTCTGTGTATCCTTTCGGTCGTGTGGAACGTACAGGAGGCGTCCTTCCGACGGCAGATCTCGATGAACTAGCGATACGTTAATTATCTGTTGTATACAAGCTAAGCGCAACAAGCGTCTTTGTTTACCTTCTTGATATCAGCGACCTCACGAGGCATTTTGGCGGTAATTGGTTGGTGATTGGGGATGAAGATTTGTCTTGCTTCGGCGGCTTGAAGCGTAATTTGCTATGGGGATTTTGGATTTGACAATTTTGTGCGCTCGCGGGGCCATTGAGAATCAGCCAACGAGGTGCGGGCGGGAGGAAGAGTGGATACAATGTGGCTGATTGTTTTGATGTGGCTGAGAATCATACACTAGCCACACGTGTTAAGCCAGCGTGGCGGTGACGTCGCCTAATGTGGCGTTCTCTCTAGGCCTCGTCTAAGGACATGACACCTTTCATGTTCACTTCCCAAAAGTCATACCTAATAAACCCGAATCCTCCTATATATATCTTTCAATCTTTTCCTCAAACTGTCCAAACAAGCAATTCCTAGTCACTTGGTCTCTCATTTCAATTCATCACAGCTTGAAGATCGTCTCCACAAGCCACGCCAAGATGCCTACGCAACTCGACAACATGATGAAGTCCAAGGTACGAAGCTCTGTCTCTCCAAGTCAAAAGATAAATTGCTAATAGTGAGGAAGAACATGGTTCTTGGTAGGTTGACGCGCCCAAGCCACATGATCATGCACTAACACTTGCAAGCTTTCGGCGGCGCTGTCGCAGCAGCTGCTCTGTGGACCATCTGGGGCAGCGATATGTTTCCTGCAGAGCAAGATCCAACAGGCGACCCCGAGGGCTGGTCCCGGGAGGATATGCGCAGGTGGCTGGCTGCCGTGGGTGTTCCTTGGTTCGGGCAGAGAGCTGCTAACTGACGAGATGTGCTAGAGGAAGCTGTATCCCGGGGACACTGCTACGAGGGAGGAGTTGCTTGCCAGGGTTTTGGCCAACATGAGGATCCCGAGGCAATGAGCTGGGCTCTGGTGTGGATTTTTGGGTTGTCTTAGTCTTTGCTTGTTCTTTTGCAGTTTGGCGTTGATTGGCGTGTACTACGGTACCTGGCTTCTGGACGACACATGATGGTGTTCAGATTGGTCTGAATGAGGTACGCTCCTACAGGCAGTCATTCCCACCATGTTGATTAAAACGACGGGAAGAAATCGTGTTCGACGCGAGTAAAGTCTGAATTATCTGATAAGATAGTAATAACCTTGATACCCGACCTAGTTTAGGGTAGCTCAATAACACGAGGGATCTCCCGCGCTTCATCTGCAGGCTGTCATCCCCAGATCCACTTGGATCGAAGTCATCGTCCAGCCACCACCAGCCCCAGGCCAGGCCTCGGAACTCTGCTTCTTCCTTCCCCCTTGCATACGCGAGACCTGCGCATTATAGCGAGCGCCAAAGCGCTGCCGTGGCCGCTTGAAAGCACCCGAATACTTTGGCCATATTGCGTTAATCTTGTCCCACCCGCTGCCTCTCAATTCGCGAGCGACGTCATCCCAAGGACCTAATGATCGCGACGCCAAACGCCCACGAGTGCCGATCCGTTACCGACCATGGCCTTTCTCGAAGATCCTCGACTGCGTCAGCGCTGGAATCAGATCACGCACGATGCCGAAGCCGCCACTGAGAATGCGGCCGCCGGAATCTGGTCATTCCAGCAACATTATGTGAACCCTTGCTTGGGCTCCGTCGCCGCTTCGATTCAGTCCTGCACCGCTGTTTGCATAGGCGATCCCGAGGACCGGCTGCGGAGGCGACGGGAGCGCGAGCGCGAACGCGCAGAGTACAGCTTCGACTTTTACGACGACTGGTACGAAGAAGAGGAGCAGGCTGGGGGAATCCTGGGAGGCTGGGGAGGGGAGGACTGGGATCGTCTGTTGGCGGGCACGGGCAGCCAAAGGAAACACCATACAGCCGGCGCGACCGTCGAGCAACCGAAACGAAAGCGAGGCATGAGCTATGGCACAAAAGGGGGCAGGAGGCCGTCTCGAGGCGAGGACCCGACGATCATTCCCAGTACCCAGCCTATTGGCTTTCTCAGCAAATTGCCCTTCCGAATGGGCGGCACACTCCGATACAAGCCGAGCGCGGCGAACCTACAAGAACATCCAGGGAAGCCTGGTGCGGCAGAGGCCGAACCCTTGCTGGGGTCGGACTCGTCGTCTGATGCCGGCCATATTGTAAGATCGCGGAAGCGCAGTGGCACGGCTGGCTCGGGCGACACATCAGACTCATATAGGTCACGAGGCGATCTGTTCCCGAGCGATGGCGAGGGTGAAGAAGATGCCGTCCCTTTGGACGATGATGTTACATACGACATGGTGCGCAAAGATGATCGCAGCAGCGGCAAGACACGCAGCAGCAAGGGCAAAAGACCGGTCTTGAGCGGCTCCCGGACAGTGTCACGGACGACGCTCGGGTCAAACGCATCACACGACTCCCTGCGACTGACACGCGTGCCGTCCGGGCTATCGGCGTTTACACCGGACGCCGAAGCTATGCCTTCACTTGAGGATATGCAGATGGAGGAAGAGCATCTTCGCATGGTGGAAGATGAGAAGATCGCCAAGAGCAGAGAAGCTGCGGCGCACCTGGCCAGGGCCAGAGGTCTCAAGGTGGATAGCCCCGAACTGCAGCCCTCAACGGGGCAAAAGATTGACGTGGCTCCGGACGAGGTGTATGAGCCGGCAAAGGAGTCAATGTCAGTTGCAGAAGCTGGAGCACCGCTTCAACCCGCTACGAAGTCACCCTCCAAATCAGAGGAGGGCGATGAGTTCGTACCAGCGAGACTGCCAAGGTTTGGTTGAAGCCTATGATGATACCCGATTTGCTTCTCAATTTGCGGCATGGGACGTGTGCTTTCTATGAGTCCTGAAAGCAGCATCGAGCGTGCATTCACGACGACCTTGAAGAGACAACGACCAGCGCATTGCGCGAATACCTCCGCCTTTGCAATGCGCTCCGGTTATCCTTAAAGGCACTCATTAACCACGACAGCCTCGGTGGTGCGAGGTGCAGCACGTGTGTTCCAAAGTCATGACGACGGACGGACTGTCATGAGACTGTCGTGAGGAGCGAAACTCCGGCGAGCTGGTACCCCATACGGGAAGTGCCTCGGCGCGAAGTCATTTGGGGCAATTTCCCCACGAAAGGCGGCTCCCCCGCATTTGGTTGGTCCACCTGCTAATCCACGGCGCGCGCGCTCCAACAGTCAAATGTCAAGGCAAGCTTCCAGTCCGCTCCCATTCGACCTACCATTGTATTCTTCACGAATTTTCATCTTCACTTCTTCGCTGGCTTCTACATAACACTCCTGCAACTATCAGACATTTGGAAGCTCGAGCCGGACGAGGCAGCGCAGACACAATGGCGCCCCAAGGTCCTATCACGACACCTCTGACGACCCTGCTGGGCATTCAGCACCCTGTGGTGCTCGCCGGCATGGCCCGCACATCGGGCGGTGCTCTCGCGGCTGCCGTATCCAACGCTGGCGGGCTAGGTGTCATTGGTGGTTTTCAGTATACGCCCGATCAGTTACGGGAGATTATTGCTGAAATGAAAGCGGCCTTCAGACACCCCAACCTGCCATTCGGAGTCGACTTGGCGTTGCCTCAGGTTGGCGGCAACGCGCGCAAGACGAACCACGACTACACGCATGGCAAGCTGGAGGAACTCATCGACATCACCATTGACAGTGGGGCTGTGTTGTTTGTCAGCGCAGTGGGCGTGCCCCCCAAGCACATTATTGACAAGCTGCACAAGGCGGGGATCTTGGTCATGAACATGGTCGGACACCCCAAGCACGCCGTCAAGGCATTCGAGCTGGGCGTCGACATGGTCTGCCCCCAGGGCGGTGAGGGCGGCGGTCACACGGGCAACATTGCCAACTCGGTCCTCATCCCGGCCGTCGTCGACGTCGCACGCCAGTACAAGCCTCCCATGCTCAAGGGGTCGACCGCTCTCGTCGTGGCGGCTGGAGGTATCTCCAACGGGCGTGGGTTGGCCAGCTCGCTCATGCAGGGCGCGGTGGGCGTCTGGGTAGGCACTCGCTTTGTTGCGTCCGTGGAGGCCGGGTGCAGCGAGGAGCACAAGCGCGAGGTTGTCAGCTGCGGCTTCGACGAGACAGACCGGACACTGGTGCTCAGCGGGCGTCCCTTGAGGATGAAGGTCAATGAGTACATCAGGGACTGGCACTCGAGGCCGCAGGAGATCCAGGCGCTGTGCGACAAGGGCATCACGCCCATTGAGCATGATATTGACGAGGGCAAGGACATTGACCTGCCGCACCTGATGGGCCAGGTCGCGGGCTCTATTGCCAAGATACAACCTGCGGGTGAGATTGTCGAGGAAATGGTCAATGAGGCGGCAGAGATGCTGCAACTGGGCGGCACGTACCTCAACGCGAGGAGCAGGTTGTAAGCTGCGTATACCGGTCGTGATGGTATACGTACGACGAATCGACCAGAGCACATGGGCCTCGGCGAGGCGGTGTATGGCTACGGTTCAGGGCTGCATAGCCGGTCAGTCCATCGATCAATGTATGCATGTATTAATATTGCTTGGATACGCACAAGTCTGGCGCAACATGCATACAGTTCCCGCGTCCGATCGAGGCGCGGATGGATCTACCCTGTTGGCTTGTGGCGTGACCAAAGTAGAGTAGAGTGAATATCATAGAGCACCTTGATTAGCAGCACGGGCATTATTAGTGAATTAGCTTGAGCTGGATATGACTGGCGGCATAAATCCTGAATTTCTCTCAGTCATAGGAACCTTTGGGCTGACGGACACTACGTGGCGTGGCTTGGTCGTCTTCTGATCTCATACGTACGGGTAATAATCAATCGATACGACGATTTGCATCATGCATGAGCCCTTGCTTCTACGTAAAGTCCCTTCTGTTTACTTTTGCAGGTTAGGCTGGTTCGTATTGCCTGTCCCCACTCTGACGGCGTAGCATCTTGGCCAAGAATAACCAAGGTAAACTAAAGAAGGTGCGGAGCATTCTTACGCCAGTCTAAGAAGGTGCCGGCATTGCCGCTGGCACGGGGACTTTCCACGATCTAGCCCCTCGGGACTTGGTCGCAGCAGCCGTTGGAAATAAGCAATGGCGTCGTCTTGTCGGTGTTCTTGGGCCTAGGTCATGTTCGATCAATATTGGGCGCCCCCCATCTCCCGTGTTTCTAAAACGAGCGCGACGTCGATGGTGGAGCGTGACTCGGATCTGACCGAGACTACTGCTGATTAGCGCTGGTTTGATCAAGTCTACGTGCCGATGGCCTTCTCAGTGACTGGACTTCATGACGCGGTTGCATTTCATCGGCATTCACGGTCGCTTGGCGATGAAGAAAGGAGCTTAACGTCCAGGGTCCAGTCCACCTCAACTTCACCCTCACACCCAGACTTCAAGCCAGCCCAGATCTCGCTAAACTGTGGGGTAGAGGCAAAAATAGGCAGGCACCGTACCGTATTCGAGCAGGGCACAGGCAAGGATCGAGTCCTGCACAACGTCGTCGCCCTCTCCACCTCCAGTCCCAAGCGACTCCTCACCACCGCCCACTGCCGCTCAATGCCATGTTCGGACAGGTGGAGTTTCCCTGGAAAGATTCCACTGCGACAATACGAGGGCTGATCAATTGGCATGGCGTCTGGGGCCGCCTATTCTCCGATGCGCACCACAGGTGCTCAGACGTCAGCTGAGTGAGGCTGCAGTAGCACCGTACCGCAAGCATGGCCTGATCGACAGCTCGGTCTGCACTGGGCGAGGGTGATACGAGATGGTCTGGGGCCAAGGTGGCTTGGCTGACAGCATCGCGACTTGCCATCGGCCTTTCGGCCGTCGCTGGCCACGATCACGTCTCTGAGCAACGGGCGAGGGCCCAGCAAGGGCAGGCGAGGTCAAGGGCGAGGCCATCATGAGTATATAAGGTTGCCATGTCTCGCTCCCTTGAGACAGAAACTCTTCATCAGCACCAAGCACCTTCACACCAGTCCCACAAACCACCAACAAACCGCCATCATGAAGTTCTCCGTCGTCACCGCCCTCACCACCCTCCTGGCCTCCGGCGCCATGGCTGCTCCCGCCGACGTGGACGCCCGCGGTGTGGCCACCGTCTCCATGGCCGCCGCCTCCACCTGGACCATTGAGAGCATGAAGCGCAGCTGCGACAAGCCCGACAACAACTGCGCCTGGTCCTTCACCATCAACAACAACGCCGGCTCCAAGCAGGGCTGCAGCTACACCGTCAAGCGCCAGAACAGCGCCACGCCCGCCTCCCACAGCCCCGAGACCGGCGTCAACTGCGGTGCCTACACCGTCACCAGCGGCTGGTCCGGCCAATTTGGCGCGGGCAACGGCTTCACCACCCTCAGCGTCGTCAACAACAAGGACCGCACCATTGCCTGGCCCGCCTACACCGACAAGCAGCTCCAGGGCGGAAAGGTTGTCACCCCCAACCAGTCCTACCCCGTCCAGAAGCTTCCTTAGGCGGTTGATCTCGGTACAAACCCGGTTGTCCAAGGGGGGACGCTTGTTGATGGGTGATATATGAGAGTTTTGAGCGATACACACGGTCCTTCTTACAGAAACTTAATGTTTACATTCTGATTTGCGAAAATGTCCCATGTCTTGTGCCATGTGAAGCTTTCTGCATCTCGTTAATCATAAGGTGATATATGCCTCGACGTGCATTACCACCTCAAACCTTCACAGACAACCTCTTTCTCGCAAGAGCGCTCTCCCTCCAGCTCCAGAATCCGACATAGGACGCAGCAGGTCCCACGAGCACTTGCCCCACGGCGGTGTAGGCAACAGCCTTGACGGCTTCACTAGACCCCACGCAGCCGAGATTGACGAGATCGTAGGCATTGTAGGCCAGGAACACCAAGATGGACGCTGTGAGCAGCAGCAGGTCATATCTCATAAAGATTCCCATGGTTTTCACAGGGTTTCCAAGATCCCACACGGCAAAAGGTGCTGGAATATTGCAAAATACGCCGCGGAGGGAGAGCTCGGGCTCGGTGACAATGTAGCCCAGAATAACGACATGGCACGCAAAGGCCACCGTGAATGTCAAGCCGTAGACAAATTTCAATGTAGACAGCGGGTTCTCGACTGACACAGCAGACTCCTGCGTCTTCTTGGCCATGGGATTCTTGGGCGCCGTTCCACTGGCCGCCTGCTTGATCACCACACCCAAAAAGGTCGTCACGACGGCCAACGTCAGGGGACTGGGCTGCCATGAGGCGATAACATTCTGCTGGAGCTCCACATCGCTCGTGGGGACGAGCATGAGAAATGTCGGGATCGCGTAGCTGATAATGGTGGCTGGGAACACACTCTTTGCAATCTGCGGTGGCACTACAATTTCGAGAGCATCGCCTCTGTCCGAGAGGATGGAGAGGATGAAGTAGATGGGCGCCACGAGGCCCACGCCAAATATCTGCACGGCTATACCGTACAAGCTGGTCCTGCGCTTTGTTAGCAGACGCTCCACGCTGGCCACAGTGAGATCGCCTTCGTACCGGTTGCCGCGACGCCAGCCCTCAATGGTCCATAGCATGAGAGTCACACCCAGGAGAGGCGCAAAGTACATCAACTGCGCCTTTGCATTGGGTTCATCGCCGGCCAGAAGGTAGGAGAATGCCGAGACGAGCTTGGCGAGCAAGCCGTCTATGGGCTTGAACCCTGTGTACGTTGTCTTGAGAGGGTAGCGGCCTGCGAAAGAGTTGAGACTATCCTTTGGCACGCGAAGCGCATGGCGCGCCACCACGACTATCGGGGTGAGTAGCGCGACGGCAACGAGACGAGGGGTCCAGTTGATCGATCTGGCCCTGGAAACTTTGGGTGTGTCTGTGTCGGTGGTGGCTGATGGGCCTTTGGCTGGTGTGGGTGACGGCTCCGCCGCTGTCTTCCTTGCTCTGGCCATTGTAGGAGCCAATTGCAGGTTCTCTGTAGGGAAATTTTTGAAATTTCTGAGCCTCAGCGGCAATCCTCAATATGTATATGGAAATGAAAAGGACAGAAATCTCACAGTCTTGGCTGTAATGTCAGTTGGCTACAGCAGGTATACTTGTAAGCTTGGCCCTCGAAGGATCAGTGGATCTCGGGTGCTCGACGTCAGCTTATCGATAAGCCACGGCCGCAAAAGTGGATCCTTCCCAACTTTTTTTTCCCAGCACCGCCAGAAAGTTCAATGTGCTTGCTGCCCGCCATCCACCACTACCAGCATTTCCCTGCCACCAACAACTCGATTTCTACCCGACGAACCACACGCACGAGCACACACAATGGGCGCCGCCACCGTTACGAAGAAGCGCAAGGTCCGCGACGCAGAGGGGTCCGAGGCTGTGTCTGTGACCAAGAAGACGAAGAAGATCAAGAGCCCCGCGCCGCCCGTCGAGCCACCCAGCGAAAGCGAAGAGGAGGACCCCGAGGACGAGGAGGACGACAATGCTGAGAGCGAGGACTCAGAAGACGATGTGGCCGAGAATGGCGAACCCGACGATCTTCCAGCACAGAGCCAACCGCTTCTCCCACCGACCACAGCTTCCGACCAGTTCGAGGATCTCAAACTGTCCGAAAAGACCATGTCAGCCATCAAAGACATGGGTTTCACCAAAATGACCAGCATTCAGCGCAGTGTACGCAACATTCCCCCGCGCTCCAAACAATGACACTGGGTTAGCTAACATGGACAGGCGATACCACCTCTGCTGGCCGGCAAAGACGTCCTCGGCGCCGCCAAGACTGGTTCCGGCAAGACCCTCGCCTTCCTCATCCCCGTCGTCGAGATGCTCTCCTCCGTGCGCTTCAAGCCGCGCAACGGCACCGGTGCCATTGTCGTCTCGCCCACCCGCGAGCTGGCACTGCAGATCTTTGGCGTCGCGCGCGAGCTCATGAAGAACCACTCGCAGACATACGGCATCGTCATTGGCGGCGCGAACCGCAAGGCCGAGGCCGAGAAGCTGCAAAAGGGCGTCAACCTGCTGATCGCGACACCGGGCCGCCTGCTGGACCACCTCATGAACACCCCCTTTGTGTACAAGAACATGCGGTCGCTCATCATTGACGAGGCGGACCGCATCCTCGAGGTCGGGTTCGAGGACGAGATGAGGCAGATTGTCAAGATCCTGAAGCCCAAGGACCAGGTCAACGACCGACAGACGATGCTCTTCTCCGCCACGCAGACGACCAAGGTCGAGGATCTCGCGCGCATCTCGCTGCGCCCCAACCCGCTCTACATCAACGTCGACGAGGAGAAGCAGTTCAGCACGGTCGAGGGGCTGGAGCAGGGCTACGTCCTGTGCGACGCCGACAGGCGCTTCGTCCTGCTCTTCTCCTTCCTCAAGGCCATGATGAAGGTGCCTGCGGCCAAGCCGGACGAGACCGAGGCCGAGAAGACGGCGCGGCTGAACAAGAGGAAAAAGGTCATTGTCTTCTTCAGCAGCTGCAACTCGGTCAAGTACTACTCGGAGCTGCTCAACTACATTGACCTGCCCGTCCTCGATCTGCACGGCAAGCAAAAGCAGGAGAAGCGCACGAGGACGTTCTTTGAGTTCAGCAATGCGTCGCACGGCATCCTGATCTGCACCGACGTCGCAGCCCGTGGTCTCGATGTAAGTCATTCCCCGCCCGTTTTTGGGTGATCCATCCGTCGCGAGTACTAATTGATTTTCTGCTAGATCCCCGCCGTCGACTACATTGTCCAGTTCGACCCTCCCGACAACGCGACAGACTACATCCACCGCGTCGGCCGGACAGCCCGCGCCAACACCAAGGGCCGCAGTCTCATGTTCCTCCAGCCGAACGAGGTGGGCTTCCTCTCGCACCTCAAGGCGGCGCGCGTGCCCGTGTTCGAGTACGAGTTCCCGGTCAAGAAGATCCTCAACGTGCAGTCGCAGCTGGAGAAGCTCGTGGGCGACAACTACCACCTGCACTCGAGCGCCAAGGACGCGTTCCGTTCATACCTGCACGCGTACGCGGCGCACAGCCTGCGCTCCGTGTACGACGTGAACAAGCTGGACCTGGCCAAGGTGGCAAAGAGCTTTGGGTTCAAGGTGCCCCCGAGGGTGGACATTCAGCTGGGGCAGAGCATGGGGCGGAACAAGACACAAGGACGCAGGGCCTACGGTAGTCAACCGAAGCAGGCGAGGGGCAGTTACCAAGGGAGACGACATGCCTAAGGGATAGCTGGAGACTGTACGCCGGCGTTGGTAGGAGTTTTGAAAGAGTGCTTGTAGACTTTACGTATGGCTTCATAATGTCAGCTGTTGAAGACAATTAAGCTGTGAATCACACATTGAATAAGGTTGAATTTAAGTTGCTGCACCGGGTAGGCAGATCTTCAGCAAGGGTGCCGCCGTCGGACGCAGGTACCACCACGCCTTACCCTGTACGTAGATGACCAAGCTTCGCCATCCTGGGCGACGCGTCAACCCCCAGTCTCATCTCACTCAGGTCTTTGCTCCCTACGACGTCTTACGGCCAACGTCGAGACGGTCGCTGTCGCTCGTTTTACAACCATCTCTGGCTATCATGGAGGCCCACAATGCCATTGTCGCCAAGGTCGCCGAGCGTGTGCAGCACTTTCACAGCATCCAGAAGCCGTTCCGCATCTACCATGGCTCGACCAACTCCACCCGTCCGTCGCACCGCTCCGTGGACAACACCGTCGACACGTCCAAGCTGAACAAGGTGCTGCATGTCGACCCTGTCAAACTTACGGCCACGGCAGAGCCGAACGTGCCGCTGGGCGACCTCGTCAAAGCCACGCTCCAGCATGGCCTGCTGCCGCCTGTCGTGATGGAGTTCCCGACCATCACCGTCGGCGGCGGCTTCAGCGGTTCCTCCGGTGAGAGCTCGAGCTTCAAGCACGGCGCGTTCGAGGCCAATATCGAGAGCATCGAGATTGTCCTGCCCAATGGCACCATTGAGCACGCCTCCCGGACCGTCAAGCCAGACCTTCTCTGGGGCGCCGCGTCGGCGTATGGCACCCTCGGTGTCGTCACCCTCGTGGAGGTGCGCCTCCGCCTGGCCAAGGACTTTGTCGAGCTGCGGTACATTCACTGCAAGAAGCCAGAGGACTATGTCCAGGTGATCGAGGCGGAGAGCGCCAAGCCCGACGTGGAGTTTGTGGATGGCATTGTCTACGCTCGGGACTCGACCATTATCTGCTCCGGCAAGTTTGCCGATGCTGTCCCTGAAGGCAAGAAGACGGTTGGGTTCACCAAGCCGAATGACCCCTGGTTCTACCTCCATGCCCAGGACCGCGAGCGCAAGCTCAAGGCCGGATCGCACACCGAGGACGAGCTGGTGGACTACATCCCCATCACGGACTACCTCTTCCGCTACAACAGGGCCGGGTTCTGGACCGCGCGCTATGCCTTTCAGTACTTTGTCACGCCGTTCAACAGGATCACGCGCAGGGTGCTCGACAAGTTCATGCAGACAAGCGTCATGTACCACGCCATGCACAAGTCGGGCCTGCACGACTTTTACGTCATCCAGGACGTGGGCGTGCCGTACGCGCGCGCGGCCGAGTTCCACAACTTCCTGGACGACACCTACAAAATGTATCCCATCTGGCTGTGCCCCCTCCGCATCCGCCGCGACGAGCCCGACTCGGGCCATGGTCTGCACGCCGAGTTTGCCGACCCGGACACCGAGTCCCATCTCCTCAACTACGGTGTCTGGGGCCCCGTGCCGGGCGACAGGAAGGAGGTTGTCCGCCTGAACAGGCTGCTGGAGCACAAGGTGCAGGCGTGCGGCGGCAAGAAGTGGCTCTACTCGCACGCGTACTACACCGAGTCCGAGTTCTGGGCGCACTACGACCGCGAGGCGTACGACGCGGTCCGGGAACGCTACGGCGCGGGCCACCTGCCCAGTGTCTACGACAAGACCCACGTCGCCTGGGAGAAGGAGGAAGCGGCGCTGGCCAAGAGGCCGGTGAAGAGGATCGCGTGGAAGATCTGGCCGCTCCGGGGCCTCTACGGCGTGTACCACGCGTGGACGGGCAACGACTACCTGCTGTCCAAGAGGAAACAGGAGAACGCGGCCGCGAAGCAGCAAGCGCAGCAGCAGCAACAGCAGCAGCAGACGCGAGACGAGGAGGACCCCGTCAAACCAGGGACAGCTGTCTCGGCCGAGCCACCGCAGCTTGAGGAGCCACAGCGTGTGAGGCCCATGTCGACAGCATTTGCGGAAGATCCCAACAACGAGACGACCCAGACCAGTCAAGACATCCCTCGCGTTCCTGCGCAGCCCGCTGAAGTCAAAGCGTGAGACTTTGAGAAGAAGGAGAAAGTAAGCATAAAACACCGAGGAGCAGCAACTCTTTGTGTTCTTGATACCACCCATTATTTTCATAGATAGACGGCGCCATCCAGCATGCTACACGTAATAATACAACCACAACTTCACCACCGGCTGTCCAGCTTAGTCGCTCCTGAAGCCACCCATGCCTCCCTTGCGACCACTGAACTCACCCAAGCCTTTCGACGCGTCATTCTCCGCGCGCGCCTTGACCTCCTCCCAGCCCTTCTCGCCGCGGGCCTTCATGTCCTGCCAATTCCTCTCGCCCTGTCGGCGCAGCTCGTCAGCACGCGCCTTGGCGTCCTCCCAGCCCTTCTCGCCATGACGCTTCATCTCCTCCCACTTTTGCTCGCCCTTGGCGCGGGCCTCGTTCAGGTTCTGCTCGCCCTGCGCCTTGAGGCGGATGGCGTTCTGGTCGGCCCGCTCGAGGTCCTGCTTGGGCGAGCCGGAGGTGGTGTAGGCGTAGAGGCCCAGCAGGGCGAGGGCCACGCCGGCCATGGCGGGCCAGTTGCGCTTCACCGTCTCGTCGCGCCCGGCGGGCTTCTGGGGCGGGGGCTCCTGGCCGCCGGGACCGCCTAGGTCGTCTGGTCCGCGGATCTTGGTGCGGGTCTGGAGCATGGTGGCGCCTGAGCGCATGGGGTGTGCGGCGAGAGGGCGCATGGAGGTGCGCAGCACATTGGAGGTTCTCGAGAGAGACATTGTGTGTATGTGTTGGGGGGATATGTTGCAAAGAATTAGGCGTAGGAGTCGTCTCCAGGAGTAGGAATCGACCGTAGGGGCAGGAATCGTGTGTGTTATAAGAGAAAAGGTGATCTTTTGGGGTCGTGGTGTGAGTAGTAGCTCTTATAAGCTACGCGACGGTGACGACAATATTGTGGGGAGACCTGGAAGCTGCGATGATGTACCAATGACGACTCCAAGCATTCATTGCCTGTCTCACCCCTCGACCTTGGAAGTTGGAGACGGGGTTGGAGAACTTGGCGTTCTCACATGCCCTACGTATAGGATCTAGGTATCGCAGTGCAACGATTCTTATTCACAATCCATCAGTTATTCACAGTATGTACAGCTCTGAGCAGCACCAGTCCAGCTGGTCTAGAGCTCATCGCCTGGCTCCTCACTCTGTCGCAGGACGACCACGTTGGCAATGTCGACGCCTATGTCCTCCAACGCGACCTGCTTACCAGAGGCCCTCGTCGCAGTAATATCCAGCTTCCCGCCGACGTGGTGGAACTCAATCTCGGCACGACCCTCGCCGCCGTCGAGGCTCACCCCGTCATCCACGTAGAGCCTCCCTGACGCAGCGCCATCGGAGCCCAACGCGACGAGCAGCTCGAATGGCTGCTTCCGGAGCTCTGTCGTCGTGTACGCGCTTTCATTCCTCAAGGGCAGGATGCAGCCGCCGCGGATGTGCAGCGGGATGCGATCAAACGCAACGTCCTTGATCGTCGTCCAGCCATTGCCCTTGACCGGCGCACGGCTTTCCCACTCGTAGAAGAGCGCACCCTTGGGCATGTACATGTCCACGTCCGTGGCCCCTTCCTGCGTCACAGGCGAGACGAGGACACAGTCTCCGTAGAAGAACTGCAGGTCGATGCCAAAGGTCTCCTCGTCCTGTGGGTAGACGTGCCACATGGGCTTCAGCACGGCGGGGGTCCCGTCGCGGCTCTGGAACTCGAGCGCCGTGTAGATGTAGTCGAGCAGGCGGTAGCGAATGTCAATCGCATACTGCGCCGCCGATGTGACGAGCGGCAAGAGGTAGAACTCCTGGTGCGCCGCGCTCTCCGTCGCGTGGTTGCGGTAAAAGGGGTTGAAAGCGCCGAGTGTCGCCCAGCGTGCGCAAAGTTTCTCGTTGGTGCTCTCGCCAAAGCCGCACACGTCGCTGCCGACCATGGGGATCTGGAAGATGGATGCGAAGCTGAGCATCTGGGCGATCTGAATGCGGCTGTCCCCTGGTCAGCGATACGTCTAAAGCGGTCAAGTTGTTGCACTGTAAGCTAAGAGACTCACTAGAAGCTCCATCGAGAGACGTTATCACCGAGCCACTTTTGCACGTAATGCCCTGTGCCGGCAAATGTGCTTCGCGTGATGACAAAGGGACGCAGGTTGGGCCGACGAGCAAGCATGGCAGCCCTAGTGGTCATGCTCATCACTAACACCGTTCTCAGCCAGACATCTCAACGGGGCATGATCGAAACTCACAGGCCCCATACAGATTATGGGTATCGTACGTCGTCAGGCCATTCGCGAGCGTCAAGTCGGTATCCATGGTCATGTCGCTCAACTTGCCACCTGGCGCCTTGTTGTTGATGCTGTAGGGTGGCGAGAGCAGGTCATCGGCCGCGTGGTTGACGTCGTAGTGTTTCTTGGAGTCAAGGCCTCGCGACGCCAGCTCGCGCAGCGTCTTCTGCTCCGTAAACTTGCTAGCCACCACCTCTCGGCTGGTGTTGAACGGCAGGCCCGGGATAGACCTTGGTGGTTCACGGACGGCGGGTGGTTTGGGCGGGAGATTGCGGTTCTTGGCCTCCTGGTCGGGATTGCAACCCTGACGACAGAAGCTGGCAGGCTCATTCATGTCGATCCTGGCTCTGTCAGTATAGAAGAACACTCGGAGACACATCCTCAAAACTCACCACACTCCGTCAATGTCGACGCCTGTCTCGGGGTTGAAGCTGTTGTGGAACATTTCCATCCAGTAGTCGGTGGTATTCTCGTGATACCAGTCCGGGAAGACTGCGACGCCCTTTGCTCAGTCAGCAACCATGTATCAGACAAACAAAGAGAGAAAACATACTGGCCATACAACGCCTCGGAACGGCTTTTTTCCATCCCTTCTCTTGACGAACACATCCATCTCGTTGCCACGGTTGTAGGCAGGATAGTCATGTTCAGCAACAGCAGGGTCCACCATGAGAATGTAGCGCTGGTCGCGCTCGTGGAGATACTCAACAAGGTCCTGCATGCGCTCAATCGGATAGTTCCCAGGGTCGAGGGTGAAGGTGCGGCGGTGGTCCATGTAGTTGATATCGGTCCACATGGTCCTACCAAGTCAGCGAGGCCTGCTCTTGTTGTCTCGAATCAAAGAACTTACTCGAGTGGGATGTTGGCAACAGAGTAGTTGTGGACCACCTCTGCCACCTCGAACCAGTCGCGGTAGCCGTACTTGCATTGGTGGTACTGTTTGCCTATTTCAGTCACCTATAAACGATAAAGGGGGTCGATCGGTTTGCACTCACCCCCAAGCTCCAGTATGGCACCATGGCCGGCACGCCAACGACTTCGGCGTACTGCCGTGCCACGTCTTCAGGTCCGGGCCCCGCAAAGAAGTAGAAATCCAAAACGCCTCCAATGATGTTGTACTCCATGTACTGGTCCCCATTCTGGTCCTGGTTCAGCTTAATGTCCATGCCATTCGAGTTGAGGAGGAAGACACCGTGCGTTCCGGTCAGTCGGTGATCCACGTAGATTGGGTGTGAGCCATAGAGGTTGTTATTTGACGGGATCGCCCCTGAGTCTCGAGCCCACAATGTCCTGCTGTAGTCTGTGGTCTTGAGACGGAAAGGATCACTATGCTCACCGAGGCCATATAGGTTCGGTTGGGAAGGGAGCCATGTCTGCAGACGAAGGTACTGCCTCTCAAACACGAGAGAGGTGTTCTTGGTCGAGAAGAGGATCTCCTCCGTAGACCGTCGCGAGACAGTGAAGGAAAATGGTGCCTTGGTGAAGTCAAACTTGAGATCTGGCTTCTTGGTCAGACCCGTGGAGAAGCCCGGCCGAGGGACGATATCCTCGGGCACCTGATAGCGCTCGCCATCGCGATCCTGGATTAGGACATGAAGTCGCTTATCTGCAGAATGGCGTCGTTAGCCCACAGTCCCGCCGACGTTGGCAGCAGTAAAAGGCGCAAACCTGATTGATACTCAGCAATAAGCCGCAGGCTGGGGACGTCTGCGCCATAGAGGGAGCAGTTGTCTGAAATCAAGTCCAGATCGGCCTGGACGCCAAAGTCGCTCTCGACGACATTGCTCGCTTGATACCCGCCGCAAATGCCGCTGTCCACCTGCGCCACGCCATCCCAGGTCGCCAGGACCGCGACCAACGCAATCTGCGTTATGACGAATGCCACCAGTGTGCCTTTAAACGCCCAGGACAGTCGTCCGGCGGGCTTCTTGCCAAACTCCATGCTGTACCGTGGGGGGCCGATCATGCAAGAGTCAAAGATCTGATAACGCACAGCCACGCAGAAAACAAGTCTATGAACGCGCCGCCAAGTCTTGAGGAGCAGCTCCAAGGTTGCCAGGAGTCATGGCATTGTCCCTGACTTCCTGGGGATGCGGGGGGCCACTAGTAATTATATGGGACGGGACGGACATTGAGGATGATCGTCCCCAGATCTAAGCGACGCAGGTGTTGCGGGATCCATACCCGTGCCCACTATGACCGCGTGACGAGACTGGGAGTGTCAGCTGGATTACATGGGCACAGGGGGTCCCAGAGTGCCAACAGACCACAGCAACCTCAAACGACCAGACGTGAGCACGAGCCGTCTCATGATGTGAAGACGGAGGGCAGGAAATGCTACGCGGGAGATGCGCCTGGGAGGTAATTAAGGTACGTGTACACGTCGCGGGTGGTGTGCATGGCTGGACGATGCGTCCGAATCGAGTAACGCCGGTTGGAGATACAAGTGTTGCAACAAGGCTCACGTGGCGCAGCATGACTGACCGACTGACTTGGCAGAGTCGCTCGTGCTCTTGACAGGTCACAGACGCGATACTCTGGCCTTGGCCCTTGGGGGCGGTGATGGCTGTCTGCAGCGTCGCGCCCAGCGAGAGTTGAGGTCATTTCGTGTTCATAACGGCTCCATGTCCAGGGTCGCCAGGATTTGAATGGCGGTCTTGTCGCGTGAGCACCCAGTCAAGGAGCACAGGCGGGCAAGCACAAGACAGCCCGCCCGTCTGACTCGTCTGAGCGGTGGCGCAGTTGGTAGTAGTTGAGTAGTCTTTTTTTCGAATAATACTGGACCATCCGAACGGCACTGCCGCCTATGGAGTAATCAATTACTTGTATGTATGGATACAAGAAGATGTTTTACGTACTACCTTATATTGGCGCTGGCCCACGTCCCCCGAGCCGCCCGACAGCCGAAGACTCTCGATGCTGGCTTTCATCCATTCGTTGGGCAGCAGTTAGTTCGACCTGCAAGAATATGACACAATGCTGACTCTGCCGAGACTCGCGACAGCTCATTGACACTAACTCATCAAGAAGTCTGGGGAAATCGTGGGGGTGGACTCCCTCCCTTCAGATGAGTTTATTCTTGTCGTTTGTCGGCTGCCATTGTGCATCCGCATCTGCATCTAACCGACCGCATGCCACCTCTCAGGGTCCTGGACACAAGCCTGGTACTGAACAGCAAGGTCAGTACGTCACTCACTGGATCGCGTCCGCTACGTGGCATGAACGTTCGTGGTCGCACATGCCAATTGAGTAACTCTAAACTGCAGAAGAAGATTTCTTAGTAAGTCAGCATACAGACATGGGATAGTCACATGACAAGGCTTCGCACACGACCAGACGAAGCAATTGTGAGACAAGCCAAACGCAGCCCAAACTCACACTCGGGAGCTCGACTACCACTACCTATCCCGGGGCTCCAACAAGCCCAAGCCTAATAATTGTTCAGTTGGGAAGGGAAGAAAACACTTGGATCGGCCTGTCGGGCTCCACCCCGCAGTCCGGTTCGTCGGCCGGTCGGACACGAGAAACCACCACCACCAGTCCAGTCCACCACGCCTGCGCCAAGCCCGATTGCTTCCCAGTACCTAATGACAATCTCTGCCATCAAAGCGTACATTCGTCTCTCCGCATCGACCCAGACCGCTTCAACGGCGCCATCCTGAGACGACTTCGTGACCGACACAAGCACCCTCCCACAACTCGTCCTCCACTCGACGACACCCGCTTCTCTCGATCCCATCGTCCGTTCCACCATACAATCAACATCCCACGTCCGTCCGACTAATTCACGCCGCTGACCACTTTCGTGAGTCTCGCGTGCCCATGCGAGACTCATAATGGACACTGCCTCCCATGCCAACGCCAACGACGACCGGTCACTCACGCCCATAAACACCGCCACCACCACCACCTCTGACAACGACCCCAACTCCCACAAGTCCGGCTACTCATCGCCGAGCCGGGTACCGAAAAAGTCCTCGACGACATGCACCACGTGCCGAGCCAGAAAGGTCCGCTGTAACGGCGTACGCCCCATTTGCTTCAATTGCCAACGCCTGGGCTTCCCCTGCTCATACGACGACGACGCTGCGGATCCGGCAGCAGCGGCCGCGGCCTGGAGTGCCGCCCTGCCCAAGCGCAGGGTCAAGCAAGCCTGCCTGAGCTGCCACTCGCGCAAGGCTCGCTGCTCCGGACACATGCCCGCCTGCGAGCGGTGCAGGGCCCAGGGCATCGAGTGCGTGTACCGGCCGACTAAGCGGGCCAGGATCACAAACAAGAGCTTCAGCGCGGGCCGCCACAGTCCACAGAGCCACGACGACGAGCGCGACGAAATGCATGATAGCGACCCTGGGTTCGGGGATCCGGCTGGTGGCGGCATGGCAACACCCAACTTTGGCTCAGGGGACGCTCCTCAAAACGGGTCGGCACCGGATGACTCGTTCGACGCCTTGATAGGACGCACTTTTGAGAAGTTCTTTCGACACGTGCACCACATACCCATGTACTCCTTCCTCCATCGAGCATCACTCATGGAGCAGTATCACGCGGGCAACGTGGAACGGCCCTTGTTGCTGGCTCTTATTGGAATCACCTCTTGCCTCACGGACATGGGCCCCGGCATGAGAGCGTACGGTGCGAGGTGCATTGACGAGGCCGAGTCCCTCATCCTGATGGACTATGCCCGGCCGTCCACAATAAAGGTGCAAGCGCTCGTTTTCATGATCAAACATAGAATCTTGTCGAACCGCTTTCAGAGCGCCTTCATGCTGCTGGGTATCGCAGGGCGATGCTGTGCAGCGCTTCGACTAAACTACGACGCCCCTAGTCTCTGCTTCCTCGCCCAGGAATCAAGACGAAGACTTATGTGGTCCATATACTGCATCGACTCGGGGCTGTCCGGCGGCCATCGCGACTTTTCACTGTGGCGGGTGGAGCGCATATTCGTTGGTCTGCCATGCAACGAGCGCAACTTTGAATTCGATCTGCCTCAGGAGACTGAGCAGCTCATCCCGGAGCCGGGGCAACCACAACTACCGCATGGCGAAGATGTCGGGTCTCTGGCCTTGCACATCCGCATCCAGCACATCCGTCACAAGATTGCCGAGTTCACGAAAGACGCCCTAAACAACCCGACAATACGCCCCAGCGATCTACAAACAAAGGTCCTCTCCCTCCACCGCGAACTCGAAGACTTTGCCGCCCACCTCCCCACCTCATTCCAGTTCTCAGAGAGCTCCCTCAGACTACGCGCCTATTCGCCGAGGATATGTGTCTTTGTCATGATCCACGTGTGGTGGCGACAGTGCCACTGCGACCTGTACCGTTTGGGACTGATTGGCCTGAGAGAAGCCCTCCCGCACTCGGCTCTCGAAAAGTTCGACTCGAGTTTCATTGAGCATTGCCAGCGTCAATGTGTCGACCACGCCATGGCCATGGCGAGCATATTCCAATCCATGCAGAAGCTCGGCGCGAAACCAGTCGCCGACCTCGACCTCGCAATCTGTGCGTACCAGTGCGCGCGCATGCTCAAGTACGCCTACCACGCCAACTCGGGTAACCTGAACCTCTCGCCGGAATCGGTCATGGAGCAGTTCAACGTCTGTCTACAGTGCGTGAGGGACTGCTGCACGGGAACTGCGGCCGCTGGTATTCGCGCGGACCTGGAGAAACTTATCAGTCAGGGGCTGGGGCCGAGGATCACGCCGTCACGACCCAGCCCGCCTCCTGACCCGAATCGGAACAGGAACTCGGGCAGATTCCCCGATGATGGGCCAGGCAACCAGCCTGTCCGCCAGACCCCCGTGAACAATGGCAACAGCCACAGGAACGGCGGGTATAACAACAACAGCAACAATAATAACGCCAACAACAGCATCCCGAATGATGTTGTCATGGCTTCTGCTCAAGATGCAGCAGCAGCCAACTCGGCGCCGCAGGAAGCGTTCAACGTCCCACCCGCCCAGATGCTGCCCATGCAGACAAACATGATGGTCTCCCCTCAGAACTGGGGCTCGCCGGTCGGCAACGCTCCCCCGGATGCGCAGCAAGACTCCATGCCCAATGTCCAGCATCAGGAAGGCCCGCCGTCAGAGCTCAACAATGCTTTCGAGGGTGCCATGGACGGCCTTGGACTGGACAATGGCTTGGACTACGCCATGGGCATCGACGTGAACATGTGGAACCCTGGACAGAATAACGAGTGGCAGCCCCCCAGCGGCGACTTGAACATGAGCGGTGCCGGCGTCGGCGTCTAGAGCTCCTCGCCGATGGGTGCAAGGACGGATGTGAGTAACATACAGTTGGATGCCGTTACGAAGAAAAGGTGGAATGTCTATTTGAAAATGATACCCATGCGACCCTGCTAGACATTTCAATGAACAACTACAAAACTGAGAAACCTACCTGAACAGAACCACGTCGCCTTGCCGCCTATAAACCACTTCCACATCACTATGCGACTGCGTCTGTACCTCGCTCTTTGCAAATGCACTACATTACGACATATGCCCGTGCCAAACATCGCAGCAAATGTCATACACCTGTCACCCTACATCTTCACGCGGAAGAGGTAGCGCAGCTTGACCTGGGCAACGTCGTACACAATGAACTCGTTGTAGTAGAGTCCAGCGCCCTTGACGCCCGTCGGCCCTGGCGTCTGGTCAAGGTCGGGCTGCGGAGCGTTAGTAACACATCTACTCAACCTGATTTGCAAACTTACGATTTTGACACCCTTGAGGCTTGGATGAGCAATGCTGCCATCAACCCACTTGCTAGGGCCAGTGTTGCCCATACCCCATGTGCTGTGCATGCCGCCTTTCTTCGCTGTTTCTCCGGCCTGGTAGCTTGCACTCGTGAGCTTCTGCATGGGGTCGCCCAGTTCGGCCTCACAAAGGAGGAGCAGTGCTTCGCCTCCGGTGATAAAGGAGCAGCAGTAGTTGGCAGATTTCGAAGACATGTCGGCAAGATAAATACCCTTGCCAAACATGTAACCACTGACAGGTGCTTCTGGGGGCGCGATGCGAAGACCTTGACTGAGGATACCACCAAAATTGGTCGCGCGGGAACCATGCCACAGAAGACGACGATCGGACTTGATCTTGGAATAGGGGGACTCGTCGAATCGGACTGTCTCTCCTTGCCGCTCAATGCGGAAGATCTGTTGCACCTTGTAGTTGACATGGTGAGTGGCACCGCGGGAGTCGTTGAGGTACCGCGATAGCACGTCGAATTCGGTGCTCCCCTGATCCAGTGGTGTCATCTCCTCCATACCGAGACCCTGGAACTGACGATCCAATGGGTGCACGGTGTGCTGTGTCTTCCTGTCGACCTTCATGATTTCTGCCGCGTCTTTCATGTCCGACAAGCTCTCCAAAAGTTCAATCTCCTTCTTCAGCAAAGTATCCTCGCTGATGATAGGGGGGCGATTGCGGCCAAATGCGTGAGGGATCACGGAGTAGTATGTGTTGGACAGATGCTCCTTGGCCGCCGCGAAAGACATGTTCCACTCAGAGGTCGCTAGATCAGGATCGTCCATGATGGCAGCCAGATTCTTGAGCTGCTGGAAACCACGCGTAATGGTTGCCTTGCTGAGCTTTCCGAGTGGCATCTTGTTCGCGTCGTAGTTGAGAGCGCTCATGTTGGCCTGGAAGAATTGCTGGTTGAAGATGAGTTCCATCAGCTCCTGTACCGGCTTTTCGAGCGTACATTTAGGGGGGGCGACGTCCTCTTCAGCATCCTCCTTCTTGACGCCATTTGTACTAGCTGCACCGTCACCATCCTCATCGTCTGAGTCTGGGTTGTAGCTCCGCTCAACAAAAGCATACTTCCCGGGCTTCGGGTCAGCACCACGGTTGTCCCATGAAAGGCCGGACTTGTCTTTGAACTTTTTGCAGAAGTTCTTGATTGCATCGGCCTCGCTACCACTGCCTAGCATTGCGCTTTGACCTATTTCACCAACGCGACCCCATCGAGTCCAGGTTTTGAAGTCGCCTGCAGCCGCATTGTGAATAATCTAGACCAATGTTAGTGGGGAGTCTCGCGTATCGGCAGTTTGGTCCGCAAACCTGAATCTTGTAAAATTTGTTCGCATTTTTGCCAGAGTTGGATTGGTTGAGCGAGGCGTCCCAGATCAAACCAGTCGCCGGTTCCACGTAGACTACCCAGCTCTTCAACGGGCAGTATGGATCTAGCTCCACGAGCACATTGTCCTTGGTTGCAAACTGTCCCTCTGCTATTCGTTTCGTGTCCTCTGCAGCTTCTGAGACCGATTTATCTCCCTTAGGTCCGTCTGCTTTGGTCTTCTTCTGATCCGGCTCCTCGTCCACTTTGGGTGAGGCAGCCCGTTTCTTTGAGGCTTTTGCCCCGTTGACTGCTGTGCCATTGCTTGCGGCAAGCTTTGACCACAAATAGCCATCATGGTTGAGGGCAGTACCTTGCTTGTTGGTGTCAATCACCCATTGAGGACTGACAATGGGCAATGATGCGTCTTCGGCTGCTTTGAGGTTCTTTCCTTGAGCATTGTATGCATCCTCCGAGCAAACAACGTGCGTGGTTGATTTCGTAGTAGACCGGCTCACCTTGGCGCCCAGTGAAGTGAGTATCTTTTCCAGTCCTGCCTTGGTCTCCCCGAAGGCGTCTAGCTTTCCTTCCAAGTAAATGGTAAACCCATCGAATGGACTGCTCGTTTGGGACGCTTGCGCCGCAGCGCCTCTAGCTGATCTGCGAGTCGCCATGAATCCGCAGTAAGCTGCAGGTGTCAGTCAGTGAGCCGATCACTGAATGTGAATCAAATGCTTACATAGTCCAAGCAAAAGGGAGAGTAATGACAGAGATTCCGTAGGCTAGCGTCTGCTTACTGGGAGTGCTGTGTCAAATCAAAGACCTGTCCCGTTGTACAACAGAGTGCTGAATCCCGATGCGCAAGGGGATGATGGGAAACAGTGGCGGCCAACGAGGTACAAGTTTCGTGGAGGAGAAGACGTGTCCGGTGTTCTTCGAGGAGCGCGATGGTATGGGAGAGTAAGGGAAAATATTTCTAAAGAAGAAATGCTGGTGAGGCAAGCAGCTGCCGTTTTGTTGTTGAACTTCAGCTGCGGAAGCCACGAGCCTTGGCACGGCTCAGCCTGGAATCAGTGGGGAAAGAACGATCGGAGCAACTCCACAGACGCCAGGCACCAGCGCGCGTTGGCAGGGGTTGTGCAGGTCCCTCCGCAACACGTCGATGACACGGATTCACATGACTTTTTCTTTCCAGAGCTTTCTATCTGTACTGGGAGCAGGCAACAGCCTCTCCGATAGTGGCATCAGACGTTTGTTGACTCCAGTCGATTCTTCAAGTGGCTGCATGTGGGCCGCGCACTTCAAACCCCTGTTGTGTACTAACGTAGGACCGCCGATTGCGGCCCTCGAGACCTTGAGACTTGACAGTACTAACGTAAGTCATATAGAAATCGCGTCACCAGTTGACAAGTATCCGTACTTGTATATTATTAAGTGCACTGTACCCGGTACTTAATAGGTGCCCGAATCTATGTCCAGCATCAATAAGTCTATTATCTACTTAGACATTCGTGTCAATACAAAGCTATGACCTTTTTTAACATCTTGATTGAATGTTCCGTATTGAGTATTGACGCAATGAACGAAGTATATGGTATGTGGCCTAGGCAATTGCAACAGGAAAAAGATGGCCGGTGACTATGAGCCGAAATTGATAGCCAAGGGCAATGTAAAGAAACATGAAACGATAACACCTTGAACGCCTTTCTGAAAGCCTGTCATTCGTCATCTTCCTCCTCCTCACTATCCTCATGAGCGTCTTCATCCATACTTTCTGTTATTCATTAGCATTACAACGTGGAATGCAGGAAACTAAGTGTATCATACCATCTGAATCGCTTGAGTTGTTGCCAGAGGCGTAGCGGTGTCCGCCATGGTCTGGGAAATCCGAAGGGCCTATCAGAGGAATGACACTTTTCTCAACAAAGGTCTTCCAATCGGTTCCCTTGTAGTGTTTCGTGGCCTGTCTGTCCGTGAATCGAACTGGCCTACGCCCGGCCGATCTCACTGCGCCGCGCTCCTGCATACAGCCGATCATGATTTCCTCCAAATGCAAGTGTGGAATGGCTACTAGTCGTTTGATGAAAGGCTCCCACGCAGAAGCCTTGGGGTCGCCAGATGACATTGAAGGGGCAGGCGGACGAGGAAGCAACGGCAGGGAAACTTTCCAGAGTTCCAATTTGCAGAGCCGAGGGGCGAATTTAGCGATGAGTGAGAGGAGAGACTCAGGCTCCGCGGCGATGAAACCCAGACTAAGGGCATCGAGCTTCTCCAGGCTGACAGGGCTAGGAAGCCCAGGGGGGAGGCTGTCCAAATTGGCATGGGTGTCCTCGGCCAAGATCGGCAACGACAGCCACTTCAGGAGACTTGAGGCCTCGGGCGAATGTCCATTATGTACATTGATGCGTAGATCTCGGAGGTCCGGCATATGTTGGAGAAACGCCGTGAAGTAGCGGTAGTGATAAATGTTATCTTGCTCAATATTCGGCTTACTGAGGGAAACATGAAACCTTTGAAGTCCCCGAAGGACTGGGAGGATCTCTGGCGAGATGGTGAGATCTAGGGCGAAGCTGTGGTCGTCCATGCCGTCGTTAGACAACTGTTCAATCGACTTGACACTCACCTCAGCCTCCCCCAAGGCGGACAAGACGCTGTGGAACACAGTGGCGGTGAAGTTGTCTGTGTCGGCTCCCCAGCTTGACGAGTTCCTAATGCGGACTACGGCGCCTGCCCTCTCAGAGATAGTGGCGCCATGACTTCTCCATTTTGAGGTATTGACTGAATCCTTCTGTCTCTTATTGACCGAGTTAAAGTCGCGGACAACCACCTTCTCGAGGTTGGGCAGGTTGCGCATTGCTTCCGCCAGAAGCTTCACTTGTTTGCCGGTGCGGAGCAGCATGGCCTGCGCAGCAAAGAGATCGTTGGCCTGAAGGTAGCTATCGAGGCTGCTGGATGACTCATGATCAACACGCTCAATATGCAACGGCAAGATCTGATCCGTGCCAATCTGGAGGCATCGGATCTTGTCTGCGAGTCTGCTTTGTTGGGAGATGCTGATGAGGGCGCGAAGGCTGAATGGACTGATCATAAATTGCTTGCGCGAAAAGTATTCGTCGGTGAAGGAGTTCCAGGTCCTATCTTCAATGGCCTTACAGCTCAGCCGAAGAGAACATAGCTCTGGCGTCGTGAGATATTGGGTTATTGTGAGAAGAATTTCCACTGGTATTGCCTTGATTGGGCATGCCGTCTGGCTCGTGAGGCTGTGAGCCATTGTGTAAATTGGCTTAAGAAATTCAAGATTTTTCAAAGAATGAGACTGGAGTTATTGTAAGGGGCTTGCCACTTTATAGCTCTGCTACCTCAATAACCTCTAGGGGCCCCAGGGGCTAGGCTGCAGCCTGCAGGCAACAGTGCTGTATGGACCCCGAATGAACGTCTTTGCTACTACCTAGGCAATAGCCCTGTTTAAAGTGGTGCCAATATTAAGTAAGAATTACAGTCTGCGAGCCTGATAAAGCCTGGGAACCGCACAGGGCTATCACAAGATTCACACCCATTTGAAGGCACATGTCCCCAACACTAAGCCATATATAGCTAGATTCTGCCCACCAGCGCCAGCGACTTGAGTACGGTATTGAAGCGCTGCCGGCGTGTTCACTTTATGCATATCATGGATACACGCACAGAGTTCAATTGAGCTTTGGCAGAGCGCATGATAATATGTGACGGCCTGACTAGTAAGTTTATTGATGCTGAACATAGATTTAGGACTCATAGAGTCTCTAGTGCAGCGCACTTAGTAACATACTTACCCACTGGTGACGCGATTATTAGTCTATGTGACTTAGTATTGTCAAGGTCTCCGAAAACACAGGTTGGCTGTGGAATGGCCAAGCCAATGGTATAGTGCCAGTGATACGCAGCGCCTCCGAGTCTCAAGATCCAAATAGTGAAAGAAGAACAATCTATAATGCAACGCTTGCAATGTGCCAGCTTTCCAAGCACGCTCATCACTTGAAGCCCACAAACTCATTCTCCCGCAAGAAATTCTTGGCAAGTTCGTCGCCGCCTTGCTCCGCTGCCTCCATCCAGTGAACGGCAACACACATTAATCCCGGATCGTTGCGAGGATCAGCCTCTTCAGTTCCATACTTCTCAAAGGCACTGCCCATCGAACCACCGAGACGGCCCCCTGATCCTTGGGAGCCCGCGATGCCAGCGCCAGGCACTCCAGCCATGGGCCTACCCTTCTCATTGCGTCCGTATTTCTCCATGACTGCGGGCTTGAAGACCTCCCGGGGCTTAGACAACGGCTGCGTGGTACGCTCAACTGCTTCCGGATTGGCGAGATAGAACAAGGCCAATTCTCGTTGTGCCGTCGAATAGCCCTCCTTGGCAGTGATAGCCCACATCTTGCCAGCGTCTTCGAGTGAATATGACGTGGAAGGTGGAGGTGGCGTGCTGGTTGCCGAGTGTGGTTCATCTGAAGACGCTTCAACAGCCTTGCGAGCAACGGCGTGTGCCGCAACAATGTCGTCGGCCATGCTCATCATTGTACGGCACACCTCCCCTTTCAGCTTCAGAGCGGCCATGCCCGTGTTCCAAAATGCGGTGCCTTTCTCTGGCTGGTCAATGATTGACGGAGGCACAAATGCAGCGATCAGCTGCAAATCGCGAAACAGGGAAGCTGGACGGATGGAGGCATCGCGAAACAGCGCGAGCAACTCGTTGACGATAACGTCAGAAACGCCAGGACCCGGGGGTGCCCCTTCTCGTCCGCTTGGAGGTATGCTGGCCTGCGAACCTTGCGAACGTACCCCGAATTCATCCGTCGCACTGGAGCCTGCATCAGACCGATTCCACCGAGACCTCTTGGACTTCTTTGCGGAGAGAGATGCCGAGATCAGGTTCTCCAACTCATTCAACGCATTGAGCTTTGCGTGTGGGTTTGGATGAACGCTGAAAGTGTTCAGCAGGCGTTGATAGGCCTTCTTGAAAGGGAATTTGTAACTGTCCCGATCAACCTTGTCGTTCGATCGAGCGTGCTCTTTGTAATGCGTCGCAGGAGGTACCGCCACTTCGGTGATGTCTGAACCTCGCTCTGATATCTGATCGCCTACCCCTCGCAGGTTGCCAAAACTCTTCTTCTTCTCCAGTGCCCTCGGTCGAGCTGCGCTTCGAGGCTGCGCAGCCTCCTTCTCTCTTTCTCTCTCCTTCTCCTTGTCTCTTTCCTTTTCCTTGTCCGATTTTTGGCGTGCTCGCCTGTCCAGTGCCTCTTTCCGATCGAGACAGGATTGCCCAAACTTGGCGAACCAAGCGTCCGTCTCGGATCCCCTGGAGATGACGAGACTCCCAAGATCGGATAGGAGCAGACTGGTTAACGTCTGTCGAAGCTCTGTGAGGAAACGGGTTTTCTCGTCGTCCATGCGCTGCTGATGAAGTGTTTCGTTTGAAGACGCAGAGGTGCCTGGTCTTCCCATTGACATGCTCGAACTAGATGGGACATTGCCGTACGGGTTGGACCCAGAGAAAGTGGTTGAAAGGTTGGTCAAGCTCGTCGTTGGTGAATATGCCCTCGAGTTTCCCGAGCCAGGCGACATGGCAGGCTGGAACGGAGTCCAGAATGTGCTTGCTGTGTCGATTGTGTTGTGAGGTGAATGCTTATCGAAATAGTCGTGCCCGTCAAGAATCTCCGAGAGTGGTGCACTCGATCTTGGCATGCCGAACCGTGCATCCAGCGAATGTTGGCTTCCGCCATGGGATGACTGTGCCCTGGGATCACGGTGCAGTGAGCCTGGCCGGCTTGAGGAACTGAATCGCTGAGGACCGTCGCTCATGATGCTTGAGGAATCGTCTCCAGCCCATGCGTGGTGATCGCGCTCGCGAGCCTTCATCCGTTCGAATGCGGCCTTGTCTCTCCTGTACAGCTCGCTCGACCACAACACCGGCGCGTCCCGAAGTGTTTCGCCAACCAACTTCTTCACGCATTTGTCAACCTCGCAACAAAAGCGGTGAATACGTTCTTCGCCTCTGCAAAAGTTCTCGATGCCGAACTGTCGCAGCCATTTGAGAACCAGATCTGACTGGTCGTCGCTCAACTTGTTGGGGCCGCCTTGGTCATCGGAGGCAGCCAAGAGGTCCATGATCTGAGATTCTGTCTGGATGAGGTACGAATTAGCTGTACCTCGAGGCGCGTTTGTTTTGGTCCGCTGGATCGAGCTCCAGCGCCGAGGTTGCGCCATGGTCCTAAGCGCTTGGCAGATGTCCCTGCTATGAGTGTACTCTCGGCTGTTCCGCACATCCGCTACGAACCACATCTTGTCGCGAATCGCCCGCACACGTCGCATCATCCGATCAATGTGTCCCTCGTGCCTTTCCTGACTCTGCTTGAGCCAGATCAACCATGCGTCATATTCTTCGATGGCAGCGGCCGATCGGCGAATCGAGTCTCTTGGACCGCGCGAGAAGATGTTAATCAGAGCAGTGAATCCGTTCTGTCTGAGCGAAGAGCTCGCGTCCAGACGTTCGAGCTGCTTCAGAGTTTTCCAGTACATGTGTGACGCCACGAAATCAGCTTGAGACTTGGATTGAGCTGACGCTGACTTGAGCATGGTGATGAGGACAGCCTCGGGGGGTTCCATCCTTTGTGGGCCACGCGCTGGATTCGTCGAGACACCTTCAGGTGAGGATTCGACGTCTGCATTAACTTGGTTCCTGTAAGGATTACGGCTGGCCATGGTCCTTTCCGGGGTGATGATCCTATTTTTGGACTTGTATTTCTTAAGGCCTGACGCTCGGTTGCTCAAGGGTCCAGTTTCGGGCTCAAGGTTCCTGGGTATCTCATAGTCCTGTACCAGTTTCAGTATGGAATCCCGCAGTTGATGGTAGTCCTTGTCCATGTGAGGGCCATCCGCTACGTCGTCATCGTCGTCAGTATCGGTCGTTGAAGAAACTTCATCTTGGTCGTGCTCATCATCGGGATCATATGTCATGTGAGTCGAGAGACTTTTGCCGTCTGAAGACACGAAAAGCACCATCCATCTCTCGGCGCAAGGGTGGCAGGTTCCGCGAGTTGCTTCTGCACCCAGGGCCGTCTTCAACTCATGCAAACCGAGACGAAGGCGGTACCCGTCCTCCTCATATTTCCCTTGGCGTCGCAGTGTTTCGGTATCCATGACAGGGGGCGAGTACCTCTGGGCCGCCATGGTGACCGTTGGATCGGCAAAGAAACCTTCTCCCGAAGCGGTAACATCAGACCCAGCACTGGTGCTAATGATGGACGCAGTCTCGGTGTTATGTCTGCTATGCGCCATTGAGATGGGTTGCGAAATGGCAGACATACCAGAAACCGACGCCGGGCCAGACCGAAAGCTGCTTGCTCCTGACACAGGCTTCCTTTCGGGGAAGAGGGCGTTCACCAGGGTTTCCATGTCGGCGGGGCTGATGATCAAGTAGGGATGGACCTCTGCGGTTTCTCGCAGTGATGTGATCGAACGAGCTGGCAAGAGTTTGGTCGTGGGAGCCTTGGACCGCGCACCTCGGAACCTGGACATGATGCTGTCGACATGGGCCTTGATCCGTACGGGAATATCGACCGGCGCGCAAGTAGCAGAGGGCTTGCCCGTCCATAGGATGGAAACATACTCGTGTGCTTTCATAGCAACCTTTTTGAGAATCTTTTCCCTAGCATATGGTGTGATGTGGTGCTCTGAGAGCATGCCGTAGGCCTCGGGATAACTTATGACACCGAGCAGAAAGACGAAAAACAGACATCTCCAGACCAGCCATCGAGAAGAATTCTCAACGTACTTGTTTTCGAGCTTGCTCAAGATGGCATTGCCAAGCTCTAGCAGTCCTTCAGGAATTCCTGTGGCATCTTCGTCATCAACAAGTTCAAACAAATCGTGGACTGCTGCGTCGTAAAAGTCGTTGGCGGCGACCTGATCAGACTGATCCCAGTCAGCGAGGTTAAAGCGTGTACCGTGCTGATCCTCTGCCCGTTCGAGAAGAAACGCGCCATCTTTGAGTATCTTCATCAGGTAAAACTCCATGTTGGATTTACCAGACCAGTCCCGCATGGTGGTCCAGATATTCAGCACTGACACCAGAAACTGCTCCCCGGTTGATTTCGGTTCCGAGATAAGCCTTGCCAAGGCGGTTGCCCAGATATCCGTGCGCCTCTGATCCTCAAGACTGTCTGGACCAGCCGAGTTGGCAAAGCAAGTGTGAATCAGAATGGACAACGGATCGTGTCGCTGGAAGGCAAGTAGACGCTCGACATCGACATTGCTACTGGGCCTCGCGGCTGTCGCTGCATGCGATCGGCCTCCAGAGCGGCCATGGTAAGGCAAGACAGATTCGACGGGTTCTAATCCTTTGTGGTAGCTCAGCAGAGACTGCAGTTCGGAGCTTGACAGTGCCGTCAATCGGGTGGCCAGATATTCCGGGTTTGTTCGAATGTTATTCAAAAAATCCAAGAATACGTTCCTGGTATCGGCCGAAACCTCCTGGAGGAATGGCACGGCAGAGCGCGACAAGCCGGCGTTACCAGATGCTGAGTTAGCTGATGTTTCCAGGCTCTCTGAAGATCCAAGAGCGGCAGATGAAAGGGATTCCAAGTCTGGCTCGACCAGGGCATATCGCCTGAGCTCGTCACAGCTCCGTCGCACATCGTGGATCGCGTTGTACAAGGTCGTGAAATTGTCCTTTTCGTCCTTGCGGAAAGTGTCGAACAGATTCCGATGGGCAACCTCACCGCACCTTGTTAGTCTAGCACTCAAAGCCGTGGATATAAGACTCCGCTGGAGTCGTGTCCGGGTGTTCGCGCGCTTGCGCTCCTGATACTTGGAAAGCCGGACGATGTGAGCGAGCTCCTCGAGCGTGGTGTTTTCAGAGTCACGCGTCAAGTGAGGATTTGTATATTGTGAAAGATCCTGTAAAAGAGATTTCGCATAATGGGTGGACGTTTTCTTCTCTTGGGTCGATTGGGTCGGCGTCACTGGGCGACCAATGCGATCATTCGAGTTGTGTCGCGAGTGTGCTGCTTTCGGTGGCGCTACTTGGGCCACAACAGGCTTTCTTGAGGTGCTCATGGCGGATGACTGTCGACTTTGTCGAGAGCCATCTTGTCGGTTCCGTAGAGGTAGAGCTTGTGCTGGATCTTCGGGTGGTGTCAACGTACGTGAGCGCGGGCGCCTTGGGCGAGATGGGCTGTGGGACGACGCTGGTGTGGGGGACCGAGCCCTCGTGCTAGTCTGGTCGTGGGTTTGGTCGTGGGAAGGTAACACGGCTGTAGAGGTGGTGAGCTGTCAGCAACGAGAAGCACCGAAGTTGTGCAACATGTAGCAGGGCGTACATTCAGACGATGGGTTTATTCGAACCGGCGAAGAAAGAGATCGTTTCATCGGGGTCATCATGTGCCCATGAACACCAAGGAAACAGTCAGGATGTCCGGCGATGGCGAGACAGCTGGCTTGTATGTTATGTGTCGATGTTTGTTTTTGAAACGGGCACGCGGTACACTGTCGAAGGCACGACTACCGGACGTGAATCGTGCGAGCTTGACAGCCGTCGCGTTGGAGGGGGCGAGATCGTGGGGTTTGGGTATCAACAGTCGCAACCAAAATGAAGCGCTAGATCGGACTCGTTACGTCGTTACGTCGTTACGTCGTTACGGAAATGGAAATAACAGTAGGAAAGACAAGGATACCATGGAACAAGAAGAGAGCAGACAACTGTTGAGCTCGAGGCATCGCAGATATTAGGGACGTGGACGTGGGGTAGGGGTCATGAGAAAGGCGATGGACGCCGGACGGGACAAGATTAGCGGCAAGCTGGTTCGAAGCTGCAGGCGGGAAGCAAAGGGGAAAGGCGCCTCTCCCCGGGTAGGTCCTCATGCGCTAAGCCTAACCGGTCGTGTGCTGGCTGGTCGTTCTTCCCTCCAGTCCTTGTCCATGCTTCGTCTGCGTGATGCGTTGGCAACTTGCCTCCAACAATTCCCACCTGCACCACCACTGGCATCAGACTGCGGCCTCAGCCGAGCTGGACATTGGCACTGTTGCTGACCTGTATCCAATGCCATTATTCTGATTTTCACCACCATGTCGTTCAGGACCGCCATGTGCGCTGGCAAACGCCCAATTCAGCGCATACGTACGTAACTGTGTCTTGCAGATGCTGCGTCTATATCCGTACAAGTAGGGCTACGTACCCAGCACAGCTCGTGGCACTGCGGTATTAGTCTAAAACTATCAGAGGAAAGTCTGTGACTGGTTCCACGTATCCAACTGCCAGCGACTGGATCGCTGAGGTACAGCATCATGCTGCCTGTTCCCGGTATTAGACAGCGCATGCGACTAGGGAGGGTGGCTGGCCAGCCTTGCAGTGCTTCCTGCAGTGGGTGAATTGTCCAGGGCGCTCAACAAAACGATTGGGAGCCGCCGTGCAATCGTGAATAACGCGCCGGGTGGCAGACGCACTGAGTTGGCAATGCAGCTCTTCGAGGCCTTGCCCATCCATGGCCCCATGCGCATTGCGACCCCCTCACCGCCCACCGACCAATACATACGTATCATCTACACGGTACATGTATGCATGCCAACTCAGCAGCCACCAACATCCAATAGATGCTAGATACATTTAGAGGACCCCTTACTGTCTTCGTGGCAATCGGGTACGCTGGATGTCGTTGGCCACGGTCGATACCTGTTCAGCGTTCACCGCTCGCCTGGTCCGGGCCCAGTCGGTCTTCACCGAACAAATCTGGCATAGTGCCGTTGGCTGTACAGAGTAGTTCGTGTTCAGGTGCCCTGCATACTCGAATCTACAATCTACGTATGCCTTGCTTGGTGGTTGCTTTTGATTACTCGCAGCTAATTGGACGCAATGAGACCTCAACAGTGGCTGTCGAGTGAAGGCACATACCCTACAGTATCCAAATGGAACAATCGCTGAGAATTGAAGCAAAAGTTTCTTGAAGCTAGAATCATGCATGTATGAAATCGTTATCTTAGTGTAACAGTAGCTGAATAAATCAAGATCACAACGCCTTGCCAGGGAGCGGACGATTTGTCCTAGTTCCAACCCTCTTATCAAACATCAACCGGACGCCAGTCATGGAAGCCACCTCTCTTTTGTTCTCAGCGTGCGCTGCCAAATCGCACATCAAAATCCTTGAGCACGCTCATGATGCTAGCAGCCTCAACCTCCATGGGAATCATCCTCTTCGGTCCCAGGGAATCACCAGCTGGAGTCGCCCTCAGCTTCGGTAGCCATGACCCAATATCGTCCGACGCCCTGTCAAAGTTTCGATGACTCGACAAGGTCTGATATGCCTCGGCACATGTCAAACCTAGGCTCGGCAGGGAGGGCAAGGTGATTTTCTCAGGTTCAGGAGCCTTCGACTTGCAGCAGCCACCGCCAGCGCCCTTACCGCCGCAGCAACCCCCACCGCCACCACCTTCTTTGCCAAGCTTGGAGGCCATGAGTCGGCAGAAGAGACCAGACTTGGGATCAGACTGGCACTGCGCGCATGTGCCAGGGCCATTGGGCCCACAGCCACGCGAGCTGTTGCGCGCAGGCGCTGCACGAGACGCGGGTGCTCTGCGGGGCAGCTTGACGGCTCCGTCAGAGGTGATCTCCATGGCCATGCCCATGTTCGAATCGGCTTCAGACGGTGGAGGAGTCTGGGTTTGGGATATAATGGGGGGAAGCACGTCGACAGTTGGCGTCATGACCGGCGTCGCCATGGCAGCGTCAGCACAAACGCAGTATGTACCATCCTTGCAGAAACCACAATCATCTTTGAAGGAAGAGTCTCCGGACGGGGGCTGCTGCATCTCTTGATGCTCTGGAAGAACACCAGCTCGCTGACGCTTGCCGTTCGAAATGCTCCCCGACGGCGACACCGGTCGCTTCAGCTCTCCCTGGGAGAACGCATTGCTAACTGTTGCCAAAGCTTCCGTGACGCAGGCACACGAGCCTGGTGCGCAATTGCCGCAAGTCAGAGCAGGGTTCGAGACATCATCGGTCTCGAGAGTCGGCACAATGTGCGGTAGGCTATCATGGCGAACTGTGTGTTGTTGAGAGGAAAAGCTACGCCTGGTGAGATGCGACGAGTGCGTAGTCGAGTACATGTCGTTCTGCTGTGGTCGTTGTCGTAAGCCTTCAGCTTCGGTTTCTGCGCGGATGCGCTCTTTACGCTCCTTCTCCAGCATGGTTTCCAGCAGCACGCATCGCGAGCTGTGAGACTGCACTTCCATCTCCAGTTCTCTGATCCTTGCTTTGGCCTCGTCATTCTCCTTGTCATGTTCTTCCTTTTGTTGCTGCAGTAATTCCTCGAGCTCGCCGACACGGGCGGCACGACGCTCGCGAAACGCTCGCTGGGCGGCGCGATTTTGTGCCTTGCGCTTGGTTGGGGGTGTATCTGTTGCTGGCTTGCGACCGGGCTTTGGCCGAGGAGGTATGACCCATTCGCGGGATGTCATCGACACCCGAGGGGCCGTGGCATCCACGTTGGGATGGGGGCTGATGACCTGCGACATGGTCAACGCATCGATGGGCGGTAGCGTCAGGCTGTGCGGTAATGGTAGAGGTCCCGCTAAAGGATGAGTGTGGGAGCGAGCCGTTGGCAGAGGTTGGTGATGCCGATGCCACTCGTGTGAGTCTCGTCCTGAATGGTGGTGCTGGTAGTGGTGATGTTGTGGTGACCGGTACTGATGCGGGGCGCTGTCGCTGAGCTCGGGCGAAGAAGCTGCAGAGGACGAGAAAGAAGACGACCGAGACGGGGCAGAGGGACGGGCGGTTCGATCGAGATAAATGGCTACGCGGTCGTGGAGGGGAGGTGTCGAGGAGGAGAAGGCTGTTGGGCCAGAACTCGGAGCCACCATTGTGGGGGTTTCGACGCCGTGATTCGACGTTTGCGCGGCCGCGGTCGGAGTGCGTCGTGGATCCTCCGGCTAGCCGGTACTGTGCGGTACCTTGGGAACAGCAATAGCGAAACGACGCGATCTAGCATATGAACACGGGGCGAAAGCGATCGATGAAAAAGTCAAATAGGTTGACGAGTATGTCGGAATGAAGTTCATCACGGATTACAAGCCTGGACTGGCGTTGAGTGGCCCTATCGCTATGCTGTTTTTGAGCAGATTTGAGCTGGATACTGTCCAATACCTGCGCCCCGCGACCGTTAACGTTCTCATCCCGCTGTGCCCCTCAAGAACCCTGGAAGATCTTAGGAGAGATATTGTGAGAATGCTTCGCTGAAAGAATTGTCACAGTGCTATTTCAGCACCGGGGGCAGTGCGTCTTTTTCTGAGCGTGGTGGGAAGTCCGAACTGAGCCGAGATCACCTGTTTCCTCCCAGCCGATTGAATGGGTGATGCGCCATGTGGGTCTGATCAGATTGATAAGATGTGATTGATAAAAATTCTGCATCTCGGCCACCCAACCCTAACTCCAGCCAAGCGCAAGCGGTGTATCCTCCTCCACACCACATCCTTATCAATCAGCTGTCTCATACTACTGTAGCTGTTTCCCAGGTGAGCCATGGGTAGTATCAAGTGAAACTCGCGGAATACAAGACAATCACACTACTGAGTGATGCGCGAGCAAAAGAAATTTAGGTACCTTACGTACGGATACTACGTACATTGTGAGAAAATACCGTGTCTGCTCAGCCGCTACCCATGATCTTATTACGTGCTTTACTGCAAACTACCCCGCGCAGCAAGCTTCCGAGACAAACTAGAGACGCTCGTCGACGCTGATGGCGCCACGCCATGCCAGTTACGCTGTGTCCACCGGGCCTTAGACTTTGTATCGGACGACTCAGGTACCAACAGAGTCAAGCAAGAACCGCCGATATCGCAGCCGCACAAAATGATCTGATCAAAGGCGTTGGCGAACCGACTGATTGGTTAGAAGATCATCTTGAACCGCGGCTTCAAATGACATGTTTCATGCTTGTTGAATGCCCTCGTCCTTAGGCACGTTGCCAGAAACCTCATATGCTAGTAGCGGGGTAGCACTGTAAAGGAGCGTATCCCGGCAGGGGTCCGCAACTCACTGCCAATGCAAGGGACCAGCAACCACAGCTCGAATCCTCTTCGTCAGAATCCTCGCACTATCGTATCTTGACGATGGCGAACCTGGCCGCGCCGATACCCTCACGGAATGCTTCCTTCAAGCTAGCCCCCTCGAACAACACATCTACCGCCCCCTCCACAGCGTCCTCGTCCGAGGACGACGACAATGACATCCCGCTACCGTTCCCCGAAGCGCTCCCGCGATCCGACTTCCTGCGACCAGATTTCGAGCCTGCGGCATATCTGTCCGCGCTACCGCATCGTCATCAAACGCTAGAAGATCTTCGTGGAGACCTGCGTGAGCGAAGCACATCCATCAGCGCAGAGCTCCTGGAGCTCGTCAATTCCAACTACACCGCGTTCCTATCACTGGGCACCGAGCTTAAAGGCGGCGATGACAAGGTGGAAGATGTCAAGATGGCGCTGATGGGATTCCGAAGAGCTGTCGAGGATGTGCGGGGCAAGGTCACGGTCAAACGCGAAGAGACAGCCAAGCTGAGCAACGAACTTGGTGACGTGAGGAGCGCGGTGGAGCAGGGGCGGAAGATGCTGGAACTGTCTGACCGGCTGTCATCGCTGGAAGAGAGGCTGGCGTTGACAAGTCTCCCGGCAGGCGAGAGCGCGTCTGGGTGGGCCGACGACGACGACACCAGCGAAGACGACGACGTCGAAGCAGAGGATGGCTTGGTGGGAAGTTCGCCGACGAAGCTATCCATCTCAGCGCGAGAATGCCAACGAATCTCAACCCTCATGGATAGCATGGATCGAGAGCACCCGTTCATCATGAAACAAGAGGAGCGGCTGGAAAGGTGTCGCAACACGCTGCTGCTCGATTTAGGAACTGCATTGAAAGAGGCAAAGGCCGCAGGGGTCAAGGGCCATGGGCGGTTGATGCAATATCTGGCAATATACCGAACGATTGACGCCTCAGACGAAGCCGTCAAGGTGTTACAAAAGAAGTAAAGGGCGAAACCCCCAGACATAAACAATCAATGATACCCAACAGAGGACAACCACCTCTTCTAATGCTTGATGCTATTGTGACAGAAATGGTACATTATACAAACTGAGCCTCCCCAAGTTCATATCTTAACCTTACATGGGCCCGGACAGCTGCTGCGGCGTGATCTCCTCCGTCAAGTTCCTGAACTTGCCGTTCAAGCTGATGCCCGGCCCGTTGGTCGTGCTCAGAATGACCTCGTGCACCTCCTTGGGGTTCTCCTCGGAGATCTCCGCGCACTGCGCCCTCAGCTTCTTCATGACCGCCTCAATGTTCGCCTTGAGCTGCTCGGGCGAGTGTGCCAGCTGGCCAATCGCCATCCGGACGGCCCCCTCGCGCTCCCTGTAGTCCGAGGAGCCGGCGCTGTCACGGATGGCCTTGGCGACGTCCTTGACGACGGTCTTCATCCGGGCGCTGGGCATCAGCCCCTTGGGCCCCAGGATCTTGCCCAGCTGCGCCTTCTGCAGCTTCTTCTCGCTCAGCTCGTGGCAGATGAGGCGGTCGAACGTAATGTTGCCGTCGCGGATCGCCTGAAAGAGGGTCTCCTCGCCGACGAGCTTGGCGCCGGCCGCGACGGCGGCGTTGGCAATGTCGCTGCCCTCGGGGCAGACGACGGCAATCTGCCAGTCACTCTGCACCGGGTTCGGGAGGCGGATCGAGGATTTGATGACGGGACCGTTGCGGGCCGTCTTGAGGTGGACGTGCATCTCGTATTTGACGGCGCCAGGAGGCTTGCCGACCTCATAGGCGCGGAGGATCCTGTCATGCCCGTTAGTCCTCCTGTTCCCCATGGCCTTGGTCTCCCACATACCTCAATGCCTCGCATAGTGTGAACTGGGGAAAGTCCGCCTTGTCGAGTTTGTGCCTCTTGAAATCCTTTGACAGCGGTTTCGCCTTTTTCACCTGCTTCTTGCGCCCGATTTTGACAACAGACGCGTGACGGGTCTGCACGAGTGACGGTGCCAGAAACCGGGGGATAGTCGAGGATATCGATGGTCGAACAGTCGGCGCAAGAGACAGCTTGGCCACGGAGGCCATGCACCGGTCGATCGGAGCCATGGTGGGATGGCAGGGCGAGGTTGTGTTGCGGCAGACGTATCGCTGTCGCTTCCAAGTTCGAGACGGGGCGCAAATTGCGAGCGTGCCTGGGATTCGAGGCGCGCAGGGGAAAATCTCTTATCGATAAGAGGTACGACGACCATCTTCACCTCAATGAACGAAGACAAGTGAGTGGTGTATAGAACGCGCTCATATTGTATTCATATCTAATTAACATCTACAAAGTGCGACTGTCCGCTGTCAGCAACTCGATCATGGGACCAGTCACCTCCTTCTCCAGCCCCAGGCTCGTCAGCTCAGCGACCTTGACAGCAGCCGAGTGAGAACCGCTGCAGACATCAAAGATCCTGTCCTTGGCAGCAAAGTCGATCTGATACCCCATGACGAGCTCCTCGATTCGCTTGGAGTGATCCACGATGCCCATCTGCGGGTTCGGGCCAATCGTCACCGACACCGTCGCGTCGCCCCCGGCCGAGTTGGGCACCTGGACAATCAGCGACGGCACGCTCGACGTGTCGACGCTGAACTCGGCACCCTCCACCTTGGCACCGCCCCTCTCCACGGCGATGGACTCGGGGGCCACTCTCACGCCTAGGAAGCGAAAGGTCCAGCTCTTGTCGGAGCTCGTGACGTCGACGCGGCCAGCGTCTTGCTTGTACTCAACGAGAGTGCGGCGAGACCTCTGTGGCGGCTCCAGCTTCACATCCAAGTTGTCGTCGGCCGGGTCCTCGTAGAGGTGGAAGAAGCCATCTTTGCCGACTACGACGATGACCTCCAGCACGGACGGATTGCGGCAGCCATTCTCGGGCGACTGCTCCGCATCCAGAGCGAGGACGGATCCCTCAGCAGCGAGCACGGGGATGCTGTCCAGGGGACGATACATCCTGATCTGTCTATCGCCGTCGTACACCAGCCCCTTGAAAATGTCTACATAGCGTCCGGGAGGCACCCAAACGTCAACGCCAGCCTGCTTCGTCGTCTTGTTTCGAGGATGCACGATTGGCGCAACGAGCAGCTCTGAGCCAAAGAAGTACTCATTCGGCTTTTGATAGGCTTCCTCGCGAGACGGGTACCCCCAATACAGAGGCTGGACCAGAGGCTCGTCGTTGGCCGCCGCGTTCTTGTTCATGCTGTGGAGATACGGCACCAATCGATGACGGAAGCGCATGACTTCGCACATGGTCATTTCGTGCTCCGCTTGGTAGTTCCATGGCTCCTTGGAAGCCCAGCGACTCTGTGTGGAGTGCAGCCTCATGAGAGGCGAGAACACACCCAGCTGCACCCATCGCGTCTCGAGCTCGTCATCGCGGTAGCCACCCATGTGGCCGCCAATGTCGTGGCTCCACCAGCCATAGCCAATGTTGGATGCCGTGGCCGTGAACTCGGGCTGGAACTGGAGTGACTCCCATGTGACGATGGAGTCCCCCGAGAAGCCTACCGGGTACCGATGGCTGCCGGGTCCGCCGTAGCGTGAGAAGATGATGGGGCGGGTATCCGGACGGGCGTACTTGTTGTCCAGGAAGTGGAAGTGATTAAGCAGCCACAAGGGGTCGAGGCCTGGGATGCGCGAGTAAGGGCCCTGTTGCCAGTCGATCCACCAAAAATCGCAGCCTTGCTCCTCGACCCGTCTGTGCAGCACATTCAGATAAGCGTCCATGAACTTCTCGGACGCGGGGTCGAAGAGAATAGGCGCCTTGTCAGACGTGTCGTGGCCCACGGCTGCCGCGAACTCCTCGTACAAGTCTTCGTGGGAGTGGACGCCAGCATGAGGATGGTCGTTGAGGGTGATCCTTAGCCGTCTCCTGTGCAGAGCCTCGCAAAAGCCCTCGGGGTCTGGAAACAGGTCCTTGTTCCAGGAGTAGCCTGTCCATCCGGCGTGAGGCACATGGTCTCCAGCGACCTGGTGCCAGTCCATGTCGATGACTGCGACGGACAAGGGAACGTTATGTATGCCAAAGTCGTCCATCAGCGCGAGATACTCTTGTGCCGTGTACGCATAGTATCGACTCCACCAGTTGCCCAGGGCCCATCGCGGCAACAGTGGCTGGTGGCCGGAGATGGCATAGAATGACTTCATGGCGCCTCTGTAATCGTGGTCGTAGATAAAGAGGTAGCCGTCCACGCGGTCGCCTTCTTTGCGGGGGCCGGCAAAGCCGTTCTTCTCAAACAGCATCGACTCACTGTCGTCAATGGCGCAGTGGCCGTCCCTCGAGAGGATGCCCTTGCCCATGTCGCAGCGTCCATTGACGCCATCGAGCGTCCTCGCGGTGCCGCCCAGGTTCTTGTCTGTCTCTTCGCCAAAGCGCCAGTCCGCGCCCCAGAGCGTCGTCTTGCCATTGAAGCTGACGGTCAAGCCGTGAGTGCTGAAGCGTTTCTTGTCATAGCTCAGGTGATATTTACTTGTGATGATCTCGAGCCGGTCATCCTTGTCGACGACTCTATGCTCTGGCGTGGGTGTGAACCGTCGATTGATGGCAAATGTCGAGGGTCGATCCTCAAAGACACCATCATGGGCCCATTCATACCGAAGCACAGACTCGTTGATGAGTGTGAAACGATACGTCTCGCCCTTGACGATAGCTGCGTCATCAGCGACGGGATCTGTCGGGAAATTATACTTTTCCATCATAACGACGATCCGGGTCTATTATTGTGTGGTGTATCGCACTCAGTCTGCCAACTGGCTGGGCTTCCCAATTTATATGCAGGCCAACATGGTGGCGTCACCTTCAGCAGGACGTCCTTGGAGACACGATTACTTATGTACGTACATTCCGCGCCCATTTCCCTGCTACGGCCAGACCTGGCTGGCGTTTGTGCAGGTTTCACGGGACACTAATCAATTAGCTCCTTACGTCGGTCCGGCACGAGTGAGGGGGCTTCGCCGGCCACCCGCGTCCTCTCCACAGTTCACAGTCCATCCAAGCAGTAACACGGACTCCAGTCTCGAGTTACTCCAGCCCGGCCACCTGGAAGTTGTAGAAGCAGTGCTCGCTTCCATCAGTCACCTTCTTCGCGCCCTTGGCGACCTTGACGACCTTGTTGCCCCTGACGACCTCGATCTTCTGCGTGCCCTGGCGGATCCCAGGAGCAGCGGCATAGTTGAGACCAGGAGACAGCTTGGTCTCCGAGATGACCTTGCCACCGCTCGAGACCCTGACCTTGAGGTCGGTCACGCCCTGGTCCACGACGAGAGCCCAGTTGACTGCGTCGACAGCCGACTTCCAGTTGCTAGGCTTTTTCCCATTGCAGCTGCCCGAGCTGAGGAACGTGCGGTACCACATGGCGCCAATCACCTCGTCGTCGCTCTGCGGGCGCATGCCGTCGGGTCCATGGCCGTGCTTGTAGGCGTTTCCGAAGGACGCGATGAGTGGCTGCCAACCAAAGTGTGGCCAGTCCTCATTGTTGCCGTACTTCTTAATGTCCTCGTCGACCTGGCTTTCAGACCAGATGTTGCCAATGTAGTGGCTCTCGCCAGCATCGTTCTCGCCATCGTTAGCTCAAGCACAGGAGATCAGGGGTCCACCAAGGCAAAACTTACCCAGGTGATGAACTCGACAAAGTCGGGGCTCAGAGTCAGCAGCTGAGCCATGCGCTGAGGCAGGTTGACCTCGCCGATGCGGTAGTTTTGTGAGCCGCAGCAAGCCTTGAACTGGAGAGGCGACAGGGCTGTTCAGGTTGTCAGTACTGGTTCCCGCGCCAGACATGTGGATACGTACGAGCCATGTACGTCTTTCCTCGTCTGTGCGCAGCGTTCAGGACCTCAGTATCGAAGCCACTGGACACGTTCTCCGGCTGGTTGCCACCCCATGGCCAGGCTGTCTCCCAGCCAAAGACGCCATCGACAGTGTTACCCCAGTCGCCTTGGAACCATGATCCGGGGTTGTTGTATCCAGGCGCATTGTCTGCGTTGGGCAGCAGGTACATCTGGTCACCAAGACTCTCCCACTTCCATTTCCTGAAGCTCGCTGCGTCGTGATCGCCGATGCTGAAGGAGCTCACCACCGGGTAATTGTCGTCGCCGGCGCGGAGGTAGGATGGGCGCCCGACATAGTCCTGCAGCAGTTTGCTGTAGGCGTCCATGTTGGACTCCTGGTAAAAGTCCACGCTGAAGAAGAGCTTGAAGTCCGTCTGGTCGGCATAGTCGAAGAGCTGCTTGATGGCGCCCGTGGCCCAGCCCGCGTTGGGAGCGCCAATGTTCAGCGCGAAGGCGTCGAAACCCAGCGCAGAGGCGTCGTCAATGTCGCGAGCGGCGTGGTCAGTGCCTTCAATAATGCCACCAACCTGCCGTCTGTTAACCGTCACATTCGATTAGCCTATGCGGCAAGGCTCTCTCACCATGTAGTGGGCGTAGAAACCGCGGGCATTGGCCGACGAAACGTAGAGTGCGCTGGCCAGCAGCGCCGAGACGGAACGGAGTGAAAGCATCTTTGCTTTGAGCAAGACGGCTGAATGAATGAATGAATGAGTGGATGAATGGAAAAGGAACCTGTGGTGCTGCACGACTTCCAACACTCAGCGTGCCGTGGAAGCTGTTGGCTTATATGCGCTTGGAACATCACTCCTCCGTAGGGAAGCGGCGAGCGAAACGCTCCGCATTCTGCTGGTCCTGACAAGCACGATCCAATCTCTTGGTACGCGCTATGGTCACAGAGCATAGATCAGACCCAGGATAAGGCCATCTGCTTGAAGATGTCATTTCTCATATGCCGCATCGTCTAGACTCTTAATTCTCCGGGCCGATTCGAATCTTCCCAGACAGGATGCGACAGGGGCTTCTCTTGAAACACACGATCCTCTTTGAGCCCGCTCGGGGCCGCTTTGCGTCTTGATACCCGTGCACTAGGCGCTATTAGGAAAGTCACAATCCTAAATTGGTGGAAGCGTGAGGCTCTGTTTGACTTGGCGGCATTTGGTGGGCGAAACGTCAAACAAATGGATTCGTGGGGCGCCATGTCGACTAGTACCAGGTTAGTAGCTTGAGCTTCGCTTAGAAGTTGAAAGGGGCTCGGCCTTCTAAGCGAGTTCCGGTCGAACCCCCAATGTCGCTGGATTGCCGCAGCCTCATGATCGTGTGAGCTGCAATAGCTTCACCATGAATCACAAGAGTGCCGTTATCAAACATGGATCATGGAACATGTGTGCTGACAGGTCGCGAATATGGTTCCAGTCGGTTATCGGCAGCTTTCATCGAAGAAAGGTGGACACGAGTCATACGACAACGCTGTAAAATTGAATCATACGCTAGATCATCACGAGGACGACAACGTGGCGTGGCAAAGTGTAATCCAGCCTGCAGAATGCGTCCAGTCTCCATAATCACACACCGTTACCGTCCTCTTCCTTTGCGCGTGTCTACGCCATTTGCTTCCACCCTGTCAAGGTGACGAGATCCTTGCACAGTCAAGGCAATGAGGAAGGGCAGTTGCGTGCCACTGCAGAGTCTGTAGATACATCTCAGTCAGCCGCGAGACGCGCCACACTCAACAGGACACGTACAAACTTAGAAACAGAAATGCCAAGGCAGTCCGTTCGCTCTTATGGTCAGTGGCAGGATAGCCCGCGGCAATGTACCACCAGGCGGCTGTAGCGAACACCGTGCTGGCCGTCGTTGCAGACGCGTACACTATGGTTCTCCTTGGTACCGCGGAATCGCTGTCGCCAAACTTCCAAACAAGGGCAAGCATTACCAGGGAAAGGTACTATTCCTGTCAGTCGGAAGACGCGCTGCTGTCCATCCGGGGTCACCTACAGTTCCCATGCATACGGCGAGCAGCCATTTTTGGGCGTGGCCGCTTTGAAGCTGTGTCAAGAAGGGCAAAGAAAATCCAAACGCCGTGAAGGCCATGGCACAGCGGAGGACCGTGAGAATCTGAATGATCCAAATCATGGGGACAGTAGTTCGGCGGTAGGCCCGAGCCAAGGGGTCATAAACTCGATGCACTACGGCTGATGGGATTGTCGAGAACTCCATGGCGGCGGTTGAAAGCGCGATATGTCGGGTTTGAGTGATTGTATAGGGGTGGTAGTAGACTGTTGCGAGATACTATAGTGGCTGTTTGTCTGAGAAGCTGTTGTGCGAGATGACGGGGTAAGGTTATGGGTCAATCTTCTTGGTCCCAGGAGAGCAAAACATGACGCTCAAGTTCAGATGCCCAGTTCTTCCAACCGCTTGGACGGTCCTGCCAGATATTGCGATTGTCTCTTGAAGTGAAGAGTGGTGCCTTCCACTCACTCCATGTGAGGTGGCCTTCGCGCGCCTTCCCCAGCGATCTGCCTACACAAACAGGTAATGCCAAGTTGGTGCATCCATGTCGTCTTGATGAGACACATTTCTCTCTCCAGACGCTTTCCATGAATGCGCTGCAGCATTTGAAGTACCACGCTGGGCTGAAGCATGCCCTCCTGTGGTGTCGACTGGGGGCGACAACAATGGCATGCAACAGCATCGGACTAGCAATGGCCAAGTAGGCTTCCCTTCTTGAGGCGCCGCATTCCAAGAAGACGTACTGTCTATGATCACAGTCTATAGGGTGGACTCTACGAGATATGCCCAAGTGTGTCGAGGCGTACTTGTCGTGGCCAGTACTGCAGCAGAGCAACTGGCTTAACTGACAGAAAGAGGGCCACGATTCGGGCAAAGAGCGCCCATTTGATCCGATCTCAGGTATAGAAGTCGGGTGTCTTGTCGCCTGTCATCTTTTTTCGCTCCTTTATACGTTGGAAAGGCCCTGGGGCAACAGCCGGGTAAAGGACCCCTCCCGAGCCCCGAAGCCGACTTGTTCCCCACTAAGAGGTCCCTCAAAATGCTTCGCCAAAGTGAACCACCTTCTACGCCGCGCATTCAAGCAAAACAACATAATTCCCCGGTATCAATTGTCCCGCCAACATGCAGCTGAAAACCACACAAAAGATTGTGCTCCCGCCGTCGGCGGACATGCACGTCCACCTGCGCCAGGGTGAGATGATGAAGCTCGTCACCCCGATGATCAGGCGTGGGGGAGTTGACACCGTCTTCGTCATGGTTCGTACTTGAAGTCACCACTAGGGACTCTCATATTGATCCAATGGAATACAGCCCAACTTGCAGCCTCCTATCCGAACGGTCGAGCGTGCTCTCGAGTACAAGTCGGAGCTCCAGGCCATCGAGCCGAACGTGAACTACCTCATGTCACTCTATGTGAGCCATCGCAACCGGCACAACCCCATGGAAGAAGGCTAACAATGATGAGTTTCATGCAGACCTTACCCCGGAAATTGTTGCCAACGCAGCCAAGGCTGGAGTCGCAGGCATCAAGGTCTACCCACAGGGTTCGTCAGATCACCCCTTCTTCATCAGCAGCCGTGCCAAGATCTGACATACATGCAAAAGGCGTCACGACCAACTCGGACGCAGGCGTCGTCTCCCTCGACGGGTTCGATGCTATTTTCGAGGCTATGCAAGAGCATGATCTAGTCCTTAACCTGCACGGCGAAGTCGTCGGCACGCCGACTGACGGGCTCACACACGAGGAGGCTTTCCTGCCCACACTCAAGTCTATCCACAATAAGTTCCCTAAACTTAGGATTGTGCTTGAGCACTGCTCGACCGCCGCTGCTGTTGAAGCTGTCAAGAGCTGTGGCCCTTCTGTTGGAGGTACGATGTGTGACATGAAAACACCCGCTCTGTGACTAACACGAGGCGATCCGTAGCTACGATCACGGCGCACCACCTCTATCTCACAGGTGACATGAGCAATGTCGATCCTCATGCCTTTTGCAAGCCTATCCCCAAGACGCCCCAGGATAGGGACGCCCTCATCAAGGCGGCAACGAGTGGCGACAGCAAGTTCTTCTTGTGAGTTGACCATGAACTTTCCAAGCTTAGCAGTGACTGACATCAGCATTAGTGGCACCGACAGCGCGCCTCATCCGCTCGCCGCCAAGAGCGCCCAAGGCAAGGCGCCTCCTGCCGGGGTCTTCACACAACCCTATGCCACGCAGCTCGTAGTACGGGCCTTTGAGGATGCTACGGAAAGGGGCATCATCGCGGAATCGGACGTGACGCAGGAGAAGCTCGAGGGGTTCTTCAGCAAGTTCGGTCGCGCGTTCTACAAGCTCGCTGATAACAGTGGGTCTAAAATCGTCTTGGAGAGGAAGGGCGAGAAGATCCCTACGAGTATCCAGGGTGAGGGTCTGGAAGTGGGTATCTCGAGGTCTGGGGATGAGGTATTCTCGCTGAGCTGGCAGGTGTAAACGAATGTGAAAACTGCGATGCCGGTCTAGGCGAAGCTTATCGTGCCTTATCGACAATTCCGTCACTGGCGACCAGTGATTGGTTCGTTTCTCAGACCCTTTGTATCCACTTAATTTTTCCAGCTGTCTACCATGTATAAGTGCTCGCCAAAGCTCACTCACTCGACTGCTTCCAGCCTGGAACAACTAGACCAATCTTGCTCTCATCCGACGCTCAAAGATGTCTGCTTCCAGGACCTCCAATACCCTCGGGCAACAGCCAACGCCTCCCACGCAGGCCATCCCCGACAGCGAGAAGCAGGAGACTCAACCACGTGAACCAGAAACGCCCGACGCTGAGGGTCAGAATGTGCCGACATTCAAAGCTCTAGGTTGGCTCGACCGCTTCCTCGCCTTGTGGATCTTCCTCGCCATGGCCATAGGGATCCTCATCGGTAACTTTGCACCCAACGCCACTTCCAACCTCGAGAAGGGCAAGTTTGTCGGTGTATCGGTGCCCATAGGTTCGTTCCATATCAACAGTGCCAGCATAACAACTCTGCTAACAACAGATCGCTAGCCATTGGACTTCTGGTCATGATGTACCCCATTCTTTGCAAGGTCCGCTACGAGATTCTACACCACATCTTCCGCGAAAGGGCTGTGTGGGTGCAGCTGCTCTTCAGCCTGCTCATGAACTGGATCGTCGCCCCGTTCCTCATGGTAAGGCTCCCCATTAAGACATCGCGGGCGATTGCTGACAAGTACATAGCTCGGTCTTGCGTGGGCTTTCCTCCCCGACGAGCCCAGCCTTCGAACAGGCCTCATCCTCGTTGGTCTCGGTCGATGCATCGCCATGGTGCTGATTTGGAACAAGCTCGCCGGCGGCGACTCGGAGTACTGTGCCATCCTGGTCGCCGTGAACTCGGTGCTGCAGATGGTTCTTTTTGCGCCGCTGTCCATCTTCTTCATCAGTGTCATCAGCGGCAATGACGACGCCAGCATCAGGGGTCTCTCCTACGCCGTTGTCGCCACCAGTGTGGGCGTCTTCCTCGGCATCCCCCTCGCCGCGGCCATCGTCACACGCTTCGCCCTGCGCAGCTTGGTCGGCAAAGAGTGGTACCAGGACGTGTTCCTCAAGTTCCTGTCCCCCTGGTCCCTGATCGGGCTGCTGTACACCATCATCATCCTCTTCGCCTCGCAGGGTCGCGCCGTCGTTCGCCAGATCGTCTCTGTCGTCCGCGTATCGGCGCCCCTGCTTGTGTATTTTGCTGTCATCTTCCTCGCCACGCTGTGGATCAGCAGGAGGTTGGGATTCGGGTACAAGCTGGGGTGTACACAGAGCTTCACCGCAGCGAGCAACAACTTTGAACTGGCGATTGCAGTCGCCGTCGCCACGTTTGGTAGTGGCAGCGAGGAGGCGCTGGCTGCAACGGTTGGGCCTTTGATTGAGGTACCTGTGCTCATCGGGTTGGTGTACCTGGTGAGATGGCTGGGCAAGAGGTGGCAATGGAAGCCGTAAACTGGTTCTCGAGAAGTCGACATTTCAGCTGTGCCGTTGGTCTAGAAATTGAAACAAAGTCGTGTTCCTGACTGTGCAGTCCTCTTCCGTGCCGCATCCGAGGTAGGCCTTTGTGAGATACTTGTCGCCATGGCCGTGCATCTCAGCTATAATGTTGGCCGCGGACTCGCATGACATGGTTGTCGACGATTGTAGCTGCATGTCGCTCATCTGTGGGGACGAGGTCGCCGTGTCAATCTGCGCCATCATCGGCGATGCTGCTGTGCTCGAAGCATGCGTATCGAGCGTGGTTGGCATCGTACAGGTCGTCAGACCGCCGCAGCACGCACTCGCATCAGCCAGCACTTCGAGCTTGCCAACGTCAGGGCCTCCAGAGCCTTGCGCCGGATGCTCAAGGCTCTCAGGCTGATCCCACTGCACAGAGCCCTGCACATGGTGGTTCTCGCTCCGGGTCGCCGGAATGGGTGGTCTGTGGTCGTCGAAACTCTTCAAGAAAGCTTTGAGCTCTTCCTTTTCGACGCCTTTCCGCTCCAAAAGAATTCTCAGCCTCTCATTCTCCGTCACAACAGCTCTGGCAGCCGTTTGCATCTCAAGCGTCGCCCGTGCTCCGTGCTTTTCATACTCGGCCACCCGACGCTCAAGGTCCTTGACGTAGTCCTTGTGCCGCTCCCTTGCGCGGCGTTGATTGTCCCTGACGCGGATAGCCGACGACTTTGAAGTGTCTAAATTTGTTGGCATGATGGCGTGTACTCCCGCCAAAATTGGGTTTTCAATGATTTCATGTTATTAGGTCGTTGTCACGGCATGGCGTCTTCGCAAATGGCGCCTCAATCGCCCTTCCGTTCCTATTAGTCATCAGGTATCAGTCCCAAACGTTGCCCAGTGTAAGTTCAAATTTGCTCGTCAAATTCTGGCAGTTGATACTTTGCCCCTAAATAGTAGGAAAAAGAGATGTGAAATGCAATCCGCGCTGATGACCTCTGACGCCTCGCGATGCTGTATCAATGAATGAGAAGATGGTTATCTGAACATGCGTTTCCCGGTCCGGGTACTAAAGCGCTCCGTTCCACTGTTCTGCTGCGCATGCCATAACTGTTGCACGCCCACCCCTCCACTCTCTCCAGAAAGTTTGTATCTTCTCCATGCCTCGCGCAGATGCTCTGGGCGCAACGGTGCGCGTCTGAGGTCGAGCTCTTCGTTCGTCTCCTCGGGGAGCGCAGTGAGGGACGGCGGCCGTGGCGCCTCGGATTGTACCTCGCCAGCTGTGATCATCTCCGCTTGAACTTGCCGTGCCAGCTCGACCAGCTCGCCGGCAAAGAGTTTGGTAACGGATCGAACCGCCATGCTGACTGTCGGGGGGACGGACTGCGAGACTGTCGCGTTGACCACCTGCTCTTGTTAGCCACTCTGCTTGACCTAGTGGGGTATTACGACAGAGCATACCCTTTTCACCACCGAATCTTGAAGCTTACTGGCACGCCAATTTTCGTAGCGTGCCATCTGTTCCTTGTCCATGCTCTCCACCAACATCGCCCTTAGTCGTACCTCCTCCTGTTTCTGCTCCTGTGTCCTCGCAACGACGTCCTCCAGCGCCATCTCGGGCTTGTCTTCCTCTTCCTCCTCTTCGCCATCTTTCCCAGCGCCGTTGGCCATGGATGTGGGCGCCTTGCTGCCACCCGCTACGCTTCCATCGCCGGCAACGCTGCCTTCTCGATCGTCGGGTTTCGCACTCTTAGGTTTCCGCCCTCGTTTCTTCTTGCCATTCGCTTGGCTGGCGCTGACTTGGCTTCCGCTCACGACGGATGCCGCATCCACACTGGGGGAGCGTGCGCCAACAGCGGGCGAGGCAACAGCTTCGGGTGGCGGGAAGGATGTCTGGCGCAGTGGATGAGCAGGCGTGCCAGGTTGTGAGGGTTTGCGACGTTTCGCGGCATTGGTGGAGATATCGAGAGTGGACGAGGAACGCTTCTTGTTCGGGATCTGCGCCGGTGCAGGGTTCGGCGGCGACATGGCCAAGGGCGAGCCCGGGTTCGGCGGCGAGGCCATTGCGATAGTTTGAGGAGCTCAGTAGCGGATAACTTGAATAGCTTTTCGTATGCGTGCCGTTGGCTGCCCGATTGCAGAATGGATAGAGCTGGTGATCAAGTTATGCAGAAAGGACGTGCTCCTCCTGCGTTGGTCGCAGTCGCGTTGGAGATGCGCTGGCACGTGACTGGGCTACGCGCACCCTTCCGCCATTGCTGTGAAACCATTGTTCCTCATCAAGAAGTACAGGGCGACGCCGGAACCTATCTGTTCAGTTGCCAGTAAAGAGTATTGTTGAGTCTTTTGCCCAGTTTCCGTGGGAGTTGGGTCTCTAGACTAGTTACTTTTCTAAGCCGGCAGTAATTACAGCCTCCAATAGACATTTTGATGAATGTGGGCAGTCAAGGAATCACTGCCAGAATTAAATGAGCCATACAACCATTGATTAGACTACATTTCGCTTATCCCCAATTACTTCTCATCTACAACCTTTCCGTTATGATACTTTCCAGACACATTAAAACGATCCAAGCGGATTGTCCTTCAGTTCACTCCATGTACTCCGTACGTACTCGGTAAAGGTCCCGGGTAGTTCATTCAGGTCCACCCAATGAGCAACGGCAAGTAAAGCAACCAATCTGTTAAATCATGTGAGTCTGTTTTCACGCGCGAAACACGTGCTGCATATGGTGCTAAAAGTCAGAGAGGCTTCTGCAATTTGACGTCAGGTTCTTTTGCCCGCGATAAGATAAGGCAACCAAGAAAAGTCCGCTTCTGGACATCGTCACAGCTAAAGAGAGTAGTATGCTTTGGGTTGACTGCCAAGTACAAATGCGTAGGCGGCGCGAGAAAGCAGTCAGATTAATTCTGATCTCTTTCGATTTTCTATGACTGTTCCAGGAAAGAGAAAAAGAAACTGACGTGCACTGTTCGCCTACGGTGCTGTCAGCACTGCAGCAGCAGTGAGCACAGCACTATCGGGACCCATCCGCCGGGAGGGTGGATCCAGAACCCTGAATCGCCTGAGTCCTGCAGAACCGTTTTTTGTCCCTCACGAGTCGCTGGTAAGACGAATAGTTCCCCGCGAACGGACCAAATCCGACAAAAGCCGCTCTCCAAGCCCAAACCTTCCGTTCTCTTCTTGTCCCTGTGCCAATTGGCTCTGTCTCCTTTTTTGTCTTTCTGCATCTAAGTACTACAAACCCCCCCCCCAATTCTACCCAAGGAGTCGCGACCATGTCCGACTCGGTACCCCACAGGAAACGCTCGCCTAGTACGAGCTCCAGTGACGCCTCGTCCAAGCGACGCAAATCCTCAAAACGCTCGGCCTCGAGCAAGCGCAAGGACAACGAACAAGCCATTCAAGATGACGATCTTCCCAACGGAGAGCACCACATTGGCGCCTTTGATCGCCGGCGTGAAAGCACAACGCGCACCGCCCGCGATCCCAGAGACGAGTTCCACCCGCCCAAGAAGAGAAAGGTTCCCAAAGCCGCACGCAAAGAGGCCCAGGCCCCCGTCAACGGCACCGTGGTGACGAGGTCGCCCACGCCTGTCATTGATTTCGACGGCCTCAGTCGGCCCAGTAAGATCACCACAAATCCGTTTTCTGCGACGCCATGTACTGACACTCACAACCAGGTGCTGGCACCCGAGAGCGTCTCGAGGAATCGCCAGAGCAAGCCGCCGTCCGCCTCGACCGCATGCGCGGCGCCGTGCGCACCCTTCTCGAATGCGTAGGCGAGGACCCCGACCGCGAAGGCATCCTCGACACCCCCGAGCGCTACGCCAAGGCCATGCTCTTCTTCACCAAGGGATACCAGGAGAATGTCCAGGATATCGTCAACAACGCCCTCTTCAACGAGGGCCACAACGAAATGGTCATCGTGAAGGATATCGAGCTCCACTCGCTGTGCGAGCACCACCTGGTGCCCTTCTTCGGCAAGATGCACATTGGGTACATCCCCTCCAAGACGGTCATTGGGCTCTCCAAACTTCCCCGGATAGCAGAGATGTTCGCCCGCCGCCTGCAAGTCCAGGAGCGCCTGACCAAAGAGGTCGCCAATGCGATCATGGAGATTTGTCGGCCCCAGGGCGTCGCCGTCGTCATGGAAGCGTCGCATCAATGTATGGTCATGCGAGGTGTCGAGAAGACCGGCACGTCGACCATCACCTCCTGCGTGCTGGGCGCCTTTGAGAAGAAGAGCAAGACAAGAAACGAGTTCCTGAGCCTGATCGGCGTGAGCGGTGGTAGACGACTATGAGCGATGACTGTCTGACCCAGTCTTGCATTTTCACGGCGTTATGGGATTGTATTGGCCTGGCACGTACTGCACCGCATCTTTTTCAACATGCGGGAGGGCTCTTCAACATATGGGTTCCGGGCGGATGACTTTTTAACATTATATCTAAGCGGTCTTGTCATATCATAGATGCATTGCCTCTGGGCTCAACATACCAAAGAGGGACGGCAGCTGTAAATCGAATACATTTATATCAGAGAATTACTGATCGTTGAGAGGGACAAAGCAGGCCACGCATTCGCCTGGACTATGTATCAGAACACCGTACTCATACACATTGTCCTTGCCCACATGACCAAACGCCTCAGATTCGTCTGTGTCTCTGACCAGTTGCGCCGCCCAGTGTGTCCCGATATGCCCGCAAATATTCTAGCAACGCCCGCCCAAGTCCTAATCCATATCTAACATAGCGTCAAGTCCGTTGCGCTCTTTTTCGAGTGACTCGGCCGTCACATTATGGCTGTCCGCAACGGCATCTCGCTTCTTCTGCTGGTCGTCGTCGTCATCCTGGTTCGTCATCTCCTTAAACATTTGATCGACGTTCCCGTCATCGTGCTTCATCATCGGATCAATGTCTCCGGGGGTCATAGATCGGCCTTGGTCGCTGATGGATCGATGCGGTGTCCCCCAAACATCAGAACCCCAGATGCGCTCGGCTTCGCGTCTTCCCTCATCGGTCCGGCTGAGGATCTCGAGAGCCTTACTCTTCCCCTCTTCGGTCTGCAGTTCAACGTCATCAACCTCGCCTTGTAGCAATCGCTCTTCGAGGGATTTTGGCGTGTCGGCAACATGCAGACGGGGACCTCCAGCGCCAAGGAGTGCAGGATGTACCCCTCCATCAATGTCCATCGGGTCGCCCGGGTGGAAAATGCTCGTCTCGGCTTGTGATGTTGACGGATGTGAGGGTGCAGTAATACCAGACACACTCGGATGCGAGGTGTGAGGGAAGAATCCAGCTCCCCCAAGCGAATGCTGACCCTGTCCTGTTGGCGCAGAACCACCTGCTTGACTGGCGGCCGCTGCAGCGGCAGCCTCAGCGTTGGCAGCCTTGCGACGTAGGCTGTTAGCCTTGCCCTTGGCATGCTCAGGTAGATCGTCTGGATTATCAACCCCGTACTCGGCCAACATCTTCTGCAGCTTTGTTGGTCGAGGCTTCCGCGTGGAGAGCGAGACCTCGAGTATCGGAGGTGCCTCCGGAGCCACCGGGCACCATTTGTGCAGCTCTTGGCGAAACAGGTTCGTCTCATACGACAGAAGAACTTCTGCGCCTTCGATTTTCCGCAGGTAGAACCTCTGTATCTCGACCTCGGCCTCGGTGGACAGCATTGGATTGCAGTGGCGCGCAATGTGGTCCCTGAAATGCTGTGCGTTATCAATGATTTGACGTAGAATCTCCTCTTCCTCGGGTTGGAAGGGCAAGCCCGCTATTTCGTCCACCAACGCATGTAAGTCTTCCAACTTGGGCCTCGAGGCATCTCGGGGAATCTTCATGCGCCAGTCGCAAATAGGACACGTGTATTTGTCATCCTCCTTGACTTTACCACGCGCAATCTTAAGACACTTGTAATGGTACCTATAAATTGTTAGTGCACAGCATTTGGGGATCGCTACAGCACAAACTTGCCATTCGTGGCACAGCTCGCACTCTATCATCATGCCGGCCTCGGGTCTGCGACAGATACAGAAAACCTGTCTTGAACGGCTGGTGCCGCCATCTGGGCTCGCCTCGCGAGACACGGGTTCTCCAGGATTTCGAGGCGTATCGTAGTACAGGTCGAAGCAATCCTTGTTGCGCTCCAACACATACTCCAGGTGACTCTTCAGGATGTGCAGTGGGGCATTCGACTTGCCGAAAAGTTTCTTGCCCTTGCGCATCCAGTCCTCGTGTCGCTTGCGCTCATTCTCTATTTCGATCGTGCCATTGGGCTTCGCGGCAAGCTCCTCGAATTCTTTCATCATCTCAATGACTTCAGCGTATTTTGGTCTCTCGGCGGGGTTTTCCCTCTTCGACCGCTCGAGAGTGTCCAAGGCTTGTCGATGGGCCTCCCGCTGCTTGGACAGGATACGGTCGATAGCGCGCAATGTTCCGGCCGACACGGGAAGAGCATTGGCCTGCCTTTGAGCTGCGAAAGCTTCCAGCTGGGGAAAGTGGATGAACTCTGCTGAAATGAGCTCGACAGCCTTGGCCTCCCAAACCATTCCAGATCGCAACTGTTCGCACCAGTATTGTAAGTGGTCATTATATGCAGGCACCTCCAAGCGCTCGGCGTCCGAGATGAGGTCCTTCACTTCTTGCAAGCTCATGAGCACCTTGCGACTTGAGGCAGCCCTCTCATCCCATTGAATCTGCTCCAGCACTCGGCTGAGGCGATCCACTTGGGGGATATCCACGTTGAAACTGCGGCCTTCCTCAAGTAGTTCTGTGCACGTGTCGATCGAGATGGCGTTCTTGTTCGCCAAAGCTCGGCTCGCATGTTCTTGGTACGCCTTGATAGCGGCCGATCGCTCCTGGAGTTGGCCGATCTCGGGACAGTCAAAGCCAATGTGCTCAGCTTCCCTTAACAGCCGGAATATATTTGACACGCTTCGCGATTCTTTAACGTCCTGGGCCGCAGCACCCGTTGACTTGCGTCTGCTGCCTTGAGAGGCCTTTTCGCTTTTTCGGCGGTTCTGCTGCTTCCGCACAAGGTAAGTGGTTGCCTCTTCAACCCAATCATTGCAGCGGTCGACGAACTCTTTGAGGGTAGGAATTGCATCGATATCATATGCAATGCGCTCGCCTTCGTTCAGAAGGGTACGTAGCGACTTTAGAGACGGCCGAGCTTCTTCGTCAAGCAGAGCGTTATACTTCTGCTCCCAGACATCAGGCACTCGTGCCTTCTCGGCCACTCGTTCAGAGACTTCTCGCAGCGTCGTATCGGTCTTCCGATAGATCAGGCTGTGGCCATCACCGGTGAACCTCTCAGTTTCCGATTGCTCGCAGCATTGTGTCCATCCGGCATGCAAAATGCAAAGAACCTTGCCTGTCTGGGCACATTTGAACCGCGAGAAGAAGGCGAATGCTTTGCATTGGGCACAACACTGCTCCTCCTCATCCTGAACATCGTCGTCCGATACTGTTAAGGGCAGGGGACAGTTCTCGGCACTCTCGGTGCTATCGCTGAAGTGTGAGCACTTGTGGGCTGCCGCCTCGGAGTGCTTCTTGATGAAGTCCTCTCGCTGTGTAATCTCGCGCTGGACGACGCGATCAAGCGCAGGCGCTAGCCATTTGGCTGTTTGTATTGTCAGTCCTGAGGAGGCGGTACCTTCAGCAGCTGTCCAGAGTAGCTCGTCGTGCGAAAAGCACGGCTGTCGGCGAAAGTTCTGGAGTCGTTCAACGCCCGCTAGGCCGTATGGTTCCCAATCACTTGGTGCGAAGTTGACTGCCTCATTAAAGTTGAACCCATGATTGAATCCTGCGTGGTATGCTTGTGGAAAGGTGATGACAAACTGGCCAGCGCGTTGATCGATGGCGTACACATTCACATCCGCCTTCTTGAGTTGTTCGGGTGTCAGCAAAGTTACCAGTTGGAACAGGAGATCCGGCTGCGTCTCGAACAGTTCAGGCACTGTATTCCTCATGGCGGTCTCAAACTTCTCGGCGTCTTCTCCGGGTATCCCATACCAAGTCTTCGTGGCGCCAAAGTGCTGATAGTTGGCCGAGTAAGCGTAGTGGTCCTCATTGTGCCAGCAAAAGGTCGAAAAGATCATGCCAACGTATACCCAAGGTACGGTCATGCCTGAAATGTCTGTCTTGATGTGCCGGAACAGACTTTCGGGGTGAAACGGCAGAACATTGAGGTTCCAGGTATCAGCGGAATGGGGGTTTGTTGGATGTTTCTCCAACGTCGGGAAACCGGAGCCGTGAGTCGTGCAATGAATGTCTGCACCGTACTCAACCTCAGTAGTCTCTTCGAGATCGGTGACAAGTCGCCAAAACTCTGTCTCGACGTCTTCTTCTGTAACCGGTCGATGACAATTCAGAGCGTGGTCGAAAGGCATCTTGTTCTCGAAGTACCCTTGCTTGAAATCATTTGCTTTCTGCTGGAATTGGCGAAGCGAATACAGACCTCCCTCTTCGAAGCCAAATTGCCCGTCGCCGACAAGGCAACGAGCGCAGTTCCATTCAGCGTCAGGTTTCCGTTTCAGAGGGGGGTCCAGACATTGGCTATGATAAGCGCCATCGCAGGAATCGCACAAGAGCAGCTGTGAGGTGTCATCGCTGCGCCCACAATTTGCACACTTCTCGTCGGTGTGACCCGCGTCGTCGTCGCGTGGTACTTTTGGCACCGAAGGACGGAATTGTGACATGTATGAGCCTGCAACAGTGGGAGCCACATCCTTTTTCAAGCGCTTGCTACGTCGGTTGCAGCTGTCACTGCCATCATTTTCGTCCTCTCCAGCCGCTGTTGCGATATCGGGTGTGCCCTCGCCACTACCTAGTTGACGCTTCAGCAAGGTGGCTGGCGAGTCGAGACCAGCGGTTGCCACGCCTGGTGTGGCTTTGCCGGCTGGCACAGGACTGCCATTCTGCTTCTCGGGTGTGGCTGCGTGCTGCTCGGCTGTGCTCGGCCGATTGACGCTGGTGAAGCCAGAGTTGACGGCGGTGAAACCACTCGAAGGGGCCCGAAGGACTGGTGCAGGTGGGGCATCAACCATTGGTGTGTCCTGTGATTCTTCCTTTTTGAGTCCATTCAGTCCAGCTTGCAAGGCATCCGTAGCCTGGCGTGCTGGTGAGTCGACCGCCATCCTCACTGGCGTGTCAGCCAAAGATCTTTGAGAGGGTGTGACGGCAGGACTCGGCGTCAATGGACCTCCGTACTCAGCTTCCAGCTGCTGATGTACGCCAGGTTTTGCGAGTCGGAGATAGTCTTCATAAGGGCACAGCCATTTTTGGTACGAGTTCTTCAAGGATGTCGAAAGCGAAGACATGATCTTGCCACTGTAGCCGAGATCTCGCCCAATCTCAGCCCATTTCTTCAGCTTGCAAACGTTCTCAAAGCCGCCTCGGGACTCGACGGCTTTCTTCAGTTTGTAAAGATCGAGTGGCTTTTTGTCCACGTAGGGCAGCCTGTGCAGGTTGGTGTTGCCATGCTGCTTGTGGTACTTTGACAGCCCATCAAGATAGGTGAGGTTTGCTCTCGTGCCTGCAATCTTTAGCGGAGGCCATCACATGCTGAAGGCGGAAACTTACTCCCTTCTACCGAATTCAGCTCTTGTTTTCTTGTACGAAAATGGAATCTCTGTACCCAAGTCAGCGTGAGCAACGTATGTAAGATGTTGTCCACAAACCTCGGTATCTATCGCAAAATCGGGGTTCCAAGAGTCAGGTGGTATGACCTTGCAAATGCCGTATTTCGAAGCTTCCGGGGCAATCTTCTTAATGTATGTCAAAGGGTCGCGCCATTCCTCTTCCGTTGGCGTGTACGATGGTGCTTCTTTTATGCCAAATGGTCTGTTCTTCGGTTTCAAGGGCTCGCGGGCAGCATTAGGCTGGCCTCTTCTCTCCACCGAGGTAAGGTCGAGAGGTGGGCTGACGAGCGCGCTCAATGGCTTTTGGGGATTCGTGGGATGGTATCCATTGGCACTGATTTTATCCTTTGAGCGCGTCGTGCCGCCCATCCGCGAGGGCGTGTTGCTTGCTGGAGAACTCCTCGCACTCATTGTGGACGCAACGGCGGCATTGCTGGCAGCTGGTGCTGAAACCATGTCGATTTCCGGTGGAGCCCTGTCGCCCTATGTTGGTGAATGCGGGCGAAAGGACCAAGGCTATCAAGATATGAATGTTGTTGAGTCGATCGGCGAGCCGCAGCTCATGCTTTTATGGCAGTTCTATCGTCGCTGCGGTGATCGCATCTCAGCCTGGAATTCTTGACGCGGGCGTCGAATATCGTATACGTTTCGAGAGTTGCCTTTGCGTCTCGCCGATTGTGTCGTCTTATGACTTGCGCCTTCGGGTCGGTAGCAAGAGACACGCGTGTGGCAAGTGGTCGATTGGTCGATTATCACCACGCGCGGTTTGATCGAAGAGCACTAACACGAGACCACGAATGGAGTAGTCCGATGCACGGTTAAATGGCTGGCTCCTTCCCTGCGATGCAAAAGTTAAAGGCTATGCCGTGAAGGAGTCGATGTGGTGACAGCAGTTTTTGAATCGGGACCGCCAGCTTGTCGTTGGACGGGGAGAGCATGGGTGAAAAGAGGGAGGAAATGCAGATGTAGATGTCCCGAGTGAGGGAACGATCGCAGCCTGAATTTGGGGGACAGGAGCGTGCAAGTGGGCGTTCGGCCGGGCCAGAGTGCAGGTGTGGGTGAGGTGCACTTGCCGTTAGAATTTAGTCACGATGCACACATGTAGCTGTACTTCGGATTAGGCCAATGTTTGGGGGGCAAATATGTACCCGTACTTAGGCTGCCCCGATTCCAGCGGGAAGCTCGGTGGACGATCCCGGAAACACTTCTTTTTGCCAATATTCGCTGGCGGGAATAAAGCCAGGAAAGCCTACCTGAACAATGCAGCCTCGTGGCTCATTTCCTTCAGAATATTTTTCCCGCCGACCTCAAGACGTTCAAATCTACTACTCTTCGGGTATGAGGCAACCCTCGCAGATTGTCTCTGATATTTGGCGGAGTAAGCCCCGGCGCTCCTGCAAGCCTTAGGGATCCACTAGCGACGACTCCCGACCGCTTTCAGACCTCATCCGACATGCCCACCAATTCCAGTCGTCGATTGTCAAGGCACGTGCACCAGATATCAATATGCACGTAAGACAAGGTTGTACTCTCCGATGAGAGTCTTTTGTATCCATCACCGTGAGAAGACTGGTACGAGTCATAGATTCTCTGGTACGCAACAAGTCGTGCTCAAATGGGTTGCAGGGCAACCGCAATGCGTACGTGCGGAGACACAAGCGTTCTCTCGGGGAATAGAAACCTCTTGCATGATAGTAGTTCAACAAATTTACTGATAAAGAAAAAATTGCGAGTATTTAGACACAACCCTTGAGGATACCTACTCGCGATAAACGCGTCGGAAGCAGGCAGTAAGATCGATTGTGCGACTTGTAGGGTAGCTAGTTCCGTTTCTAGACCGGCATTCATTCAAGTTCATCTACCACAGGTACTGCTTTCTTCCTACGCTTCTTTGTTTCGAGGAGCTTTTCGACGTCCTTGGGTCCTCTGAGCCTCAAGCTGAGCTCTTTGACCAGATCAATCCATCGTATTTCCCCACCACACGAGGGGCAAGTGCACGAGGATGGCAGGACGTTTCCATCTGCAGCGACCTCCTTGGCATTTTTCCCCCAGCAATCCAGATGGCCCATCGCCTCGCAGTTCTCGTTAGGGCAGATTGGTAACAGCCCCTTATCTGGCGCCAACGGCTCGTCACAGTGCACACAGTCCCCGTGACGCTCAAAGTTCACCACCTCTTGTGCCTTCGACGCGTGTGGCTTCAGGGCAGCGTAGTCCAAGGGCAAGGCATCCACACCGCGTATTGTGCCATCCTCGCCAGTGCTGTAATCTTCAAAAATCCGCAGGCCGCTTCTGACCTCTTTGTTCGAATGGCGGAGCCAATTGTCCCAAGCATTTTTGGCATCACGTGAGAAGAAGTGTATATTGAGCGGCCATCGTAAGAAGCTCGGCACGCTGGTAAGGATGAAGACGTTGGAGAAGATCGATTTCAGGTTGTGAGGTGGCCGGCGAGGCCGGCCATTCCTCTTCTTCTGGGAAGATACAACCATGCGAGATTCATCGGGTATGTGGAGTGACAGGTGCGGATTTGTCAAGGCCCATCTACGCTCATTAATCGACTATCAAGCATGTAGCGTACGCGCAGCCTACTACTCACTCAAACTTCAGTGCCGCGGTGGAACTGGGGAATCCAGAGACGATTGCAATCATTTCCCATGGTCTCAACTTGTCTCGACTCGTACGGGCAGCACCACCCTTGGCCTCACCATTGTGTTGCTTCAGACGCCGCGGTGGGTTTGGCGTTGAGCCGATGTAGAGCGATGCATGGCGGACGGTCGAGCGAAGCACATAGACAGTGTACAGAGCAGGTATCGGCTTAGGAAGGACGGAGGTCATCACAGTGCCACCCATGTGAAAACATTGTTGGATGCGGGATGGAGTGCGGCGTGGTGGGCTGTTTGTTTTGGCTTTGAGTGCAGGACATTTACGATGACTAAGCTCAAAACGCGACGCGGCGCACCTTATTGTCGCCGGTATTTCACAGAGTTGATGGTAGGTAGAAATGAACCAATTGGTACTATTGGGGAGCCAAATCCCGGTTGATATACTCCCTCTCAGAGATCTACCACCGCCAAATTCTGTATTTAGACATGTTACAAAAGTCCCTGCTTCTGCAGATCATAGTACACCTTCTCGGGCATCACGTTACCCTCCGCATCCTCCATTTGTACAACACTTCCCTCATCAACCTTTGTCCTCTTCTTCTCACGCTGGATCTTCTCCCAAAGCTTCAAAGCCTCATCAATCCTCGTAATGTCGCGGAAGAGGTTGACGTTGGTGATCCCCAGGCACTTCAGGCCGTACACGTGGCGAGCCTCATTGAAATGCTTGTCGAACGCGCGGCGACCCATGTACACGAAGTTACCACAGACCTCGCACGGAAACTCGACACCAAGACCGTGCAGTCGATACAACCAGAAGGGAATCGGCTTGCCATCCCAGGCTAGTGGTAGCTTGAGCGGGTTGTAAATCTTCTCCTCACCATCCTCAGCGTCCTCTTCGCCGTCCCGAGGCTGTTCCTGCGGTTCCTCCGACGCGTTCAAGAGATTCTCAAGCTCTTGTTGGCGTTCTCGTTCCGTCATGCCCTGTTTTCGTTCCACGTTGACCCTGGTATCACCTCGCTCTGTGCTCATGGCACCGGCCAGGCGCTTGACTCGCTGTTCCCGCTCAGCCACAGCCTTCTCTTTCAACCTCGCAGCCGAAGTTCTAGGACCAGCGGTACCGTTGGCGGCACCGTCCGCATCCGCTGACCTTTGCTTCCGTTGCTCAGCAGCCTTGATATGTTTCCGTCCTGTCAGGTGGTTCTTGTAGACGTTTTCGTTCTTGAACTCTTTCTCGCAGTCGGCGCACCACACTGCTTCAGCTGTGCTCAGGTCCTTCGCTGTGTCGCCCCCTGTTGGTTTCTCTGACTGCCAACCTTCAACTTCATCCTTCTCCCACGCTGCTTCGAATTCCTGTCCGAACGTCTCCATGACCTTGTCCACGTTTTCCAAAGGCCGCGTGCGCTGCATGAAGGATTCGAGATAGCTTGCTAGTTCACCAATGTACTTGAAGTACTGATCCGTAAGCTTGTCTGCCTTCTTGACACCGCCATAGCCCGGCGTGAAGTTGTCGAACACCTCCAGATATTGCAGATATGTCAGCCGCCTAACATTCGGAAGGTTGAGGAACTGTTCGTGGTTCATTGTCAAGTCGAAGAATCGCCCGTATGCCTCCTCGCCCGAGAATAACGAGTCAACGATTGATGGTACGAGCTCCCCTTCCCCAGCCCGTCGCACTTTGTATCGCTGCTCCGAGTTCTCGGCCTGTTCGTTCGGATACCGCGCATGATGGTCTCGTACGTCTTTGAGCTGTTTGTAGAACTCCCCGAACGGATCGCCTGAGCCGATTTGCTGAATCTCGGATGCGCGCGCGCCTGTCGTATCTCTGTAGATGTCTAGGAGGTTGCTGGACTGATTTTGGATCTGATCGAGTAGTTGAGAGACCTCGTGGTCGCGATTCAGTCGGTCGCGGATCTGGATAGTCTTAGCATGCATTGATCGCGCGAGCGGCGAGACCAGGATACTCACATGTTTAGGGTCATCATGGATGCGGTCGGCAATTCCTTGCTCTAAACGCTCGAGATCCTCATGGATGTAACGCTGCTCCTCAAGAATAAGCATCTCTGTTGGCCTGGGAGAGAAAATGCGTCGTACTTGTGAGCTTTAAAGGGCGTGGCTTAAACTCGTGGAGAGGTTCGCGTCCAGTCGTTCTTCGACCGAAAAGTTCATGGCGCGCAGGCCCGACTTGCGATCACGTGATCCGGCTTCCGGTCGCGTATTGCCCGCTGAATGCGCGGGCGCTTCATGACATCGAACACTCTCTGGTTTTCCTTCTCACAGTCCTGAATTCCTGATCAGCTCAAACGATCTCTAATACGCTATTACAACTGCGTATCGGTTCGATCATCCCAAGCCCAGCTTCGTCGGCTGGCGACATCGCTATGGTCTCGCACCTCTCTGTGAAGTTGAGATGATGTATCCTCCAGATCACGTCGCGGAACTTGACAGAGTTTTTGATCGAATGATCACAATTGGGCTTCAGAAGTCGGAGTAAAGCCACGAGCTTGAGATCATCATTCTCCCTTGTGTCTTCTCGCCTGCCCCGCGTGGAGGACTCGGCTCAACCAGATCATCCTCATTATGTGTGACTTCTTCCCCAGAAGGACTACTTCATACTTGCGATGGTTGCGTGATCTGGTGATTGCAAGGTTTCCTTGATTCATTCACGCTTGCCGCTACGCATCTCTAGCCAAGTATTTGCTCAACGCAGCAGCACAGGCCAAGGCAACTATCACTACTCTCCAGCGGCGGATATGACAGCCAGTCTCTGCAATACGTTGCAAGTCGATCTGACATCTTGACGTAACCCGCTCAAATAAGCCAGTGATACTCGGCGGGCTTTACTTTGCGAAACAGATTGCTCCGCGGTTCTTGTCTTCGGAAAATCTGACGTTGCCGCTCACGCCCCAACCAGCCCAGAGCGAGGTCACTGCCATGTTCTGGAACTGCAACTGGCATGTCGAATCAAAAAAGCTTCAGATTAGGCCTAAAAGACTGGTGAGAATTGGACTGCGACCTAGCGAGCAAGTCTTACGGAAGCCAGACCACCACGTCCAGCGTAGACGGCTCTGCAATAGTGTTTGTTGTGCACGCCTCATGTCTCGTAATTCAGCTTCTGTATATACACGCACTATCAAACAACGCTCATCATCGCCTTTGTAAATAAAATGCAGATCATCACCCCCTTTTATGGCAGGTACTCTGGCCAGATCTTGATGTTCTCCATCCCACTCATAATCTTGTCTCCTCCAAGCTCAATTTCGAGGCCAATGTCGGGCTGGCCCTCCTCATACAGCCAGTGCTTCTCTCCCGCCATCTTGGCATTCGCCTCCGCAAGCTCATGGCTGATGATCTGCTTCTTGAGCTCCGGGTTGCCGCCACAGGCCGCCTCGACCTTGAGCTGAATCTCGCAGCTCCTGTCCACGAGGCCGAACAGGAAACTCGCCTCGTCGACGGTGTGGCCGACGGTGACGAGACCGTGGTTCATGAGCAGCGCGGCCTTGCCCTTGGGGCCGAGAGCCTTGGCGATGTTCTGGCCCTCTTGCTCGGCAGTGACGATGCCGCCATACTGATTGTCCACGGCGAGGGTGCCGTAGACGTCGCAAATGTCCTGCTGGATCATGTCAAGGGGCTTGCCAAAGGCGCACCATGCGCGGCCCGCGATGCTATGGGCGTGGCAGATGGATTTGATGTCGTGGCGGGCCTTGTGAATCTCAGAGTGAATGAAGAAGCCCGGGTTGTTGCAAGGCCGTGTCTGCCAGAGTCAAGTCAGCTCATCGGCTTCTGGTGCTTCTCAATTCTGGCAAAGCTTACCCTGTTACCGCCGACAATCTTACCAGTGTTGATGTCGAGGCAGATCATGTCACCGGCGTTGAGAAGGGCAAAGTGCTTGCCGATGGGGTTCATCCAGATCAGGTTGTCGTACTCGGGGTCCTTCACGCTGATGTGACCAGAGATGCCCTCTGTGAAGCCGACACGCGCCCAGTTGCGGAAGACGGCGGCCATGTGCAGCGCAATGTGCCTACGGTGCTCGTCATGGTTGTCGAACGTGGGGATGCCTTGACCGTGAGCGGGCATCCGCCTGTTGGGTTTCTCGCAACTCACCTCGTAGAGGGTTGGGTCCACGGCTCAGGTCAGCGAGGGCAGTGCCCTCTGGGAAGATGCTCTGATCGTGCTGCGGCTCTGGAGCGTCAGCTCTGAGCTTGAGCGTGGGCTGCTGCTGCTGCTCAATGGTGCCGGTGGAAGTAGCAGAGGGGGTCATTGTGAGTGTGGTAAAAAGTATCTTTCTTTCTGTATTACACTGCTGAAGAAGAACGCAAATGGGACAGGTTGTGGTCTTGCTCCGGAAGCAGATGGATCAGGATATGTCCAATCTCATTCAGGATATGTTTGCTTGTGTCTTTACTTGGGGTCTTTAAAATAATCAGTGATGGGACGGCAAATGGAGACAACCTCGGAAAATGAAGTTGATGGTGATGATGATGACAAGGGAAGGTGCAACCAGGGCGTTGATAACGGGCAAGTCACGAAGGCTGACTGTCCTAGAGGATAGTGGAAGAACTTGAGACAAAATAGCTCCAACATGCATCGATGCTCTGGGTGGATGATTCAGCTCAGTTCGCACATCTTATTCTGTCGCTATCTGCAGTCAACCCCTCCAATTGGGCCTCCATTGGCACTTGCCCGCGGCGGCGTTCCCGTGGAGCACATTCCGTGGCAAACTGACCTTGGCGATGAAGGTGTTTCTTCAACCGACCTTTGATAGATTCGACACCATATGGCTCGTCTTGAATGATCCGCTAGTCTTTCACTTCACAGCACCTCCAAGTTCGTGTTCATTCGGGCCGTCCGATCAGACGGCACCGGCAACAGTGTCATGCTCGATGATGCGAGCTGGCGCTGGCCTCCGTCTGCGAAAGGCCCCGCGCGGCGGGGCATGCTGATCTTTGCTCCGGCGCAATGATGGGGAATGCTTCTCGAAGATGGAGAAGACGGTTGATCTTCACGCAGTGTGGGTATTTGCAAGTCTGACAGTCTTACTCAGAGCGCCGTGGCCGTTCTCATCATCCTCACTGCAGCCACCAAAGGGCGCTGGCGGTTCAGACCGGATAGAGACGATCTCTCAAGTTTTGCCTGTCGAAAAGCATCTAATTAACAAATTCTGTGACGGCCTCCTCCGGCCGGCGGATGAAAGGGAACGAACCTAACTGCGCTGCTGCAGCTCGTTGCTGTAGGCGATCGAAAAATTGTACGCATCTCGGCGACCTCTTTCAGCTTGCATCCGTCTACGAAGGCTCGAAAGCGGTTATAGTCGGCCACAAAGGCCTGCTTGCAGAATGTAAGTATGAAAAAATTCTCGGGCATTTCACGAGATGCGGTCTTGACTCTTGCGAGTGGAACTTGACATGGATCATCTGCCAACACCGGGGCCGTTGACCAGGGCAATGGGTTGAATGAAGCCTTGAAGGCGATGCACTCACATTTCACACCACAGACGTGGGAATCCTCGCCAGCAGCGTTGAAAGTTGGAAACGAGGCGTGACTAGCAGCATGCTGACGTCGCTGTATACCCTCCTAGGTTCGAAGATGCAGCATTGCATGCCCTTTTGAAGTCCGCTTACCAGAGCTCTCAACATTCAATGGCATGATGCCCGTCAAGTGTCCGAGCAACTGCAATCCACGACCCCAACATGGGAAAATTGCGACATCGATCCTTACAAGGCGCCAAGATCTACGAACCCTCCATATGTTCTTGATCTGCTCAATGCAGTATAGTATGCGGTAGACACGAGTCTATGCAGGCTAGGCCCTGTTGCAGCGGCTTTTCAATCTGCTCGAAAAGACCGAAATGCTTTCCCATTGCGGTTGAACGCATGCGCGAGCTGGAGATGAAATTCACGGCAACAACAGGATGAGTAGAGGTGAGCAAACGCTCAGAGCATCTATCAAGGTTCTACCGGCAGCCTCCCACTTCATTGACTGGAAATTGAAGAGTGCTCGCATGCCCCTTGGCGGCGACTACTGGTGAACTTGTTGATCGAGGTTGAAGGAATCAAGGCGCGAAGGAAGTGGGCTCTAACTAAGAGATCCAAAAGTAGCCGCAGATGACGCACATCCACCGGCATTTTGACGCACCATGACTTCCCTGTCCAACAGAGACCCAGCAGTGGCAGCCCACGTGAACAGTAAGTCGATGGACAATTTCCTGCCATGTTTTTTACAACGATGTAAGCCACACTAACTGGCAAAGGAGCCCAACCAGAGCCGTGTTTCAACTTTCGACACAGTCCACACAACCCCACACATCCATCACCAACCCACGCCTCATACAGGCATCAGGGGCGCGTAGCCCGAAAGTGGTGGCTATTTTGGCCTCATCCCCCTTCTTCTCGACTAAGAAACCGGCCGAGAGAGTGAGTGGGCTGACATCAGATCACCGCCCTCGTGCGTAGTTTCGCCATGGGGCCGCCTACGATCGGCGTATGCACAATCCTGGCTGTAACAGGCTCCAACGCACAGCAGCACAAGTCCAGAGGAATGAACAGCGCTGGCCAATGCGGTGTAGCTGATCAGAAGGCGGACTGCTTGTTGTGTTTTCTCTTCCGGTCTACATTGGGCCGTGGCAAGGCCGGAACGAATACAAAGGGGAGGCATCCCGACCACATGATGAACCTCTGTCTCTCGCTTTCCCTCTCCTCCATCACACACAGAACGATCAAGTCTACTAACTGATTGGAGCTACCGATTGGTCTTTTTTATTGCCGTTATACTTTGCAAAGCCAGCTCCTGAACAGCATCTGGCGGCTATCCTGAGCCAACTACTGACATACGAGAGGGCTATCCTGAGCCATCTTCCTGAACTACATCTCTCATCCTGATCTCACAGGCTATCCTGAGCCTTTATCAATTCCTGCTTTTCTTTTTCTTTTTCAAAAGAAAATCTCCTGACGGCTATCCTGAGCCATTTTTGTCTGTTCTACTATCAGCAGCAGAAATACAAGACTAATCAAACATGTCGTATCTCGCACCAAGCAAGAGGGCCGCTCGTGCTTCCTCCAACCTGCTGCGGTCGGCGAGCCGGGCCGCGGCTGGTGCTAGCAACAGTTTCGCAGGACAACAGCGCGTGAACAAGATCCACGCCTCTTCCAAGGACAAGGCCGTCCATGCCACGACACAGCCTGCTGGACTCGGCGCCGGTCTTCCCGAGTTCATGACGGCTGGCATGACTCCCGTATCGACACCCACGACCGCTACCCCGACCTCGACACTCCCCCGTGTACCCGCTGGGCAGCTCAACGTTCTCGAGCAGTCGCGCAAGCCCGAGTTCTACCAGGCCATCTCCAAGATTATGGCCATCCGCAAGGACTATGTCGAGAAGCGCTTCGTCTGGGTCCCGGCCGAGGAGATGATCGACATCTGCCTGGGGCTGGGCGCCACGCGCGAGGATCTCGAGGCTCTGCCCCAGACCGCGGACGGACTCCAGTATGACCCTACCCTCCCCTTCCGCAAGACCCGCAACGGTCGCTTCTGCTTTGACTACGACACCCAGAGCGTCCGCCGCCTCGAGTTCCAGCCCTTTGCGCTGTCGGCCGAGGAGGACTTTAAGCGCTACGACTCGGGCCAGATCCGGCGCTTCGACGAGATTGACGACGAGCTGCAGCTCAACACGGTCCTGCAGGCCCTCCTCGTGTTCAAGGGCATGGTCGTCCACGGGGTCGAGATGGCGCACCGTCCCAAGCTAGACTACGACGTCAACAAGAACATTCTGACGCTCTTCCACCTCCGGACCACGACCAACCAGGAGATCCTGGGCGAGCCTGCCCTCGAGGGCATCCACTCGGACGGCGTCGACCACACGATGACGACCCTGCTCGGCCACAGGAACATGCGCGCTGACTCGGCCGTCACCTTTATGCACGCCATGCACGAGCAGACGGGCATCCCGCTCAACGACGCCAAGCCGGAGAACATTCGCGCGCGCGTCCAGCACACCAAGCTGCTCGACACGCTCATGATCCTCGACCACGAGAACAAGCACTCGCTCAGCCCCGTGTACCAGGAGGACCTGACCCAGGACGCCACCCGCGACATGCTTGTCTTCTTCACCCGCAAGCCGGTCGAGGAGGGCCACATCTCGAGCAAAATTGACTCCAAGACACCTCACAAGGTGAAGAAGATGGAGATTCCCCTTTTTCTGCCCAGGACCCAATGAGCTGGCCTTGCATGGCGTTGCTGCGCATTTTGACATTTGGCGTTGCGTTTGGGCATTGCTTTCTCTTTTTCAGTTCGGACAAAAGTTGACTCTACGGTTGGCAATGTATATATCTGGTTTTGCTTTCAATACTTGGCGGAGATGGCAACCAGCAACACCCCCCCCGACTGATTTCACTCTCCGCTGGACGGAGACACTCATGATGAACGACCTCCTGAATACAAAGTTATTAAACCATCTGCCAATGCCTTCCACCATGTAGAACCGCACGAGAAGGATATTCAGACTCAAAGTCCAAACCCGTAGCCTTCAAAGTCCAGGGCAGTTTGACGTCTGGCCAATCATCTCACACGGCTGCAGGTACCCAAGGCGGGAGGGCTCCAATGGATGGTGCACTAGCGCTAGTGCTTAGTTGGCTGCGCCATGTCGTCACTACCCTTTGAGACTTGTGTCCCTCTCCGTCTTTTCATGGGCGATCGTGGATTTGCATTTCCCCGCTCCCATCCTTCGAGCGAGGTGGGATGTCTGAAAAATACGAGCGAGGGGGCAGCCGAAGGATTGAGTGGCTGGATATCCTGATGAATAAAGCCAGAACCAGTGTGGTGTGCACAGCACCGGGACGCGAGAGGTGTGTGCACGAGGAGGAGTTCTGGACGTGAACCTCTGCGCCTCTACGATAGAGTTTCAGGTACCAGAGATCCAAGAGTTGCCAACCAACTGTCAGCCTTACAGTACCGTCGTTCTTTTTCCCGAGATGGTGGGCGGGGTCACTGGATGCCAATCTGCCCCCCATTTCTCGAAGGATTTGGCCAGACGTCCACTCGACGCTCGAAGGATGCGTCTAGCCCACGCACAGCCTGCGCCTCGGGCAACTTTCCTCGATGGAGATCACGATGTTGTGCATGGATTGCGTGCTGCCTGCTTGTGCGCACTTGCACAGAGGAAGAGAGGCGGGGCAGGGAGGCCAGTATGAAGCCTGGCCGGTGAGCAAAAGACGGATTGGCGATGGTGATCTCGGATGTGATTCTTTATCTGATTTTAGTTTGTGAATCGGTATGTAGTAGCATTTTAATATGTACAGTATTTCCAGGCATACAATTCTGGACCAACAGGGCCTCTCCTATCCTTTGCCTTCTCACAACGAGTCCACGTAGTCGGCCATATCCTTCATGGTCTTGAACTGCCACTCAAAGCCCAGCGCACCGGCGGGGTACTGATCAGGCTGCCCACCGCCGCAGGCCGCGGGCACGTCGACGCCCCTCTCGATCCAGCAGCTGGCGAGCCCCGCCTTGTGGGCGGGAATGAGGTCGTGCGGCAGCGCGTAGGCAGTGTGGATGATCTTGTCCTTGGGGACGCCGAGGTCTTTCTCGCAGTGTTCGATGAGGTACTCAAAGTTGCGCGGGTTGGGCTTATAGGTGCCAATGTCCTGTGCGGTGTAGATGGCGTCGAACTGGATCTCGGGCAGCTGGTTGGTGAGAGCGCGGCCAAAGGAGGCCTTGTCGACATTGGAGAGAATGACGAGCTTAAAGTGCTTCTGAAGACGCTGGAGGGCCTCCTGGGTGTCCGGGAAGACGGGCCAGTCGCCCACCGCGTTGCCAAAGGCGGCGGCCTCGTCGTCCTTGGACTCGACGCCGAGCTCCTTGGCGATGGCGCGGTACGTGTTGGCCAGGATGTCCGGGTAGAGGCCCTCGGGGTCGGCGCGCTGGACGATGCCCTCGTTCTTGATGAAGAGCTTGAGGAAGCCCATGCGGTCGTTGTAGTGCGGGTGCGACTCGGGCAGGCGGTTCTGCAGCGGGAGGAGCATATTGTAGATGCCCGTCTCCCAGTCGACGAGCGTGCCGAAGCAGTCGAACGTCAGGGCGCCGTAGTCGGTGATGGGGCGAGAGGGCATGATGGCGGCGGCAGCAGATGGAGGAGAGAGGTGAGTGTGGTGGTCACTGAGGAGGCTCAATCAAGCTGGGCGAGAATACGCAGAGTATGGTTTAAGTATTCTAGATGGAAGTGGGTGGTTTCATTTGCCTTGCTCACATAATGTCCCCGCTCTCACGTAAGAGTCACCAGCGCGTCTCATGTAAGAGATAACGTGAGTAGTACATGTACGCAGCTTGGCAGCCCTGACTGCACTCACTCGCCGCGGAGACTTGACAGAACGGTGACGGACTTACTGAACGAGCTTATCCAATTCTCCTCGGGCAAGTCTGAAGAGACTCTAATTTCCTGAGAGATAAAAGCCTTGTAGTATTGTCTGAGGCCTAGAGCTAAAATCATTGTTCCTAATACCCGGACAACTGTAAATGCCCCGCGGCAGCGAATAAGTTAATGGACCCCGCCGACATCATACTTTCCCAAAGAGGAAATTATTAGGCACACGCCGCTTATCCGCGGGATTCGCAGCTCAGGGGCGTGTGTAGGGCAGCTCAGCCTCAACAGATTCACGTCTGTTGCAGTGATTTAATAGATACCTACTTGTATACGCAAAGATATATACAAAGCATGAGGGGGGGGAAAACGTCAAATGCAAGGCGCTTCCATATTTTTCTCTCCCTTATCATTGACCCGACTTGCACAGCATGTCGAGGAGCTCGACGCCCTGTCGTATTCTATCCGTGACAATCTCCAGCTACACCTAGTCAGCAGTTGTTCATGAAGCAACGCAAGGTACTATCAAATAGTAAAGACTCGCCTTTCTCTCATTCAATTTGTCGAAAATGTCAAAATGCGCTGAATCAATGTCATATGTCGCCTTGATAAAGTCGGGATACCGCCCTCCCCACCCAAGCAGCTCGTCATCGCGGAACATGTCGATGGTGCACTCCTCTGTCTGCCCTGACTTGGTCTCCGCCCGCCGCAGGCCGCGTAGCAACACGCCAGGTGGCGGTGCAAGGGGCTTCTCAGGGAATTCATTGAATTCGTAGGTCTGCCCTTGCTTCACCTCGCCCTCGCCCTTGACGGGCATGTGTAGGTACTGGCCTCGCTGCAGCTCAGGCTCGCCGGGCAGTCCGCGCAGTCGGACGGGTTTCCCGCCGTGGGCAGGCCCTGAGAAGGTGGGCACCCTCCAGTGCTCGAGATATATATCGCAGTTCTGGAAGGACTTTTGGATCAGCTTGGGCAGGTTGCTCATGTCCGGGTCGCGCACGCCCGTCTCGGCGTTGGGCACATGATACGGTGTGTCGATGAGGATGGTGCCTGAGACAGTCAAGAGGGCCGTCGGGTCATCCGCGAGGAGACGCGCAATGGTCATGGAAAGCAGGCCGCCCAGCGACCAGCCGCCGAGGAGGATCTTGCCCCGGATGCCGGCGTTGCGCATCAGCACGATGTAGTGCCTGGCCATCTCGTCCATGCCGCCGGGCCAGGTCTTGCCCTCCCAGTAGTTGGGGTCGTGGATTGCCCATACGTCGCGCTTCAGCTCGCCCAAGAGGAAGTAGGCGAACGATGTGCCGCCCCCATCGTGGATGAGGACGAGCGGGAGGTTTGTCGTTCCTGGCGCACTCTGCAGCTTGGACGGGTTGGGGCCGCCGGGGAACATGGTGTCCAGGTATGGCAAAGAGGCTCTCACTGGTGGTTTGAGGAGCTTGAGATGTGATTTTCTCGCAAGCACGTGTGTAGTTAATGTGAAATCAAAATGCCCTTGTCTGTTCAGTTGTCGTTTGACGACACGAATGAGAAAGAAGCTGCTCCGCGCAAGACACTGATGACGGAGTGGCTGTAGGGGTTTGGAGTAAATTTTGGAGTTTTTGGACCCCTAAAATAATGCGTGTTCGAGCGGTGCTTGGCTCGGGCCTTGGCTTTGGTCTTGGCCGCACAGCTACGGAATGACTGAGAGAACGTGTTGATGGGGGTTTGAGAGTCTGGGCGGTGGCGGCGAACGAAACGTGTCGTTTCAGATGGGATCTGAAACGGGCGACTTTGCCACTCCAGATTTCTTTTGACGCTTGGGAGGTGAAGATCGATGCAGTCGTCCACGTGTTCTCACTTTGATGTCGGCGTGTTCCGTCTGATGAAATGCAATATGAAGATTACGGACCGTATCCCTCCTCCCTGGCGATCATGACCAGCCGATATCTCACCAGCGAGCGCTGAACAAATCTGGGACGGGGTTGGAATTTAGGTACGAAATAAACGTGCAGCTGCCGTCAATAGTTTTCTCCAAATCACGGGTACCATCGCCAAGATTTCGATAGTCGCAAGGGTCTCATCATGCCAAGAGTCATAGCTGACGACAGTCAAGACAAGCGGTTGAGGGAGACGACGACGTGTGAGCGTGAATCAGTTGGATAATGTCATCAATCAGGGTATCAATTCGAAATACACTAAATAGAACGCTTCATGTTGGATCATTGCTTCGGCTCCCGGACCACCACCTTCTCCATTGTCGTCGACATCGCCCTCGTCTGTACACGTTGTCTCTGTTCGAGACTTGGTTTTAGATGGCGCTGACCACCACCCTAGAAGGTGAATGCTCGTGACTCAGAGTGTCTCGGAGGAATCAAGTTGGCCAAAGCGCCAACAACCTAGGGGTGTCCCGCTAGCGGCCGCCGCTGACCATATCCTGGACGTTCCGCAGCGAGGACGGTGCGGTAGGTACGCGAGAGCACGCACCCAGGCATCAACGTCGGTTTCTGCGTACATGTATCCGTCAGGCTGATGGTAGCAGCGGCGCGTGAAGATGCAACTGCGCCCGGTGCCGCCCTCACCTGGCGGGTGATGGTGCTGTCAGGCTGCATGTCCGAGGTACCATTGCATTTCAGCTGAGCGCAGCCTGGTCTCATCGACGGCAGGCTGCGTCGGGAATTTTCCTTTTCTTCTTCTCCGTCTTTTGTCATCCCACTCACTCACAGACAGGTGCCGACGAGTCGGAGGAGCTGCTCGTTGGAGATACGCCCGGCAAAGTTGAGGAGCAGCGTCGTGGCCAGCGCCGTATTGGAGCGGTCACTCTGCCACGAGTGTCGCGTGTCCGCCGCCAGGGCCATGGTCACGGCCCACGCGTTGGGCAGCTGCTCCTGCACCGTCCGCTTCATCTCCACCATGGCCGCGGCCGCCTTGGTGGCGTCCCCCAGGTCCTGTGCCTCGACGAGCTGCGCGACCTTGCTGCCGAGTGATTGCCGGGCGTCGCAGCCCTCGCTCGTGAGCATGCCCTCGGCAGTGCGGAGGATCTCGTCCTGGAAACCCTTGCGCTCCCACTCGGACCACGAGCCGGACGCGGCCGCGTGTATGTCCGAGATGACCTGCGGCAGGCGTCTGTTCCGCGAGAGGCGCTGCTCGTCGGCCAGCGCCGACGTGGGGCTGAAGCTTTGCGTGTAGTAGGCTGTCACCATGGCATCAAAGTTCTCAAAGCCCGCGGCCTCCACTTGCTCCATGATGCACTCGAAGCGCTCGTCGAGGGAGGCGTTGGGGGCTGGCTTGCGCGTCCTCAAGTCGGGGCCTGAGGCGTTAGCCGTGGCTGTCGCGGTCGGTAGAGCCATGTTGGCCCCGATGGATGGCCCTGTGGATGTCACGGAGTGAAATAATGCACTGTCGGGCGAGTGCAGCTTGACGCCTTCGTGCTTCCACATCTCTGCCGCTGAATGAAAAGGGGCACTGGCATTTGTCACGGCAGCGTCAAAGCCCAGCGTCCCATCCGCATGCGCAAATGTATTTAGGGCGTGGACCTGGTCTTGCTGAGACACAGGGTTAGACATGGAGGCCTGTGACTGGTGCTGCTGCTGCTGCTGTTGCTGCGGGAATGTAGTGAAGCCAGTCTCGTGCTGCAGATTGTCCAAGCGGCTCGCGAGCTGGGACTGGAACCGTAGACAATCCGCCATAAAGTTCTTCGATTGCTTTCCCCGTCTCGGATCCTGCACGGGGGCGGCGGCCTGGGCCGCATTGGCACTGCTGGCACTGGTATTGGCAGCAGGGTCGGCGTTGGTTGGGGGCGAGAGGAGCCCATGTGTGGTGGAGGAGCGATGTGATAGCGTTGGGCTGGACATGATCAAGGTGTGCGATCCGGCCACGCGCGGGAACAGGGAGTTCTCAGGGTCATCCACGGGCTGCTCGTACAGGTTCGGTTGCGGTTGCTGGTGAGCGAGGAACTGGGGCGGCAGCGCGTGGTGCGGGATCTGGTCAATGCCGGCGTCCGCCAGCGTTCCCGCGATGGTAGGCGACACGGACCCCTCGTTGGCGAGAGCAGGCGTTGGTATCGCGATTGCTGGCGCGTCGATGGCATCGACGCTTTGCGATCGACGGGCTTCGTGGCTCTCGAGACGGGCTTGGAGTTCGCCCAGACGCGCCTTCATACGGTGGCCTGCTCGTGCCTCAAGTCAGCACGCACTGCTCAAGCTTCCAGAAATATATGTAGACCACGGCATAGCAGTCTGTCTGCACTCACGGTAGGTTCTTTGCGCGACTCGATTCTGTATCCTCTTCTTCTCCTTTGGGTCCTTGACCTTTGTCCAGTCGTCCTCTGATCGCAGCTCGCGTGTGGGGGGCAGTGCTGAGTTTGGCATGCTCGTGGCGGACGAGGACGAGGACGAGGACGCCAGCGATGGCTTCTTGGGGGCTGGTGCCGGCGGCGAGGAGGACCTCTTGATCTTGGTCATCCCGGAGATCCCTGTCGAAGTCGTGTTGGGCGTCCACAGCTCAGTCGTGAATGACATGTTGACGGACGAGAGCGACGCGGCGGCGGGGGAAGTCGGGACACACGAGGAGGAAGGGAAGGGTAGTGCCAGACCCGAGGAAGAGCACGGAGGGATCGGGGTATCATTAAAGGGTTCACTGAGATCCGCCTCGTCTGAAAGCAGACGATGGATCACGGCCAATGTGAATTGTGCATGATGGGACGTCTGGGCCTCACCAGGATCGAGATCGACAGACGACACGGCACCGCTCGGGCACGACGAGAGCCGCCAGGCCAGGCCAGGCCAGGCCAGGAGCAGCGCTGTGCACCCTGCGGGCTATTTTTCCGCAATGCGCGCAACCGACATGACCTGACGAGGCAAGGCGAGGCAAGCAGGCAAGGCGGATCTGAGCTTGACAGGGGGCTTGGTGGAGTGGAAGCGACAGGGATGCAGGGATCAATCATCAGACTTGGAGCAGACGGGGGGTGAGGATAGAGAAGGATCTCCAACGTCTCCGTTGATTGACGCCGACCACAGACTGGAGGACACGGAACGCAGCGACAGATGGATGCCTTGTACGTAGATCTACAGCGCATTGAACTCGGCGTCAGTGCTGTTCATTGGCTAATTCATCGCGAATTGCCATCCCCTCATGATGACCACGTTTCGTGTGGGCCAGCCAATATGCACCGACTGGGTGCTGCTGGGTGGCCAAATCCCAATACAGACTTGAACGTAGCGAAACTCCTGTCTTGGGAGTGGCCGGAGGTTTGAAAGAAGATGAACTGGTTTGATTTCACATGGATTTGCGAAAGTGTAATGCATTCTCGGTCAATCACAAATGTCCAGCTACAGACCTGCCAACTTGAACCGAGCCATGTCAAGGCGGTACCAGACGGGTAGCGTCAACGGTATTTCTTAGCCTTCATCGACGTCTGTTTTCTGCAGCCGGTAACATACCGTTACATTGATGGCTTCGTGTTACTGCACGTCCTCGGAATATGCATGTCTTGTGATTACATGTAGCACGGCACGGCCTGGCCGCATCAGGGTGCTCGAGTCTGAGTCTGAGCGGGACTTGCAAGGCCCAGGTCAAGCAAGTTCAAGGACTTCAAGTTGATCCAACGCTGACAGCCACGCTACATGTGGCATCCCCACAGATCAGCGGTTCCCTGAGCTAACGGGATCCCAGATTCAGACGAATGTCGATTTTCGTATGACTGTCAATCCACCAGCTCTCGTACATGCATGCACATAGTCTTCTATGCCGTCTTGCGTGAGACACAACCCGCTCCATAACAAGACATACTATCCACATACCTGGCAGGAATCAGCAGCAAGAATATACTCCGGGATCACATCAAGTATTGGACAATGTTGGGGTAAGGTATGCAGGTGCGCGCTGCTAGCGCTGGGAACTTGTCTGTATCCTGCCGAGTCCGACTCGAGGAACGGAACGACGATCCTCAGTAGGGCTTGGGGGAGAAGACTGAATGAATGCGAGTTGGGGTTGACAGATCACAGACGGTCGTGGTAAGCTCCCCGTGAAGCACACCACAGTCCGCCCCATGGAGCCTCGTTGCAAACGTTGTGGCGGCTAATCGTCCCGGAAAAGTTAGCACGCAGCCTCCCGTCCAAGAGCCGAACTTAACTGTTAATAAGCTTATGTTCTATGCCCAACCCTTAAGCCAGTATGCAGCACGGTAGTTCAGCTACTGCGTCTGGAGATCATGCAACCACCAGGAAGCAGCGAGCAGATCGATGATGCGGTTCTGCTTCATGGCGAGTCCGTTTCCAGATGCGGATATCTGTACGCAAGATGTCTGGTATCTAGTACATAGATGCCACGCTCTCAGTAAAGTAGAACAGCCCAGTGGATCTCCTGTGTACGGCTCTACATGCACGCAGCTGTGGACTCATCCAGCAATGGTAGCGGGAACTCTTTCTTCGGCTGTGCAGACTGGAAAATTAGCCACTGCTTTCATGTTACTACATGCACCTACTGATCGAAGTTTTCCGCCTGATGGTCAGTTCCCATGGCAGGAATGAAGATCGCAGACTCAAGAGAAACCGGGGGAGGCGAACATGATCAGCGTACCACGCGGCTGCCAACGAGACCTCATGACATCGAATCACGGCACTTGCAAGTGCAACTGCCAGGGAGATCATGGATGAACACCTCTGCGGGCGCGGAACTCGTTTGGCCAGTGGTGTGTCAAGAAGATAATAACATAATAGAGGAGCCTCAGAGAGCCCGCTCCGCCACGCTGCAGATATCAATAGCCCTCCGCCTGACAATCTCCTCCAGAGCTTACCGAGAGAATAGAGTCCACTCGGCGTCCCGCGGTTCCCGCCACCATCTTCCCGCCCATGTTCCTGCAGGAACATGGCCCCAGCTGAGTGATCGCCAGAAACGCCTGCTGTTCGGGGATTTCCTTGGCATCCGACGACCCAGCGACAGTGCACGGACTGGGCGGACGTCCAGTTGTCATGCGCAGAGAAAGTTCACTCATCGGGGCTACATGTACTTGACACGTCGAGCTATCGTCGCCAATAGCCAGTGCGCGGTGAAGAGGGGTCGTCACTCGTCGAGCCAGCATGCTGCAGGATGCTCATGTTCAAGTTCATGGCGGAGCCCCCTGCGGCATGGGATGAGTGACCTTGAGATAACCCCGTCGCGTCACCAATCACTCGAGCCGGTGTGATCAATGTCAAAGAGCCCCCATGTCGCACATCAGCCCTGGTCCCATGCGCTGCATGAATCTAGTCATTCGGGTCTCGCCGTCGAACTTTTGAACGGCCCGACAGCCTGCCTGCTCGTTTGGAGCGGCTCGTGGGGCATGGAGAAGGAAAGAAAGAAAGAAAGAAAGGCACGCGCGCGCGCATGACCATCTCCAGTCGCCTTCGTGTTGCATGCAGCCACGCAATTCGGGGCAAGGAACGCGATCCCCCCGGCGCCCCCAATGCGACCCTCCAACAACTGCGTACAACGACAACGTGCCAGCGTCTCGTTGCGTGTGGAGTTGTAGAGAATGGACAGCAAACATGAAGGAGTCAAGTAGAGCAGTGCATGACTCGCCTCCACCCCAAAACCCCTGCACCAGGATCAACAGTCCAAAGTCTAAAGGGTGGTTCAGAGTTTCTGCAACTGCTGGATTATTTTATAGCCCTATTAGACATTATGTGCCATATTCTCTAAGTGTAGGATATTGACAACGTATCCGGCATCCAGTCGTTGCCACTCCTGAATACCTAGTTGATGGCTTTCACAGCGCCTAGGTGTGGGCGATGTGATATCTGGGGGCTTCAACCAAGCTCAGTCTTCACCAAGGACCCTCTGTGAATCCTTCATGCAGTACGCACGTACATGACAAAGTCACAGAGATGTCAAAACTTTAACAACCATGCTGATTGGATCTCTGCTTTGTGCATGGTTACTCCAGGCCGCAATCCCGGATCTACGTGCGAAACCCTCAATCATAGAGAGACAGGGATATTGAAAATCCAATAAACTCAATTCCTGGACCGCGCAGACTCTGAAACCTTGAAGATCCATCTATCAACGTGAAACAGCCGACACGAGACCAGATGGACCCAAAGCGAGCGGCGTCCGCTCAACAGCGGGATGCGCTGCTGCGCACGAGGGCCCCGGTGATCGCCTCACACCTGTCCACGTGCTGAGGATCAGGGATTCAGGGTCCTCTTCACAATAGCCGGTACCATTGCCGACTGGAAGCATGAACTGCCGCTGCTGGCATTATATCCCGCGTAGGATTTTTTCAAAGAGTCAGCAACACGAGCTTGCCCTCTCGACCGACATTTTGAGCGGTATGAGTTTGGCCTTCCTTGATTTCGGAGGCTGGGAAGACGGCAGTTGGGGTAGCGCCAAGCCTGGGTGATGTCCAAATGCCGTCTTCCGGTCTGCACCAGACGACATGCATGCCCACCAGCGCAGGCGAGATTGGCAAGGTCTGGCGTGCGACTAGAAGTATTAGTGTCGAATATTTGCTTTCATCGACCAAAGCATCAATCTAAAATACCGAGTGGGACATGTTCAAGTTGAGATGCGGTCAACCCGTCAAACCCACATGGTGGCGGCCGCCCGCTAGTCGGATACGCGATGAGACGGCAGTGCCGCGCAAGCGCCGGTACATGCCTACGAGCTTACGAACTGTCTTGAATGAATTGCCAACGGTGCGAGGTTGGATCAAAGGTTCCTCCAGATGTCAGAAGAAGCTTGGGGCTGGGGGCTCCGGTGGGGACATGAACCACATGGTGTCAATAAGCTAGACGAGTGGTGTATAAACCACTGGCTTCTTATCATCATAGTCGCTCGACAACTCCGCACAGAACACATGTAGCCTGAACACGAGAAAATCATCATCAGGATCCAGAGGGTTTCCATCGAAGCAGGGCAAGGCTTGATCTTGGTCAACAAGCGCTCATCCTGACTGGGAGTACGCCTCGGGGGATTTTGACTCACTCATGTCTGTCTGTGCGCCTATCAATGGGCCCTCATTTTGGACCAAATCAAAGTGCAGATATGCTGAACACAGGAAACCAGCAAGACTTGTCCTTCTCGGGGAGATGCTTGTGATGTTTCATGGGCCCTAGAAGAGCAAATTTTGTTTCAAGCTGGCGCAATTGCTAATAAGGGACCAAGGAGGATCGGTTCCCTTCGTTGGTGGCTGATAATCGCCTCTCCAAGTAAGGAGACTCATCGCACTGCTCACAATTCTGTCTCGCACGTGCGGGCCATCTCGACAATCCCTCTGCATCTTCCCATCGTTGATCGACTGCAACAAGTTGGACGTGGCTTTCAGGCTTCTTTCAGGATCTTGCGGGCAATATTTGTATCCAGTGAAGCCTAACCCTGTGACTTGACGCAACACGACGGTCACCACGGAAAGCATCAAGGGGTGAGATCTGCTTCCCCTTTCTTGAAAAAGATACTCTTCAATGGGTAAGTATGCCGAAATTCGACTCTGCGAACGCCATCACGTCAACCAGACCCGGAGGAATATGTAGGGTAGGCAGGTAGGTCACATGGATGATTACCTAATTTGCAATTGGACCCCAAGGGCTCTCCTTGAACCTTTTGGCGGCAGGGCAAGCCAGCTACGGGGGTTTCTGCGTCTTGTGCAAGCGTATCCGTACGTACGAGCCGACGAATGAGCGATTGAGACGCCTTGCGCAACGGAATGGACTGGGTGGCATGGTTGGTAAGGCTGTCTAGCAGACCCCACCACCTCCGCCCGAAACGAAATTGACTGGAGTTGTTTGGCGGGCGTCGAGATTAAGGATTCGCTTCTAGACACGCAAAGCTGAGCGCCGCTGCGCATACAGGTGTTGAGGCAGACCGAGTCGTGGAAGATGACGGATATACTCCGTTACACTGAAGGGACAGGGACACAGTGTTCACGTTCAACTTTACAAACATGATCCTCGCGATTGAGCCTGGGGCCTGTAGGGCAGGGGAAATAAGGTTGTGGCGCCTGGGCTCCCGTCATTAGCAGTGAGAATTTAGCGACTGCCACCTCTAGCCGATGCCGCTTACAGCCTATGGGAGGGAGCAATTGTACGGCATGGCCAATCAGAGCCAGTCTGGTCTACAAACAGGGGGCCACCATCGTCATCGCCCCCAAGGCTCCAACTCCCACGAGTGGCAGTGACTGATTCCTCTGGTCCACGCGTAGTGAGACGGACTGGCCCACGAGGCAGCCCGTCATTACAGACAAAACCTCGAGGTGTCCTCTGACCTTGAATGGCTGAGACGCTGGTTCTCTCGGTCTTCAATTCTATCCTCTACCACTGTCCTTGAAGCAGGCCGCTGCTGCGTACTGGCGTCGACCAGATTGTCTTGTACTCGCGCTGCCCCGATGCCAGACGGGTCCCGCGAAACCACCACCATTCGACCGCCTTCAATACTGCGCACACGACACAAACCCGTCGGAGCTGGCCTGGAGACTACAAAACATCCAGACCTTTGAGGCCTTGGGCCATCGCATCGACCAACATGGCGCCACGTCCAACTGGCTCCCTCTGGGGCAAGGTTAACACCCTCTCCAAGAAAAACTCCATCATCCTCTACCAGCGCCACACGATTTCAACGCTCTATACTGCCATATTCCTGCCGGTTCTACTCGCTGTCTATTTGGGGATTATGCGAAATGTCAACAATCCCCAGGACGATTATGGTATCGCCGAGCCTCGCCCCATCATGTCGCTGGGCGACGCGCTGGGCGCTGCGGATGGATCCCGCAACACGGTCCTTTTCATAAACAACGACCTGACGGGAGGAGACATTGACGCCGTCATTGACGATCTTGTCAAGGATGTCGAATCCGCCGGCAAGTCAGCCGAGCGTCGCTCCTCGCCGGATGCTGTCAATGAGATTTGCAAATCATCTTTCCAGGGCGCTTCCAACTGCTTCGGCGCGGTCATCTTCAACTCGTCACCCAATGAAGGCGATGGCGCTGGGTGGAACTACACCCTGCGGGGCGACCTTGCGCTGGGGCGTGAGGTCAAGGTCAAGAAGGACGACAATGACGCTCAGGTCTATATGCTGCCCCTCCAGCGCGCTGTCGACAACGCTATCGTCCGCACCAGCAACTCCGACTCGAGTGAAATCGGCAAAACCGAAGAATGGGCTTTCACTGATGAGACGGAGAAAGAGAGGGAGGAAGGTGTCCGGAGGCGATACCAGAGCAGCTTCACGCAGTACCTCAGCGTGGGCCTCATTGTCATCTTCTACGGCCTTGTGTACCGCCTCCCTGGTTCCATGGCGACCGAGCGTGAAAAGGGTCTCTCGCAACTCATCGACGCCATGATGCCTACCAACTACGAGTCGGAGGCTCAGCTGGCGCGCATGCTGTCGTTCCTCTACTCATACACTTTCACGTACTTTCCTGGCTGGGTCGTGGCGGCTGTCATTATTCGCATGATGATTTGGAAGCAGACCAACATTGGCATCGTCATGGTGTTCTTCATCCTGGCGGGCATGTCGGTGACTAGCATGGGCATCATGGGCGGCACGTTCTTCAAAAAGGCACAGCTGTCGGGACCTGTCAACGCCATCGTCTTTCTGCTCCTGGCAGTGCTGGCCCAGGCGATCCCCGACCCCCCGACGGCGGCCGTTGCTGTCCTGAGCGTTTTGTTCGCGCCTTGCAACATTATCTTCATGTTCATTCAGATTGCCAAGTATGAGCGCGACGGTCTCTCTACCGATCTTCTCAAGGGACCCCCCGACAGCAACTCTACTCTCCCTGGTCTGGCTCACTTTATCTTTGCGGGGGTCCAGTTCGTTGTGTATCCCGTCATTGCTGCCTTTATCGAGCGTGCTATACATGGTGTCGCCGCCGAAAGCCGCAAGATCTACAAGGGAGGCCCCAACGAGAAGCCCATGCACGACGCGGTTGTCATTCAGGGCTTGACCAAGATTTACCGTCCAAGCCTCTTCCGCCGCATTTTCTCTTTCATTGTCACGCCTCGCGCCCCTACTGTGGCCGTCGACAACCTCAGTCTTGTTGCCAAGCGAGGGCAGATTGTCTCCCTCCTAGGCGCGAACGGCAGTGGCAAGTCAACGACCCTCGACGCTGTGGCTGGCATTCACCGTTTCAACCAAGGCAGTGTGTCCATCGATGCGTCCGGCGGGGTTGGTATTGCTCCCCAGAAGAACGTACTCTGGGACGAGCTCACCGTCCTGGAGCACCTTCGTCTTTTCAACCAACTCAAGTCACCCGGTGCTACAGCCTCCGCGTACGAGCTGCACCAGCTTATGGAGGCAATCGGCCTATCGCAAAAGAAGAAAGCACAGGTCCACACCCTATCGGGCGGTCAGAAACGCAAGTTGCAGCTCGGCATGATGCTCACAGGCGGAAGTGCCGTCTGCTGTGTTGACGAAGTTTCCTCGGGCATCGACCCCTTGTCCCGTCGTAAGATTTGGGATATTCTTCTCTCTGAGCGCGGCAGCAGGACTATCATCCTGACCACCCATTTCCTTGACGAAGCCGACCTGCTCTCGGATGACATTGCTATTCTCTCCAAGGGCACCCTCCGTGCCCAGGGCTCGCCTGTTGTTCTGAAAGACCGTCTTGGAGCTGGATATCGCATTCACGTCCTGAACGCCAAGAATGTTCGCAGCCCTCCTTCTTTGCCTGGCGTCAAGTGCCAGGTCACCTCTACCAACATCACCTACACAGCACCATCGTCCGAGATGGCCGCAAACGTTATCCGGGCCTTGGAGGGTGCTGGTCTGGAGTATCGCATGTCTAACCCTACTATTGAGGATGTATTTTTGGCCGTCGCAGAGGAAGTACAGAATGAGCAGGGTTTCCTGCCAGGTGCCACCTCAAGCGAAGGTATCTCACCGATGGAGTCCGAGAGTTCTGGTGACCATCTTACCCGCGAGAAAGCACCTGGCCGCGGTCTCGAACTTTTGTCTGGCAAGCAAACTGGCGTGATGAAGCAAACCATCGTCTTGGTCAAGAAACGTTTCACCCTCTTCAAGACTAACTGGATCCCATATGTCGTCGCTCTTCTCATCCCAGTAGTCGCTGCTGCGGCTGCTCAGACTTTCCTTCGTGGTGAGGAGCAGGTTGGCTGCTCGCCCAGAGAGCAGTCCAACTCTGAGGATGGTCAGAAGTGGCAAGATATCTTTGACAACGTCCTGATAGCCGCTGGTCCGCGTGGCGATTTCCCATATGGCGGCAGCTCTGGCAGTGTCCTGAACACAACAGGTGCTTCCACTGAAAACATTGACATTGAACTTCGCAACTCGTTCTCTGACCTGCGTCGCTACATTGAGGATAACCGCAAGGACGTCAATCCGGGCGGCTTCTGGCTCGGATCTTCCGACCAGGCGCCAACGATTGCCTACCGCGCTGATGGAGGCACATCGGTGTACACGGCAGTCATCATGCAGAACCTGCTCAACACACTCAAGTCCAATGTCAGCATTGCTACACAGTACAGGGCATTTGATAGCAGCGTACCTGGCATCACCACCGACCTCATTATTGCCGCTGCCATCTTTACCATTGCCTGTGGTATCGCACCGGCCTTCTTCGGTTTCTACCCCAACGTGGAGCGCAGGACAAACGTGCGCAGCTTGCAATACTCGAGCGGTGTCCGCTCGCTGCCTCTGTGGTGCTCGCATCTGGCATTCGACTTTTCGATATCCCTGGTCGCTTTCGTTGCTGCCGCTGTCGCTTTCGTCGCATCGTCAGATGTGTGGTATAACGGTGGTATACTCTTCCCGGTCTTCCTCCTCTACGGGCTGGTGGCTATCCTCCTGGCTTACGTCTGGTCCTTGTTCATGGCCAGCCAGCTGGCCACATTTGCTGCCATTCTTGTGCACAACACTGTTGGATTTGCCATCTACTTCATCGCCTTCTTGTTCATCATCAGCTTCAGCCCCGTGCAAGAGACCGAGCGTAACATCTTGATTGCTCACTACACCATCGCCGCCTTCTTCCCTAACGGCTCGTTATTCCGTGCTCTAATGGTCGGACTGAACCTGTTTGCCACGACCTGCGATGGTGACCAGCTGTACAGTTTTCCGGCAGACATCAATGCCTACGGTGCTCCCATTCTCTACCTCGCTGTCCAGGCAATTATTCTGTTCAGCTTCATCCTGTGGAATGACTCGGGCAAAAAGCTTCCTAGCTTCATGAGAAGCAAGAAGAAAGTGCAACAGTCTTACCGTCCAGACATTGACGACGCGGAAATCGCAGGGGAGACCAGCCGTGTTTACGCCGAGAACAACCAGGATGGTTTGCAGGTCAAGAACCTGGTCAAAGTGTTCGACAAGCACACGGCCGTCGACAATGTCACTTTTGGCGTGCAGCACGGCGAGATCTTTGCCTTGCTGGGGCCCAACGGTGCGGGCAAGTCGACCACGATCTCCTTGATTCGTGGTGACATTGCCCCCAGCGCTGGAGGCGGCGACGTGTTCGTTGAACAGGTTTCGGTGACTGACCAGCGTGCACTCGCTCGGTCCAACCTGGGAGTTTGCCCACAATTCGACGCCCTCGACAACATGACCGTACTAGAACACCTCCGCCACTACGCACACCTGCGTGGTATTAGTGATGTTGAGCGCCAGGTGCAGGCAGTCGTTCGCGCCGTCGGTCTTGAGGCATTCCAGCATACCATGGCTCCTCATCTCTCTGGGGGTAACAAGCGCAAACTCAGCCTTGGAATTGCGTTGACTGGCAACCCGTCAGTGATCCTGCTCGATGAGCCTTCTTCCGGTCTGGATGCCGCTGCCAAGCGAATCATGTGGCGCACCCTCGAGACCATTGTGCCAGGTCGCTCGATCCTCCTCACCACACACAGCATGGAGGAAGCTGATGCGCTTGCGAGCCGGGCTGGTATCATCGCGCAGCGCATGCTGGCCGTCGGCGAGGTTGACACCTTGCGTCGACGCTTTGGTGATAGTCTCTACGTGCATCTCGTTTCGCGCACTGCCCCTTACTCTACCCCGGAAGAGATGGAGCGCATGCGTGCCTGGATCCAACACCTGCTCCCCGCCGCGCAGATCGAGGCGGAGACATATCACGGCCAGATGCGCTTTAGCGTCCCAGCTCGTGCCGTCCTGGAGCGATCACGCCAGACACCCGGGCCTGTCGACGCTGCGCAGACATCTGCGAGTGCCATTGGCCAGTTGATCGTTCTCCTTGAGGAGCACAAGAACGTGCTTGGCATCGAGCACCACTCCGTTAGCCCTACGACGCTGGAGGATGTCTTCCTCGCTATTGTCGGGCGACATAATGTGCAGGAAGAGGGCTACGCAAAGGAGGCGGATGCCGCCGAGCAAAGAAGACAGGCGCAGGCTGGCTTCTGGGGCCGTATCGACTGGGCCAAGGTCAGGAAGGTCACTCTTGGATTTTGAAGGTCTTTGACATGTAAGAGGTGAGGATATGTGTGTGGATTTACTTGATACTCCCTGAGGATGAGCTGCTCTCCTCTACGTTTGCTTGTTGATATAGCTTTAATGTATTTATGATGATAGACCGTGGAATTACCACTTCTGAAAGATGCATCCCCGTGTGCTGTCATCGGCTGAACTGCTAAAGTAGTCGTCATATACCACTACTACCCCTTCGTCGTCAGCATTGAGCTAGAATCCCGGCGACGACAGTCTTTTGGCTCTCAGGCAAACATTCCAGCCTCCGTAGATGATGCTCTCGGCTTGGGGACTGTGTCCCTTGGCAGAAAAAGAACATCATTCTCGCCACTGATCTGCCCTCTGCTTGTTTCAGGTCTCACGAAGATTTGCCAACGCTGTCAAATTGCCACGAGGTTTCCCCCGATGTAACTTAGATTCTAAAAGGTGCCGTGTACTCGATGTGCACTCCCCTCCTGCAGGTAACATATGCATACAGTAGTGGATTCCTTGTGAGAAGGGGGCGTGTGCCTTCGCTAATGCCAGCGACCCGTGAAGCATACCGATTACGAGGCCGCTCCCCGAACAGCAGGCCACAAGGGGTGCTGCAAGTCCTGCCGTGCCAATTCCATTGCTGCATGTGTACTTGTAGTCGAACACGAGAATGCAGCGAATGGCCCGCGATGCGCACCACATGCGGCTTGTGAGGCGACGGGGGCTGAGGTCAGGCTTTGGCTAATTGACAAGAATGGGAGGTGGTTGATCTGCGCTTGTTTTTTGCCTTTAACATGCGCCGCAGTGTTGGCCACACCACCCTTCATCAACAAGTACCTCGCATAGGCTAAGATCCCCCGCAGGATTACATCCAAGTCCTCGTTCAACAAGGGATACACACCACGCAGGCACGAAGGATGCGCTACTCCTGTAGGTGATGAGCGATACGCGATCTGGGCAGAACGCCATTTGGGCAATTCGTGAGCAGGGCTTGGCAAAGCGTGCGGCTCGATTTTGCTGTACAGGGTCATGGCCATCTTCGTGTGAACCGATCCAGCTGCGCCGAGAGGATCCAAGCAGGTAATGATGTTCATCTCATTAATGTAAACAATCTGTCTTTGGCAGTAGATACCTAATTATGACCCATGTGTCCTTTCTGTCTCTTCACGCTTGCGTTAGTCACGGTCAAGAGGAACTGTCGCTGAGGATCATGAACTCACTAGATCAGGCTCAGGCCCCCTTTCCTCCACTCCCTGCTGTCCTCTCTCGGCGTGCTCTTCTTGCGACGCCGTCGGTGTCCTAGTCCCTAAAGGAAGCACTGCGTGCCCTGTGACGGCTTTCTGCTTTACGCAATGAGGTCGGCCACATTCATGGGCATCTCATCAATCTGTGTCGAATAGTACACTAAAGTCGTTTGTTAGCGGGCGGTCGGTATTGCAAAACTTTTGCCAGACTTACATTCGATATCGCGCAGGATGCGCACATCCTCGGTCGTAACAAAGTTGATCGCGACACCCTTGCGCCCAAAGCGACCGCTTCGGCCTATGCGGTGGATATAATTCTCACGGTTGCTTGGCAGGTCGTAGTTGATGACCAAGCTGACCTGCTGGACGTCGATACCACGCGCCCAAACATCCGTCGAGATCAGCACGCGGCTGTTGCCCTGGCGGAAGTCTTGCATGATGCTGTCGCGCTCCTTCTGGGGCATGTCGCCATGCATGCTGCTGACCGTGAAGTTGGCTTCGCGCATCTTGTCGGTGAGCCAGTCGACCTTGCGCCGCGTGTTGCAGAAGATGACGGCTTGTGTGATGGTGAGGGTGTCGTAGAGATCGCAGAGCGTGTCAAACTTCCAGTCCTCCTTCTCGACGGCGATAAAGTATTGCTTGAGGCCCTCGAGGGTCAACTCGTCACGCTTGACGAGAATGCGCACGGGGTCGGTCATGAACTTGGTTGTCATGTCGAGCACATCGTATGGAAGGGTAGCGCTGACGACGACGACCTGTGTCGCCGGGGGCAGATAACGGTAGACGTCGTAAATCTGCTCTCGGAAGCCCTTGTTGAGAAGCTCGTCGGCCTCGTCCAGCACCAGCATCTTGATGTGCCTCGTGCGCAGGTGACGTCTCCTGATCATGTCCGCTACTCGCCCGGGCGTCCCTGACACAATGTGCTGGCCGTAGTCGAGCTTCCTAATATCCTCGCCCACGTTGGTGCCGCCAATGCAAGCATGGCACTGCACGTTCATGTAGTCGCCGAGTGCCATCACAACGGACTGAATCTGCGTCGCCAGTTCACGCGTCGGGGAGAGAACGAGGGCCTGCGTCTCGCGGACAGCGGTGTCGATGACCTGGAGCATGCTGATCGAGAAGGTGGCTGTCTTTCCGGTGCCGGACTGCGCCTGGGCGATGGTGTCGCGACCCTTGCAGACCTGCACAATGGCGCGCGACTGAACGGCAGAGGGCGATTCGTATCCATAAGCGTAAATTCCGCGAAGAAGATTCTCTGTACACGTGTCAATGCGAAGATCGAAGCTGCGGTTCGGATAGCGTCTTACCCTTCAGCGACATGGATTCGAACGTCGGGTGGACCGTAACCTCCTTGGACGTGGAGAACTCCATGCGCTCCTCCGCCTTGCGATCGATTCCTCCTGCGCCTTCAGCCATGATTGCGATGTTTGTAGAAGAAGAGGGTAAGTTTGCACCTGTCAAATGGGGCCAGCGGCGTCGCAAGTCGCGATAGTCGGCCTGGGATTTTTTAAGGTTTCCGGCGTTTCTTCGGTTGCCTGTGCCCGACTGCAGGGTAGCTCACACGCATCTACCTATGTCAATCAGGCCAGCCAGTACTGTTGCTCCTTCAACAATCGACATCATCCACGATGCAGCTCAAGGCACCCTTTCTGTCGCTATTTTTGGCCGCTGGCTTTTGTCTAGCTTCCGACGATGTAGATGATACTCCTCTTCCGCTCGTGATCTGGCACGGGCTCGGCGACACCTTCGATGGCGAAGGCATCCAGCAAGTCGCTTCGCTCGCCGAGGCGATCAACCCAGGCACATTCGTCCATATTGTGTCTCTAGGCGACGACGCAAATGCCGACCGCTCCGCGACATTCTTTGGCAATGTTACGAGCCAGCTCGAGACGGTGTGCGAAGCGCTCGCCAGCCACCCGATTCTTTCGACTGCGCCAGCCATCGATGCGCTCGGGTTCTCGCAAGGCGGCCAGTTCCTGCGAGGCTATGTCGAGCGATGCAACAACCCGCCCGTGCGCAGCTTGGTCACGTATGGCAGTCAGCACAATGGCATTGTAGAGTTCAAGGCATGCGGAAGCACGGACTGGCTGTGCAAAGGTGCCATGGCCCTGCTCCGCTTCAACACGTTTGGCGCTTTTGTCCAGAGCCGCCTGGTGCCCGCGCAGTACTATCGCGATCCGGCCGACTACGATGCATATCTGGAGGGGTCCAACTACCTGGCCGACATTAACAATGAGCGCGCGGAGAAGAACGAAAAGTATGCGGAGCGGATTGCCAAGCTCAGCAACTTTGTCATGTATCTCTTCAGTGAGGACACGACTGTGGTGCCAAAGGTGACTGGCTGGTTCCAGGAAGTCAACGGTACGGACGTGATTCCTCTGCGGAAGCGCCAGATGTATAAGGAGGATTGGCTCGGCTTGAAGAAGCTCGACGAGAAGGGCGGGCTGCGCTTCCGGTCGATTGACGGTGATCACATGCAAATCACAGAGGAAGCTCTGAACGAGACCATGTCGGACTTTTACGGCCCATACGGTCGCACATTCAAAGCAGAGAAGGCGGCAGAGGGTTTGTGGGACGAATTGTAAGCAGATAGATATTGTCAGAAATTAGGCCGCTTTGATTGAGAACATTCAATTCAACTCAGTGGGTGCTCATCTACATGTATGCTCCCATTTTTGCCAAACGCCTGAACGCCGTCTTCATGACCTGGAACCGCCTCCCAATACTCTCTAGTCGATTGACTTTCTCGCGGCAGCCTTCTGCTTCCTTAATGATGACTTGCGCTCTGCGATCTGCGCGTCTAGCTTGTCGTCGTCGCCCTCTGTCGCCACCTCCTTCTTCGCCTTCTTGGTCTTCTTTGCCACGGGCTCCTCGGTCTCTCCCTTCAGCGTCTTCCTCTTCTTGCCCACGTTCGCCTTCTCGGTGGCGCCCTCGAGCTCCTCGGGCCCGTTGGCGACAACGTCGGTCTCGTTGAGCCACAGTTCGTCCGTCATCCAGATGGGCAGAGCCGCGGACTCGGGGCCCTTGATGTATATGCTGCGAACGTTGCGCCACTGCTGGGGCACCCACTTCTGCACCAGAGCCGTCGCGACGGCATCGACATTGTCGGCAATCTGCTCGGCGGTCATACCCGAGTACCCGATCTTGACAGCAGTGTTTGTGGTAGGCGAGAGGCTGACAAGAGCCGAACCAATGGCGCGGGTGATCTCCTTGGCAATCAAGGTTGGTGAGGCGGCGTTGACCTGACCATCTTCCTTGCCAGGACGCTTGCGCTTGCCGGCAACCTTGGAACCCTTGGGCTGCAGGATGACGGGGATGGGGCGCTTCAGCTGGCTCTTGTAGAATGTCTTGCCGAGGACCTTGGGAATGCGGGTGATGATGCGGTCATCGGCGAGGAAGAGGTCGTGCTCGGAGTAGAGCTTCCTCTGGGCCTCGTACTGGCTGAACTTGGCCTTAAGCTTGGTGAAGTCAATGACCCTTGTGATGCGCTTGCGCAAGTCCTCGGGAAACTCCTCATTGTCGACAATGTCCTTGTAGGCGCGCTGGGGATCCGCGGTGATGAGGCAGATGGTGGTCGACTCGTCGGTGTTCAACGGGTGAGGGAGCGTGATCTTGCCAGGCTGCAGGCGCGGCTTGTCGACGACGTGGCGCTTGGTGGTCAAGGTGAGCCAGATGGGGGTGTCCTCGGCGTCCGCATCGCCCTCCTCGTCGTCGAGAAGATTGCGCTTGTTGGACTCGGTGGCCTTTTGTTGCGAGGCCTTCTTGATGTGGGAGAGAAGAGCCTTCGAAGCTTTCAGGGTCTTTTTGTGGTAAGTTAGCATTGAGCCATCGCATCGTGCGGCAGCCGGGCAGAACAAACCTGGTCGGGATCAATCTTGACGAGCGACTGCTCGCCGACAGCGACGAGTTCTTTGGAGGGCGCCATTGTATGTTGGGATGATAGCGACCGTGGATTGAGGTTCGACAATAGTGATCAATGGAAATGCTGGTGTGTGGGGTGGCTGGCTGGCTGGCGGAAAATCACCATCCAGATTTTTTTTCTGCCGTGCTGAGATTCGAGAGCGGTGAGTGTCCATTTTGGTGGGGCCTCCGGCGTGGAGCTCCGAGTTCGAGTCCGGACTCGGCGCTAAAAGAGCTCCACCAGAAGCCGAACCTTCGGGGTTAGATTTGGACCAGCCTATTTACTAGGTTCGAAAGGCGCAAGATGGTGCGATCCTAAGAAAGTGAAATTTCAGTCATGTCTTTCAACCAAGTAGTCTCGTCATCGAACGGCAAGCCAATCAAAGCATCCTTGTTGCTGACATGTCCCGCCGGGTGGGAATGCTTGGTCACGCAATGCCGGTGCATTTGGAGGTGATCGTATTGACTGCATCAAAGACAAGCAGCATCTGATTCGCTCAGATCCTTTGAGTGTCTAGTCTACAATCCAATGACTGTAAAAGTCTACAGACAATGCGCCAACCCAGGAAGTGGCTGTTCCTCGCTACCACCTCCAGAGACCTCCAGGCATACTATCGCTGGGCTTCTATTGCCAGCCTCTAATCCATCACGTGCTGTTTCCGACCCAAGTGGACAGCGAGTATCACTTCCGCTTAGAACTTGGTCCCCGTGCGTTGGTTCACATGTACCGGATGGCGCATCGGCAAACCCTGCATGGTCCTTTAGGACGATGCCAGAGGTGAGCTGGGAGGTCGATCGTCATCTCGCCATGCCATTGCACCACCGATAAGGCCCATCAGTATGCAACACTCTCTGGGGTCGTTTTATTGAGGCAGAAAACTGATCCACCTCGAAGCGCGACCGCCTGTTCGCGTTGGCGAGATATAAAAATGGCAAAGGCGCTATGTCACCGAGGACTACTGGGACACAGCTCTGTCTTCGGCGCAAGCAGCCGGCATTTCTACAATCTTGCAGATCTCGAGAAACTCACCATGTCTGATAAGATTATGATTCAAGAGAACAATCCAGACTCAAAGTCTGTGAGCCATCCATCATCATCAGACAATGGTATAGTCCCATCTGAGCAGTCGTCCACTGAAGATCCCAGCCAGGATGGGTACTTGGGCTCAACGAGGAATCATGTATTCGCTGATCCCTCTGTTGCTGAGTATTGGCGCACCAAGTACGAGAAGGCTGAATATGAGAACCGCCACAGGTTTGATCCTGACTTCCACTGGTCCTCTGACGAAGAGAAGAAGCTGGTCCGCAAGGTATTTGACGACTGCCAAGATTGTGAGTACCGGACGGGCTGATACGACGTAGGTTGACAAGCGAATCATGACTTGGGCGTGGCTCATGTTCCTTGCCCTCGACTTGAATCGCAGAAACGTGAGCCGAGCCATCACCGACACGATGTTGGATGACCTTGGAATGGACACAAATGACTTCAATTATGGCCAAACGGTATGCACAGACACTCCCTTTCTTGTCCAGTCAACTGATATGTATTCCAGATCTTCCTCGTTTCCTTTCTCGCGGCCGAACTCCCCAGCGGACTGGTTAGTAAAAGGCTTGGTGCTGATGTGTGGATTCCATTCATCATCACCGCATGGTCTATCACCGGAGCCTGCCAAGCCTTCCTGAGCACCAAAGCAGCATTCTTTGCCACGAGAGCTATCCTTGGTCTTCTCATGGGAGGCTTCATCCCGTAAGTTCAACCGAGCCATTTGGCACATATTCACGCCTAAACTTAGCTTTGCTGACACTTGCACAAGTGATACGGTCCTCTATCTGACATACTTCTACAAGTCCAATGAACTGCCCATTCGACTCAGCTGGTTCTGGACAGCCCTTATGATTGTCCAAATTATTGGATCCCTCATCGCCGCTGGCGTCCTTCAAATGGGCGGAGTGGCCGGGTGGGCAGGCTGGCAGTGGCTCTTCATGATCGAGGGCCTCATCACGCTGATCATCGGTGTGTTTTCCTGGGTTCTGATGCCACCCGGCCCGTGTCAAACCAAGAATTGGTTCCGCGGAAAAGATGGCTGGTTCAGCGAGCATGAAGAAAAGATTCTGGTCAACCGCCTCCTGCGGGACGACCCCAGCAAGGGCGACATGAACAACCGAGAAGGCGTCGGACCCAAGCTCCTGTGGAAGACGCTCAAGGACTGGGAACAGTGGCCTCTTTACCTCATTGGCCTGATGAACTACATCCCACCAAGCCCACCGACCACCTACCTCTCGTATGTCCTTCGGCAAGTGGGCTTCTCGACCTTTGAGGCGAATCTCTTGGTCATGCCGTCGCAGGTCCTCTTCGCGGCGCAGCTTTTGCTCGTCACATGGGTCTCGCAGAAGTACAATGAGCGATCGAATGTGTCTTCCACTTCAAACATTTGGATATTTCCGTGGTTGGTTGCGCTCATCGCCATGCCGGCTGACTCTAGCCCTTGGGCCCGCTACGCTGTCTTGACCGGACTCGTAGGCTACCCGTACTGCCATGCCATCCTGGTCGCCTGGAACGCGAGGAACAGCAACGCTGTACGTACACGCGCAGTGAGTGCTGCGTTGTACAACATGACGGTGCAATCCGGCAACATCATTGCATCCAATATCTATCGGGAGGATGATAAGCCCCTGTATCCTCGAGGGAACCGCATACTCCTCGGTATCTGTGTCTGGAACGTCTTTCTCTTCTACTTTGTCAAGGCATTTTATATCTGGAGGAATAAGGTTCGCGATAGGAAGTGGAATGCCATGACCAAGGCGGAGCAAGAGGACTATGTCCTGAACACCACTGATGAGGGGATGAAGAGGCTGGACTTCAGGTTCGTCCACTGATGTGTGGCTCTGCGGTTGGGAGTTGCTGAGCCTTGATGGCGGTAGCTGTATTCAAGCCGCACCGTGATAGTCCGTAGTTCCCTATTTAGATATCGCTCAACAGTGTCGTGTGCAGACCAACGACAAGGATTTCCTTTTGCTTAGGCTATGTTTACGTTGAACTTGTGAGGAAGAGACTCTAATACTTGGTACTTCCAGAGGCTAGTATCGTCGCTCTTCTGGACGTCGCGCCATGGGCACATGGCGTGCGATTACCATGTGGCGAAGACTTCCTCAATGACACTGCGTCAACAAGATCCGTTGTCTTCCTATCGTAAGTTTTGCTTCTGGCGCTTGGCCAATGAGAAGAAGCTCCATATCTCTTGAATTGATGGCATCAGCGCACCCAATGATGATGCCATCTTCAGGGGGTATGATGAGTGGTCGATAGCCCGCGCACGTTCGCCCTCTACTACATAGTCGCATCCGTTTACATTGCGGGGTAACGGTCTTTCAGTGATATCAGAGGTGAATTCTCCATCTCGATAGGTAGCTCTAGGTGGTTGTGATGACCTGCGTTGCTGTTGGCCCAAACCAAATGACAGAATGAAGGTTGCATATTGCGACATGCAGCGGCCGGACACGTCAAACTGGGAATCGAAACTCGGGCGAAGCGACACAGTCAGTCTTATAGCTCAAAAAGACTTATAAGGCACGGGTGCCCTTGGAAGCAGTTAGTGTAGTCAACTACTCGCCTTCCAAGAGACTGGAGCTTGATCCATTTTAAATCAAGTCGAAACACAAACATGGCTCCCTCTGCTACCGAGACCAACGTCCCGTCCGACATCAAGTCTGTCCATGTTGCAAAGGGTCCGATCAAAGGTCTGGCCACCTTGGGACATGCTGGATCTGCCGTACCAACAGACGAGCCACTCTCCGAGGTTCTCGCTGACCACCGCGAACCCTTGAAACTTTCCGGTGCTCTCGACAAATTCAAGTACTTTGAGTCTACACCTGTAATCGGACGCGAGTATGTCGATGCAAACCTAGCCGAGATTCTGAGGGCTCCTAACTCGGATGATTTGATTCGTGATCTGGCCATCACGAGTAAGTGCCATTCTGTCCGAGACCCCACGCGTCCAGCGTAGTAACATGAGCAGTCTCACAGCGCGGCGTGGTCTTCTTCCGCAAGCAGGATGATATCACCAATGATCTGCAAAAAGAACTGGTCGACCGCCTGGGCAAGCTCTCTGGCAAGCCGGCTTCTTCAGGGCTGCACATTCACCCAGTCATGAATGCGGGTCGAGAAGACAACCGTGACGATGCGATCAGTGTCATCTCCTCCGTCCGAGCCAAGAAGCTCTACTCGGAGAGATTTGCCGCGAGGCAGCAGTCGCAAAAGAACCAGTGGCACTCGGATATCACGTTTGAGCCTGTGCCCAGCGACTACACGCTCCTGAGACTGACGCAGCTCCCTAGTACCGGTGGTGGTAAGTCCTTCTTCTCTGGGCGCACTCAGGCGAGAACCTCAGCTCACATGAAGTTCATCAGATACACTGTGGGCCTCGGGCTACGAAGTTTACGACCGTATCTCAAAGCCTCTCCAGTCTCTCCTTGAGACACTGACGGCCACCTATGCGCAGCCAGGCTTCAACGAAGCCGCGGCCCGCAACAATTTCAAGATCTATACCGCAGAGCGCGGGTCTCCTGAGAACGTTGGTGAGCTTCTCGAGGCCGTCCACCCTGTCGTCCGCACCAACCCTGTGACGGGGTGGAAGTCGCTCTTTGCTGTTGGGTACCACGTTCAAAAGATCAATGGCCTGAGCGAGGACGAGTCCAAGCACTTTCTGTCTTGGTTCTACCAGCTCATCACGGAGAATCATGACCTGCAGGTCAGGCACCGTTGGGAGAACGTGAACGACCTCGCCATCTGGGACAACCGGTGTGTATATCATGCCGCAACGCCTGATTATTTGTTTGGCGATTTTGGCGAGAGGTCAGGATCGAGGGCTGTGAGCGTGGGCGAGAGGCCCTATTTCGATTCTCAGAGCAAGAGTCGCTTTGAGGAAACGACAAGGGCGTACCGGGATGGATCGAAGTAGTTGGATGCTACGATAGGTCCTTATTTTTCGCGCTTTCTTGCGCCCGATAGCGAAACGATTGTTATGTGGACTCCTCTCCGCTATGGTCAAAAGATGCATAAGAGAACACCCAGTCCAGTGAGTGATATAGCCCCTAGGTGCTCGTCGGCTCGACCACCAGTGATGCCTAGCGCGCCACCGCTCAACGTTACCACGCTAGACAGGGTAGGTGGTGTGAGCCAAATTATCCTCTCGCTGAGTCCAGCCGGAGGGTTCCAAAATGAAGTTCCAGACTTCCCAACTGCCACGAAATCATACCAAGTAGACTGATGATGTCGCCCCACTTACCGTCGCCCGCGAGACAGGGGACCTCGGCTCATGCCGAAGATCAAGACATGGTGTTGCCCACGCTCCAATCGAATTATCCAGAAGTTAAGCAAGAATGTGTGCCAAGAGGATGAATAAATTGTGTTGGAATGTGCAGGAGCTTATCTGGACTCTGGAGGTGGTTGCCCCAGTTGACGTCCAGTCGAGGAATGAGATGAGGGGACACCATGTGTTGTGATGCGATCACCTACCCACACAGTTAGCAAACCGCACAAGCAAAGACACATGGCAATTGGCTTTGGCTACCTTGGCTCTTGGCTGGCCGCTGGATTTGACTTTGCCAGCGCCATGCGGAGTCGAATCGTGCAATCGTCATTGTTGCAGCGCCAGTGTGGGCTCCCAAAGTGGGAACGATTGTGCATGCGAGTGAATAACAAAGAAGCAAAAACTTGGAAGAGCATTGATTCGTCGCTAACAGCTTTACTAGTACTGGTAGTGTTCGGCTGGTAGCTGGGTCTCCGCTGAAAATCTTTTGCCTGTTTCATCCGCCAGCCAGTCCCGCCATCAGCCACAAAAAGCCACACGCACAAACAAGGAACCACCTTCAGGCTTCAAGGAAAACAAATGGTTGACCAGCGGACGAACCACACCGAACCTGAGAGAATCGGAGATCTCTGCAGATCACTGTTGCTCAACACGAAGAAGCACGTATGTGCTACGTACTGTACGGATACATACGTACGGCCATCCATCTCTTCTCCGACACGTCCGGTGGACATGAATCCCCTGAGCAAGTTGAATCCCCACGCGCCCTGAAACAAACAAGCCAGCAGCCTCACTGTGATAGAAAACCCAGCAGAACGGTGAACCCCCAGTGATGAATGATCAATCATCCGTCGCATGGCAGTGCATGACACCATGAGAGAGAGAGAGACACCGCCACAAGACCGTGACACGCGGACATGTTCTGAATATAGAACAGCGCTGTCGCAGGTGTTCCGTCGTGTGGGGCCACACGAGCCGGACAACCAGCGTCACCCTAGCATCAACTGCGGTCTTTACGACATAGCGAAACAAGCTTTGGTGAATGGCTATAGGCCATGCCTGAGCGAGCGTAATGGAGGGCCCGGGTAGCGCAGCTACGTGGGTCGAGATGCCCTGACGGTCGGTCGATCTCGCTCGCTATGACAAAAGCCATCTGGTATGGCCGTCAGTTGCAGTGTGCCGATGGGTCCTGTTTTCGCGCCTGCGTACGTACGGAGGACGAGTTCAAAAGTTATGCGTTGCCAAGAAACTAGCCATAGTTGGCGTCTAGCCCGAAGTAGCCCCCCGGGAAGTTTATCACCAAA